ATAGCAAGAAAATCCTTAGTGACAGAGAATGAATAGTGATTGCCTGGGGTTTCAGGAGAGGAGGATGAGGAGTGAGCATTTAATGGGGATAGTTTTTTTTTAAAAAAAAGATTTATTTACTTATTTATGTATGCAATTCTGGCTGCATGTAAGTCTGCAGGCCAGGAAAGGGCACCAGATCTCATTACAGATGGCTATGAGCTACCATGTGGTTGCTGGGAATTGAACCCAGGTCCTCTGAAAGAGCACCCAGTGCTCTTAACTGCTGAGCCATCTCTCCAGCCCCCCTTTCTTTTTCCTTCTTTCTTTCTTTTTTTCAAGACAGGGTTTCTCTGTGGCTGTCCTGGAACTAGCTCTGTAGACCAGGCTGGTCTCAAACTCACAGAGATTCGCCTGCCTCTGCCTCCCAAGTGCTGGGATTAAAGGCGTGCGCCACCAACACTTGGCTCTCCAGCTCCTTAATGAGGATAGTTATAAAAATGAAAAGCATACAGGTGAAGGTAATGATTGTACTATACAGTGTGAGTGTGCCACTGCTAACCAGCTATATATATACACCTAAAGAAGGTTAAAATGTCTAGGTTTACTGGTAGTTCATTGCCTTTTTTGGTTTTCTGAGACAGGGTTTCTCTGAGTAGCTTTGAAGCTTGTCCTGGAATTCCCTCTGTAGACCATGCTGGCCTCACAGACTCCGCGTGCCACTGCTTCCCAGAGTGCTGGGATTAAAAGCATGTGCCACCACTGCCCGACTTCATTCTGTAATTTTTTTTCTCCCCATGATAGGGTTTCTCTGTAGCTTTGGAGGCTGTCCTGGAACTTGCTCTGTAGGCCAGACTGGCCTAGAACTCACAGAGATCTGCCTGCCTTTGCCTCCTGAATTTTGTAATTTTTTTTCTAATAACTACAACAGATGTGTTGTATATTTTTAAAATCATTTTTAAAAAATTTATTTGCATTGGTGTTTTACCTATATGTGTGTCTGTGTGAGGCTATTAGATCTTGGAGTTACAGACAGTTGTGAGCTGCCATGTGGGTGCTGGGATTTGAACCCGGGTTCTCTGGAAGAGCAGTCAGTGCTCTTAAACCACTGAGCCATTTCTCCAGCCCCTGAATTTTGTAATTTTTTAAAATTAACTTTTCATTTGTTTCTTTTTTTAAGACAAGGCCTCTCTGTAGCCCTGGCTTTCCTAAAACTCACTCCGTAGACCACACTGGCCTCAAACTCAGAGAGATCCTCCTGCCTCTGCCTTGTAAGTGCTAGGATTAAAGGTACATGCCACTATACTTGGCTAATAATATTTTAAATTAAAATTTTTTTATTTTTTATTTTTGGTTTTTCGAGACCAAAATTCTCTGTGGCTTTGGAGGCTGTCCTGGAATTCGCTCTGTAGACCAGGCTGGTCTCCAACTCACAGAGATCTGCCTGCCTCTGCCTCCCGAGTGCTGGGATTAAAGGCGTGTGCCACTACCGCCCAGTTTAAATTAAACATATTGACAGAGGAGTTGAGTAGGGATAAGTCGTGCTGTCTAGGATTGCTTCTGGTGTAGGGGTTGCAGGTATTGGTAGGATTATCCTAAAGACAGATTAGCCAAGCTCGTGAATGACCTCAGACTGGTCATCTTGGTATTTTCACATCTTGTTCTTGTCATCACCTTTTTGTTCCCTTAACTTCTCCCTAGTGATGCAGTATTGACAATGTTTTGGTTTTTCCTGCTTTCTTCACTCTAGTTTAATTAGGAATCCCCCATCAGGAATACCTATAGTCAGTATTTGAGTGAAAATACATTCTGAAACAAAACAAAGGTTATATGTTAATTATTTAGCAATTTGTCATTGCTAACCTCTGTAACTATACAGACTGGTTTCATATGGTAACACTTATTAACTCAGAGACTTTGTAGCATTTTTAAAAATCTCTTCCAGGCTTGGTTTGTTCATCTGTACTCTCATAGAGTATGATGCTATTAGGTGAGATTATGTTTAGCAGCCCAACACTTGCTATTAATTATAACACTGGTATGTAACTGGCTATGATTTTGTAGGTTCAAACACTGCAGAAGGCAGCCTAAGGCTTAGAATCGATGACAGATTAATTATAAGTCAGCTTGGAATACTTTACTCTCGAAGCATAGGGATGTATAACTGTGTCCTATTTTAAATTAAGTGCTTGTGAGATGCTCAATGGAATTCTCTGCCACTGAGGTCCAAAGCTATGTTTCCCCTGGGCAACCATGAAGCACATCTCAAGGATGGTCAGTGAGGGTCAAATAGGCAGGGGTTCTTTTGTTTGGAGAATTCTGTGAGGAAACGTGAGAAAAAGACTTGACAAACCGAGACAGACCACGTTTATATCAGGGATTGTAGGACCCAATGGGATGGTCCTGACTTGACAGATCCTCTGTAGATTTTCAAGATATCACTTGAAGGTAGCCTGAGAGGAAATGACTTTAAGCTTTGGAAGACAGGATTTAGCTGAGTTATTTGGAAGAAATATTTTCTGACAATGAGGCATCTTAAACTTTAAAGCAAGTTAACATAGGGTGTGAAATTTTCTTCTCAGGGAGAGCTTGAGAGATTAACTCTGTGTGCCAGGTGGCCCAAGTAAAAATGTACCTGCAAATAGAGGTGCTGATTCTCTTCAAAGGGGCCTGTCAAAGTTCGTGTTCATCTAGGAATAATCAGCTGTAGCTCCAGTGACTAACCATCCTGCCTGTACTTTCTGATCTTCTGGGATAACTTAATGATTGATTTAATTGCCACACTGCCTAACAAGGAATTCACAGTTTTTCTTTTTTCTTTTTTAAACCTCTTGATTTATTTAGTAGTGGGAATGGTTCAGGTTCATTTACTTAATCATGTTTATTGAATTTTAATATATTTTTCTTAGTTTTATGAGTTGAAATTTTTTAAGGCTTATTTCCATTTGATTTATGTGGGCTTTTGCTTGCATGTATGTACATGCAGAGTCCATGGAGGCCTAGACTTGTGAACCACTATGTGGGTGGTGGGAGTAGAACCTGGCTCCTCTGGAAAAGCAACCAGTGCCCGTAACTGCTGAGCATCTCTCTGCTGAGCATCTCACCAGTCCCTAGTTTTATGAGTTTTGACAAACACAATTTTTTAAACATCAAAGTAAGCAGAAAGACCTGTGCATATGTCTCAGTAGGGGAAGAAGATGCAACATCAAGTTGGAGAGAACCCCATGGTGACCCTGTAGAGGTCTCTATGGGAACTAACATTATTTTGCCTATTTCTAGACCTAGTTGGTTTCTTCCCTCTCAAGTTGAGCAGATGGATTTTCTTAGTGCTCTGGTAAAGTTGTTGTTGGCCTGATGTGGAATTTTTTTTTTTTTTTTGGTTTTTCGAGACAGGGTTTCTCTGTGGCTTTGGAGGCTGACCTGGAACTCGCTTGGTAGTCCAGGCTGGTCTCGAACTTACAGAGATCTGCCTGCCTCTGCCTCCCGAGTGCTGGGATTAAAGGCGTGCGCCACCAACGCCCGGCGATGTGGAATTTTTTAAAAGAGCATTTTTATTCATGTATTTTATCTTTGCCTGCATGTACATCTGCACACCAGAAGAAGGCATCAGACAGTTGTGAGCTGCCACGTGCGTGCTGGGAATTGAACTCAGGACCTTTGGAAGAGCAGTAAGTGTTCTTAATCACTGAGCCCGCTCTCCAACCCTATGGATTTTTTTAAGGATTTCTAATACTCAGTAGCATCAGAAGCAGAGGAACACAGGAGTCAATTATGAATGGTTTTAGAGTAAGCAAGTGAGATGTGTCAATGTGATCTGGGCCATTTTTGCTCTACTTGTAAAACATTCTAGGGCAGGAATTCTAGTTATAACAGTTCTAGAACTTAGATTTTTCAGAACATTTTCATTTAAGCCAATCCTTTTGTCCCCACAAGTAATGTATATGAAGACAGCATGTTTTGATTTTTGGGTTATGAAAAGATGATCACTGTTATTTATAGCAGCAGAGAGAAGATTGGCGGGTAGGAAGCACCTCTCTAAGCTTAGCTGGTTTCAAGGGCTGAACTGGGCATTTATAGAAGTTGAGGATCATGTATGGGCTGTGCCTAAATAATTGAGTCTGGAGTAGAGAAACTACCTCCTATTTAATGCCTACTATGTATGTTCTTGGCATTGTGTTAGATGCTTTCCCTACTGACAGCTGCTTGGTTAGAATTCTAGCCCAGATCCAAGGGCAATTTAAATTAAAATGACAATGAAACCACGTATGTCTCTTGGGCTCAGTTCATTAATAGTTGTCACAGCTGCCACACCCTTTATAAGACCCTGACACCATAATTAGGATAATTAAATCTCTGGGCTTGGATCTTTTAGGTCATTTCGTTAGTAGGGGCGACAGCTGTTCTCTTTGCTACTAGTTTGAGAGCCACAATGCTCAGTTCTTTCAAGGAGAGGTGCAAAGCGTCTGAGGCTGCTGCCATTCTATAAAAGAAAGGGCAGAGAGACACAAATAGGAAGCTTGAAAGGGAGTGGGAACAAGACGACTTGCTGGGGCCTTCAGACAATGAAAAATAACAACAAAACCAAAACTGGAAGAGGCATAGAGTGGGAAAACTGAGGCCCTTTGAATTCAGGCAGAGGTCTACAGAGAGCATCCTGATCGACACTGGCAATCCCCGTGGAGTGTTGCTCTTCCATTTCACCATCTCTGAAATTCTAGTTGTTCTCAATCCTTCTTTTTGGCCTTTCTTTGAAAATCCCGAGGCTCTCCTTTTCCATGGAAGTCAGCAAAGGGGTTAATACTTTCAAATGTAAGTCGTGAGTAACCCTGTCCTGCAGGCAGGGTTATCTTTTTCATGCTTTCTCAATGTCCCTTTGGTTCAAGGATACTGTCATTCTGGTTGTTTTAGGGGGAGGGCCTGAGACGTCCATGCTGCCATGGAAACGCGCCGCCGTGTTCCTTTTCTTACGCGGGGGGCGGGCACTCCGTTCCAGGCACCTATCATCAACAGGCTTTTCTGAGTGGCGAGCCTCAGCAGCGAATGGACGGTCCGATACTGAGTGACGTGACGGGAAAAGGGGGAGCTCGCGGCTGGTGGCGGCGGTGGCGACAGTGGCGACCTGGGGATCGACCTGGAGGGGCCTGGGAAGCGTGCAGAGATCTCTAGATCCAGCGTGAGGGACCTCCCGCCGGGATGCCAGGTAATGCTGGGAGCGAAGCGGGGCGAGCTGGCCGCAGAGGTCCAGGTGGCGGGCATGAAGGGCTGGCTGCCCGGAGGGGGCGGGGTGGCAAGCATGGCGGCGGTGACGGGGACCGGGTTGGAGGGCCCGGGGAGGGGGTGGGGAGGCGGCCGTCGAGGTGGTCCTGAGGCCGCGTGAGGACAGCGGTTTCCCGCCTGGCCGAGGTTGCAAAGAGGTCTTCCTGGGGCCCAGAGGAGGGAAGACGCGGGGAGAGTTGTGGGGGGATGGAAAGGGGCGGGGAGAAGAGGTGAGGAAGGAGGGAAGGGTGTCTGCGGGAAGGTGAAGAGAAAGGAGGGAGGGAGGGACCGAAAGATCCAGAGACTCATTGTAAATAACGGAGAAACGAGGGGTGAAGAGGGAGCTGGGACAGTGCTTCCAGCGATTGCAAATGCTTGCTACTTAGAGGACCTTCATCTAGACTGGCCCCATCCTAGCTCTCGCACTTCCGCCCTATTATTTGGTCTTGGATTGTGTGAGGAAGGCTCGTAGTGTGACTCTCAGAACTGATCTTTTGTTATTCCACTCCAGGGGAGCAGATGGACCCTACTGGAAGTCAGTTGGATTCAGATTTCTCTCAGCAAGATACTCCTTGCCTGATAATTGAAGATTCTCAGCCTGAAAGCCAGGTTCTGGAAGAAGATGCTGGCTCTCACTTTAGTGTGCTGTCTCGACACCTTCCCAATCTGCAGATACACAAAGAGAACCCCGTGTTGGTGAGTGATGCTGTATTTGAAAATGGTTGAACAAAGTTGAGGTCTTATTTTTTGCCCCCTAATCCAAACTAACCCAGAAAACTTAGTGTGTAGGAGGTCACTATCTTTTAGGTAAAGTTGGTGGAACAAAATAAAATCAACATGTACCCGTGCACATACACAAAGTCCATTTTGTACTGCTTCGTCGTAATCTGTGAGGATCTTAAACCTATGTGTATTTTCTAGGATATTGTGTCGAATCCGGACCAAGCAGCTGCAGAAGAGCAAGGAGACAATAATAGCTCCTTCAAACATCTGAAGGAAAACAAAGCTTCTGCAGGTGAGTAGTTTAAGGCTCCAATCTCTTTTGCAGTGTTTAAGGTTGGAGCATAATTTCAACATACAGGATGATGTGTGTAAGGAAGCCTAGTGTGTAACCTACTGTTCAGTAAGCCTTCAGAAACTCACGATGTCTTAATGTGTAGGTTAGATTGGTGTTGCCTAAATTCCTGACTTTGCGTTAAAGTTTGGTGGCAAATGTCTTTTGTGTACTATCCAGTTACTATTATGATTTTTTTTTCAGACCCTGTGGATTCCTCTCATTTGGGCACGTGTGATTCCATCAGTCAGATCATAGAACAGTTGCCTCAGCCAAACAGGACAAGCAGGTATACTAACTACTGTCTGAAGGAATTGATTTCAACTTATTATCCAATCAACTCTTCTCTGTATCTGTAGACTCATTCCAAGGAGAAAGAGATTCATCGTGTTTCTGTGAATTAGGGAATGGGATTTGGGGATTACCTAGATAATGTTTTGGAGATCTGGGATCTCTTTGGTGAAGTAATAGTTTGTGTAACTACAGTATTCAAATTGTAATGTACACCCTAAAGAGTGTTCAGTTACTACTGTGTCTTACGTATGTCGTGATGGTGTCCCCTGTGTTAGGTTCAGTACTGACTTCTGACATAATCTCAGTTCTACCCTTAAGCAACTGTTCAGTAAATGCAGTGTCTCCATTCCACGGGAAGCTGATGGGCAGAGAGACATTGAAGGACTTGTGTGACTGTGTTCCTGAGTGAGCTGCTCCTTCTAGTTCTACTCCTCGCTCTTACTGTTCAGGGTTTCTCAGGCCTCTGTCCTAGTTCTTGTAAGGTCAAAGAACACAGGCAACTTCAGGTGTCTTGAGGCATTAGACTGAGAGCATAGATAGCTGAGAGACAGGGATGTTAGCTTGACATGGTTACAACTGTGACTTTATCTGAAAACAAAGTGCTTTTCCTGGGGTGTGTTTTATATTGTATTTGCACTTAAGTTTTTCTCTCAAGTGGAAATGGAAGCTTTTAAGCAATGTGCCAGCCAGCGGGCTTATCTTGACCAGTGGATAAGTTTTATTAGGCTCATAATGGTAAAATATATTTGAAGGGGTTTGAATTTAAAAATTGGAGCCTGGTGTGGTCTTGTATAACTTTAATTCCGGTGCTACTGGGGCAGGAGCAGGTGGATCTATGTGAGTTAAAGGTCAGCCTGGTCTACAAGTAGACTTTGAGATCGGCCAGGGCCCTGTCCCCCATCCTCACCCCCCAAAAAAGTTAATAAAAAAGGAGGAGGTAATTTCTCGTAAAGCTTGCACTTCTGGTTTTTGAGATTGCTAGTCCTCAGTGACCACAGTTTGCTGTAGTCCTTGGGAGTCACTCTTACAGTTGGCCACCTCTGCCAGGTGTTACTTGCCATTTGCCACAGTGCCAGTTCCTATATCCAGCTGCTTCACTTATCTGTGATGCCGTTTATTTGTTTAGTTTTGGAGACAGGGTCTCATTCTGTAGTCCAAGCTGTTTCAGAACTCACCATGTAGTCTAATTTGACCTCTAATCATGGTGATCCTCCCGTCTCAGCTTCTCGGTTGCTGAGACTACAGGGGTGAGCCACCATGTCTGGTGTCACTCATCTGTTAGTTGTCCTTGCTTTGGCTTATAGTGTCTTTGAGGAATATTTGCCTGGCTCAGGTGTGCTGTTACGGCTTATAAGATGGGGTGCATGGTAGGGACAAGAAGTGGGCATACTCCATTGTAAAACAGTAGTGGTATCTGGGCCGTTCCATGCTCTTTTCCTTGTTGAGTCATTGCTCTTTATGTAAATACAGATTTTATCATGTTCAATAAATGTGCAGTCCCCATGAACTTTAAAGGGGCTTTGTTTTCATGGGGTTTGTAACTGAATAGGGAGACCTATTTTTTTTTTTTTTCCAGACAGGGTTTCTCTGTATTGTTTTGGAGGTTTGGAGGTTTGGAGGCTATCCTGGAACTCGCTCTGTAGACCAGGCTGGCCTCGAACTCACAGAGATCCACCTGCCTCTGCCTCCTGAGTGCTGGGATTAAAGGCGTGCGCCACCAACGCCCGGCCGAGACCTCGTCTTTATCTCAGTCCTAAGTTACAATTATGATCATTACAAAGAGAACAAAATACAAATAATCTAGCCGGGAATAAAGGAATATGTCTTTGAGGAATGTAGTCTAAATAATAAATACAGATGTGTTAGTCACAATTAAGGGGCTGAGGAGAAGCTGCACTGTGAGAGAAAGATCTTTCCAGGTAGTAAATTTCATGTGTAAAGGCCTCGAAGGTGGGGAGAATTTGAGGTCAATTCCAAAAGAATGGACGTTCTTTAGAACACACACTCACACACAGACACATATCTTGAAACAACAAAATCTGCTTATCATAAAAATCCAGGGGCCTGGAGAGATATCTCAGCAGTTAAGAACACTGGCTGCTCTTCCAGAGGTCCTGAGTTCTGTTTCCAGCACCCACACGGTGGCTCTCAGCATCTGTAGTGAGATCTGATGCCCTCTTCTGGCATAAAGGTATACATGTAGACAGAGCATTCATATAAAATAAAGAAATATAGCTTAAAAAATAATTCCAAAAACTCTTCTTGTTTTTCCTTGTGTTCTGATGATATAAACTGATGTTTGTTTGTTTGTTTGTTTGCTTTTTGAGACAGGGTTTCTCTGTAGCTTTGGAGTCTGTCCTGGAGCTTGCACTCTAGACCAGGCTGGCCTCAAAAAGAGATCCACCTGGCCGGGCGGTGGTGGCGCACGCCTTTAATCCCAGCACTCGGGAGGCAGAGGCAGGCGGATCTCTGTGAGTTCGAGGCTGGGCTGGACCGACGGCCTCCAAAACAATACAGAGAAACCCTGTCTCGGAAAAAAAAAAAAAAAAAAAAAAAAAAAAAAGAGAGAGATCCACCTGCCTCTGCCTCCCAAGTGCTGGGATTAAAAGCGTGCACCACCACCACGCAGCTGTAAACTGATGTTTCTAAGTAGGGTCTGTCCTATAATGTAATATGGAAAGGATAGTTATATATTTTTATCAGATATTTAAAATTATTTTTATATTTTTTGTGTGTGAGTGGGGGGCAGATGCACACATGAACTATGGAGGCCAGAGGGCAATTTATGGGGGCATGGATCAGTACTTTTCTTCCACCATGTGGATTTTGGGACTCAGGTAAACAGGCTTGGTAGCAAGTGTCTTTACTGACTGAATCATCTTATTGGCCCCCAATATTGTCATTTTAAAGATTCATTTTTATGCCTGGTGACAGAGGCAGGCACTTTGAGGCCAGCCTGGTCTACAGAGCGAGTTCCAGGACAGTCAGGGCTACACAGAAACCCTGTCTTGAAACACAATAACAAAAAACAAAACCAAAGCAAAACAAAACAGAAAAGTTCATTTTTTAATGTATTCATTTAAATACCTTTTGAAGGTTTTATTTATTTTATTTTCCATGCAGTCGATATTTTGCCTGTGTGTATGTCTGTGCACCACCACATGCGTGTAGTGAGTGTGATGAGGCCAGGAGAGGGTGTTGGATTCTCTGGAACTGGAGGTACAAATGGTTATGAGCTGTCACGTGGATGCTTGGAATTGAGCCCAGTCCTCTGGAAGAGCGGTCAGTGCTCTTAAATGTGGAGTCATCTCCCCAGTCTTACATATTTATTTTCATATTTCATTTGTGTATCCTAGGCAGGCTGTCTGCCACTGAGCCATATCTGAAGCCCCCATGAAACATACTTACTCAAATTGAGATAATTGTATACTCACATGCTGTTGCAGGAAATAATGCAGAGCTCATTGTGGGGCACATGCCTGTAATTTTAGTACTCGGGAGGCTGAGGCAGGGTGACCACTTTGGAGTTTGTTGCTAACTTGGACTACATAGTGGATTCAAGAATAACCTAGGATACATAATCAAACTATCTCAACAAACAAAACTAAAAACAAACAGAAAGAATAAGGGAGAGCCTGAGTATACTTTGCCCAGTGCAAACCTGTAATACAGCCAGGATACTGGTGAGATTCAGCATTTCCTGTTACATTGTGGGTGGGTATTGTGTTTCTAGTTTATCATTTGTGGATTCATGGTCTGCCATTATAGTCAAGGGACTGAACAGTCGTGCACAGGGATGTCTGGTATTCTATCTATGGTCACCTCCCTTTGTCTGCTGTACCCGAGCCTTTAGTAATCATTTGTAAAATTTACTTCAAAATACTATACAGATATGCAAGTGTATATCAGCATAACTCCTGGGAGATCCATCAAAGTGGCTCCATGAATCAGTCATTTATTCCAATCTGAGTAGTCTTTTCAGAGGATGTCAGATACGCCAGTACTCATAGGTTGAAGCAAATCTTTCTCTTTTAAGATTTTAACTATTGTGAATAAAACTGTTACAAGTGTTTGTGCAAATTAAAATTGTTTATGTCTTGTGTATGTGTGTGGGTGTGTATGTGGAGGTCAGAGGACAGCTTGATTTTCTTCTTCCACCAAGTGGGTCCTGGGATTGAATGCAGGTTGTTGTCAAGTTCAATGCGTGCACATAAATATATATGTGCATTTACACAAAGACCAGGGAGATTGCTCAGCAGATAAAGGTTCCTACATACAATTTTTTGTTTTTTTTTTAATTGTAAACATTTATTTTTATTTTATTTTTTGAGAGTCAGCATCTCACAATGCTGACCTGGAACTTGCTATGTAGTCCGGGGTGGCCTCTAACTCACAGATCTGCCTGCTTTTGCCTCCTGAGTCCTGGCTTTAAGGTGTGGCTGCTCTGCCTGGCACCTTGTGTAAATTGTTGGTTTTTGTTTGTTTGTTAGTTTTTTGAGACAGGGTTTCTCTGTATTGTTTTGGAGGCTGTCCTGGAACTCGCTCTGTAGACTAGGCTGTCCTTGAACTCAGAGATCTGCCTGCCTCTGCCTCCCGAGTGCTGGGATTAAAAGTGTGTGCCACCAATACCCAACCTTGTGTAAATATTTTATGTGAATATAAACTTTGAATTCTTTAATAATGCCCAGGTTTTTAATTGCTTGGCTGTATGGTAGTTGCATGTTTAGTTTTTTTTTTAAAGAAACTGACGGATGGTTCTAGTCTCTGTCATCTGGCAATGTGGAAGTGTTGTAATTTCTGTTCTCACCAGCTGCTAGTTTTTTTTCACTGTTTTTATCTTTTGTGGTGCTCAGGGTTGAATTTGAGGCCTCAGTCATGCTTAGTAGTGTTCTGTGACCAGGTTATATTACCAGCCCTTTCACTATTTATAAATCATAAATATACAAATTAAGAAAATATTTTTAGCTGGGCGTTGGTGGTGCACACCTTTATTCCCAGCACTTGGGAAGCAGAGGCAGGCGAATCTATGTGAGTTCCAGACCAGCTTGGTCTACAAGAGCTAGTTCTAGGACAGCCTCCAAAGCTACAGAGAAACCCTGTCTTGGAAAAAAAAAGAAAGAAAGAAAGAAAAGAAAATGTTTTTGAGAGGCCAGCCTCAAACTTCCCGTTCACTGTAACTGAGATGACCTTGAGCTTTTGATGCTCTGACCTCTACCCACAATTACTGGAAATAAGGCATGCACCACCCGACTCTGCTATGTGGTACTGAGGATGGATTCCGTAGTCTCATGCTCTCTAGGTAAGCACTTTGCCAACTGAGCCAGCGCTCTTCACTGCTTTTATTTGAGCCATTCTGATAAGTGTAAAGTAATATCTCATTGTGGTTTGATTTTTTTTTTCATTTTCCTAATGGCAAACGAGGTTGAATCTCTTGTGTGCTTGTTTGCCATCGGCCCTCCTTTTCAGGGAAATGTCTGTTTGTGTCTTTTGCCTATTACTAATTAATTTATTTCGAGGCACAGTTTTTCTATGTAACAGATTTGGCTGTCCTGGAACTCACTTTGTAGACCAGGCTGGCCTGGAACTCACAGAGATCCACCTGCCTCTGCTTCCTGAGTGCTTGGGATTAAAGATGTGCACTATTATCGCCTGGCTTCTTTTGCTCATTTTTAATTTGAACCATTTATTTTATTTTTCACCTGCTTTTTTCTTTTTTTCTTTCCTGTCCTAGGAGTTGAACTTGGTGCCTGGGCATGAGAGTCAAGTTTTCTACTGCTGGGCTATGTCTCTAGCCCTGTCATGTCTTGAGAGTGCTTTGTAAATTCTGGGTGTAATCCTTTGTAGCAGTGTGGTTTGGTTTGTAAATATTTTCACTGTGTAGCTTGTTTTTTTTTTTTCTTTTTTTAAATGTATATGAGTGCTCTATCTGCATGTACGAATTTATGCCAGAAGAGGGCATCAGATCCCTCTATGCTGGTTGTGAGACACCATGTGATTGCTAGAAATTGAATTCCAGGAGGCCTCTGGATGAGCAGACAGTGCTCTTGATCGCTTAGCCATCTTTCCTGCCTCCCCACCCCTAATACCTTGTTCTCCTATAGCATGTCTTTTCATCTCTCCATAAGATTTTTCACAAATTTTAAATTTTTATGACATTTTAAAAGTATTTTTCAATAGGATAACATGCCTAGTTTATTTTAAAAAGTTCAAGATAAGCTGGGCAGTGGTGGCACACACCTTTAATCCCAGTACTCGTGGGTCTCTGTGAGTTTGAGCCCAGCCTGGTCTACAGATTGAGTTCCAGGACAGCCAGGGCTACATAAAGAAAACCTGTCTTGAAAAACCAAACCAAAACAAAACAAAAGTACAGGGTAGCAGGAGATGAGAAGTTGGTGAGATTCTGAGATCAGAAAGTAGGATTTGAAGACGGATCACATCTAGAGCATCAGCAGGAAGGAGGAAGTAACAATTCCAGGTTTGGTTTGAGTAGCTGGAAGAATAGAGTGGTTGTTTGAGATGGAGAAGACTGAGGAGAAATAGCTCAACTATAGATGGGTTGAGTCTGAGCTACCCATTAGGAGTGGAGATGGTGAACAGGTGGTTGGTTCATATGCTGGCAGGAGAGTGATGTTGTAGAGTCATGGACAGTGCAGAATCCAAAGCTTTGGGAGCTGGGGATGGTGGTGCACAGGCATGAGCTGAGGCAGTAGAATCGTGGTGAGTTCAGAGTCAGCCTGAAAACTACATACTGAGTTCTAGGCTAGCCCGGGCTATGCAGATTGAGACTTAATAAAAAAAAAAAAAAGACAATTCAAACCTGAGTCTGAGTAAAAGGTTGAATACAGCTGGAGAAGAGGTCTAAGGGCTAATTGAACACACCTCCACTTAGATGTCAGGGACATAAGGAAGACCCCTTGACAGACAGAAGGCCAGGTGTGTGGTTTTCTTTTTTTGTTGGTTTTGTTTTGTTTTTTTGAGACAGGGTTTCTCTTTGTAGCTTTGGAGGCTGTCCTTGAACTCTATCTGTAGATCAGGCTGGCCTCGAACTCAAAGAGATCTGCCTGCTTGCCTCTGGAATTAAAGGCGTGGGTAACCACCGCTTGGCTCAGTGTGTGTTTTTCAATGGTCTCTTTCTTTAACTTTTAAAAAAAATGATATTTTATTTCTGTGTGTGTGTGTGTGTGTGTGTGTGTGTGTGTGTGTGTGTGCGCACATGTGTATGTCATGGCGTGCATTTGTTGAAGCTTTTCCTCTCACCATATGAAAGGTTGTTCCTTTCACTGTGTAGTTTCAGAGAATGAACCCAAGTAGTCAGGCTGGGTGGCAAGCACCATTACCCCAAGAGCCATCATAAGAAGATAAAATTTCAATGTCTTTATGCTTTCCTTCTGCTTAGTTTTGCTACCAAACTTGGTACAGTGTTTTGAATCATGAAGCTTCCAGGTACTTTCTACAGGCAGCACTAAAGCCATGAGATCTGTTTATGTGTCTAATCTGGTTAAAAGATGATTGGCATGCGAGGGCAGCCACAGTAGAATTCAGTGTGCTGTGAACAGAGCCTCCTCTGTCTGGGAGCATCACATGTCTGTGCTCTTTTACTGCAGTGCTCTGGAGGTGACAGTAGAAGCTGCTTCTCTTCCAGAGGAGGAGAAGGAGGAAGAGCTAGAAGAGGAGAAGGAAGAGGTGGGAGCAGATGCTGCTGATGCTGCTCCGGGCTCCCTTGGTGCTGAAGGTAGCTGTGCCCTTTCAGAATAATAGATTCTTCCCATGCCCCTTTACTGTGAACACACAGCTAGCTAACTTTCTCTTTAGCAGGTAATAGATTTCTCATGATTAAGCTAAGAATCACTAAGGAATTTACCTAGTAATTTAAGGTGTCTCACTTAATTTGATGACTAATTTTCTCTGTTAAGCAGCCTTCCAAAGCCATGATAGAGTACCCCAGAAAATAAACAGTTTTGGAAATGTTTGCCATTGCTTTGAGTGGGTGGCAAACAGACGATTATGGTTGGGTGCACGTGGGGCAAAGCTGTTTTACCTCACAGGAGATAGGAAACAAGGGAGAAAGAAGGGGAGATGGGGCTGCTCAAGCCCTAATAACCTAATTCCTTCCCACTAGGCCTCTTCTTCAAGGTTCCAGCACCTGGTGTGGTGCTCGTCTATGATCTTAGCAGTTAGGAGTAGAGAAGAGCCTTGCGTTTGCAGCCAGCCTAGGCTACAGAGTGAGACCCTACTTCAAAAACAAGACAATAAAAAAAAATTCCACCACCTCATACTGGCACCCCATGCAATGACTAAGCTTTTAATTCATGCCTCTGGAAAACATTAAAGACCCCAACATAGCAGTAAACTGGGCATGATAATGTACGCATGCATACCTAGAATTCTAGCACTCAGGGAGGCTGAGGCAGGAGCATTAGAAGTTCAAGGCCAGGTGTGGCTTTATAGCATGACCTCTCAAAACAAAGAAACAAACCAATGAGTCATTACTCATTGACTAGCCCCCTTTCTGCATTTTGTTTCCTTCTCCTTTTGCATTTATTTTTCAAGTACCTTTGGGTGTGGTTTTGGCTGTATCTACAGATTATTGACATATTTTTTCATTTTAAATGCTTATAAGGCTTTGTGGTACCTAAGTTTTGCTTTGGTACACACCCCCTTTAAAAACTATATTTATTACTAATTTAATGATATGTGTATGGGCATGCAATGCACATTCTGTGGAACCACAACTTGTGGGGGTTGGTTCTCTTTCTACCACATAGATCCCAGGGAATCAAACTCAGATTGTCATGCTGGGCTTGGCAAAAGGAGCCTTTACCTTCTGGGCCATTTAGCTGGTCCCTCCCCCTTATTTTAAATTTATTTACTAATTTATTTTTACAGTATGGTCTTACATAGTCCAGAATGGCTGTAAGTTCACTGTGTAGCTAAGGATGGCCCTGAGCTTTTGATTTCAGTTTCTACTTTCCCTGTGCTGGTATTTGTTATATGTGTTTGCTATCACACCCAGTCTAATAATTTTATTCTTGACTTTCCCCACCTCTTTTCTTGTGGTACCCATGCCCATCCTTTCATTTGTATTGTTTTGTAGAAATTATGTATGATATGGCTTTGATTTGGAGCATTTAATGTGATCCTTGGAACTAGAAAGATGGCTAGGTAGATATGAGTACTTGTGAGCCAAGCCTGATGTTTTGAGTTCTGTCTCTAGAATCCACATTGTGGAAGGAGAGAACTGACTCCTGCAAGTTGACCTCTGACCTGCATACTTCAGCTGGGTGGTGTGTGTGTGTGTGGTGTGCACAGACACACACATAAATGCAAAAAAAATAGGTTTTAAACATGATCCTCTTTATAAGATAGCAATTTGCACATTGAAAATATTGTGGGATGGTATCTGATTTTTTGGAGTTTTGTTCCTAGATTCTGCTTCATCACAGTTGGGCTTTGGGGTCCTGGAACTGTCCCAGAGCCAGGATGTTGAAGAACATACAGTGTCATATGATGTCAACCCTGAACATATGCAGTTGGTTACCACCAACTCGGGTTCTTCCCAGCTGTCTGACATGGATGCAAATACTGGTATGAAATGTGTTTTCTTACTGTGGTGTTGATTATAAGGTTTTTTTCTTTTTATCTAGAACCAGTAACTCTGGTGGTCTGGATCTTGCTATGTAGACCAGGATTGTCTTGAACTCATAGAGATTCACCAGCTTTCTCTTTAGGGTTAGAAAGAATAATTTAGAGATAATTTTAGGTTCATTTTTTCATTTTTATGTGTGTGGGTGTTTTGCTTTTGTGTATATATTATACAACATGTTTACCTGGTACCCACAAAGGTCAGAAGAGGGCATCAGATTCCCTGAGCTGTAGTACAGACTGTTGGGAGCCACTAAGTGGGTGCTAGGAATGAAACCTGGGTCATCTGTGAGGACAACAAGTGCTCTTCGTTGTTGAGTTGTGTCTCCTGCATCACCACCTCCAATAAGCTGGGGTTTTTGTTTGTTTGTTTGTTTGTTTTTGACTTTTTCAAGACAGGATTTCTCTTTACAGCCCTGGCTGTTCTGGAACTCACCTTTTAGACTAGGCTGGCCTTGCACTCAGAGATCCACCTGCCTCTGCCTCCCAAGTGCTGGGATTAAAGCTATCCAGATTCATGTAAGTTTGCAGAGTAAGCAGTAAGTCTTGTCAAATGATGACTTGCAGATTGATATTTTTTTTCTCTAGGTAGATCATTGGTTACTTTCTTTTTTGGGACGATACCTGTATGTTTTAAAAATTAAATTTATGTATATGTATATGTATATGGTGTTTTTGAGGCCACAAGGTGTCAGATCTCCTGGAGCTGGACTTACATGTGTTTGTCAGCTACTTAACATGGGTGCTGGGAATTGAATTCTTATCCTCTGAAAGAGCAGCAAGTACTCTAACCTCTGAGCCATTTCTGCAGGTGTGTGTGTGTGTGTCTGTGTCTGTGTCTGTGTCTGTATCTGTCTGTCTCTATGTGTATGTACGTATATATATTTAAGTTACATTTTTATTCTTTAGGATTTCCATACAATATTCTTTGATTATATTTGTCCAACTCCTAGGACTCTATCCAACTTCATGATCTCCCCCTTTTTAAACAAAACAAAACAAAACCCAAAAAAACCTATGTAGTCCAGTTTCTGTTAACTGACTCTTCCTGGGCATATGGCGTGCCCTGGAGGGTGGTTTGTATTTTAGGTGTCATGCCACTAAGGAAAACAGACTTTCCCTCTCCTGGTAGCAATCAGACACCTGTAGCTCCTTTCCTGGGGTGGAATGTCATGTTTACCTTTCTAAGATTTTGTCTGGTTTAAGCTTATGCAGAACTTGTGTATGCTCTCACAGTCCCTGTGAGTCTGTATATATGTTTTCCCTGTTGTGTTTGGGAAACACTGTTTCCTTGAAGTCATCTACCATCTCTGCCTCTTACAAGTTTTACCCCCTCTTCTGTATTGATCCCTGAGTTTTGAGGGGAGGGGCATGTTGTAGATAACCCATTTAGGACTGAGAATTCCAAAGCTTCTTATTTGCTGTATGTTGACCAGTTGTGGCTTACTCTGTTAATTGTCATATACTATTAGAAGAACCTTCTTTGGTGAGGATTGAGTGATTCATTGATCTATTGGTATAGTGAGATGTCATTAGGAGTCACTTTATTGCTTATCCATATAGTAGAGTAATAGATTTTTCCCTATGACCCATGACCTGTCTAGCTTCAGGTTCTTGGCCTCATTGACAGATTGACAGTGTCAAGTATGGATTCATCTCATGTAATGGGCCTTAAATCCAACTTTTAAAAAAGTAATTGGTTACTCCTGTGGCATTCATGCCATTATTGCACCATTGGCCATAACTTTCCAGGCAGGTTGTTGTTGTAACTCAGAGGGTCATGACTGAGTGAGATTAATGATTACTTTTTTTCTTCAGTAGCATCCATAGCACCTTCTAACATTGTATGAATACTAGCCAGTAGGAATGAACCTTCTAGTTGAGTACTAGTTAGATTTTTTCCCCCATGTTTTATGACTCAAGTGTGTGGTGTCTTCAGTGATAGGGTCTTATCCTTAAATTTTGGAGGACAATTGATGGTTTTGGCAATAGACTGTAATGTTTGGGAGGTCTATGGGACCCATTAGCCAACAACTCTAGAAAGTGGTCACCCATTTCTGATATTGGAGTTTTATTTGGTAATGTATGGTGTCTAGTTGGGTATTATTCCTCTGTTATATAGCTTTTGATATTTTTTTAAAAGATTTATTGATTTATTATGTATGCAGTGTTCTGTCTGCACACCAGAAGAGCTCTTGTCCCTTGGCATCTGCAAGGGATTCTTCTTTATTTTTTAATTTATTTATTATGTATACAGCATTCTCTGCATGTACTTCTGCACACCAGAAGAGGGCACCAGATCTCATTATAGATGGTTGTGAGCTACTCACCCTGTGGTTTCTGGGAATTGAACTCAGGACCTCTGGAAGAGCAGCCAGTACTCTTAACCTCTGGGCCATCTCTCCAGCCTGCCCCCTAACTTTTGATATTTTAAAGTTAGATAGTTAAGATTTTTACTTTTTGAGAATCATTCGGGGCTGCCTTGAATACTTTGACAAGTTAAATATCTGTTTTGTATCTTTTTTCTTCTTCTTGTGTATTAAGCAGTTAAATGTGAAGAACAGTCCACTGAAGATACCTCCATGGCAGAACAACCTAACAAAGACATCCCTGTTACAGTTCAGCACAATAAAGGTATCCCTGTGGTAGACGAGCAAAATATATCACCTGCAAGGTAAGCAAGCCATGCTCTCTCTAAAGGTGTCTGTGGGATTTTACTGTGGGGCTATAGTAAGTTCATTTTGGCTATACATAGAAGCAGTATTAGAAATTGCTGATTCCCCTTCTCACATTTTATAGTTATTTGCCATCTTGTTTTTGTCCAATAGAAATATTGATTATAAATCTGTATTGCTTATGATGCAGTCTTATGGTGTGTGCTTTTTTCATTATAAATCAGGCCTATTACAAAAGTGCATTATTTTGTAACTATAATCCTTAACCTTGGGTTGACACTCTTCTGGGTAATCAGAGGCACTTTCTATTTGTAGGAGATCCTTTTTGCATCTCTGGGGCCAATAAAGATGTAAATGTGCCAGGCAGGGTGGCACATGCTTTTAATTCCAGCACTTAGGAGGCAGTTGGATCTCTGTGAGTTTAGTTTGAGGCCAACCTGGTCTACAGAGCGAGTTCCAGGACAGGCTCCAAAGCTACACAGAGAAACCGTGTCTTGAAAATCAAAACCAAAAAAAAAAAAAAAAAGAAAGAAAGAAAGAAAGAAAAAGATACAGGTGGATGTTATATTGGATACTTGTTAGTATTCTTTTGTTTTGTTTTGTTGTTTGTTTGGTTTTGGTTTTAGAGACAGGGTTTCTCTGTGGCTTTGGAGGCTGTCCTGGAACTAATTCTTGTAGACCAGGCTAGTCTTGAACTCACAGAGATCCATCTGCCTCTGCCTCCTGAGTGCTGGCATTAAAGGTGTGTACCCCCCCCCGCCAACCTGTTAGTATTCTTGAGCACCCAGATTGCTTTGGGTTGTTATGTATCATCCTTCTGTTAATTTATTGTGTAGCTAGGTGCAGGGATTTTTCCAAGTGTTCCTGGCTTTTAGTTTGGTAGGGATGGGGATGTAGACAGTGTTTTGCTGTGTGGCCCAGGCTAGCCTTGAACTTGAAAGAATCTTCCTACCTCAACTTTCTTAGTGGTAGGATTGTAGGTGTGTGTCCCACTGATGCTCAACTAAGGCTTTTCTTTAGAAAGTCGTGTTCCCCCCCCCCCAGGGTTTCTCTGGAGCTGACACCACCTGGCTTAGAAAGTTCTTACTTCAGTTAAATTTTTACTTTATTATTATTATTTAAATACTGTCTTACTCTGTAGTTCAGGCTTTCAGGCTTTCTTCAGACTTACTATGTAGCTCAGGTTGGCCTTCAACTCACAATCCTTCCACTTTAGCCTTTGAAACACTTTGATTACAGATACAGCCCACAGGCCTGGCTTTCCTGTTAGTCTTGCTTTTCCATTTTTCTTGGGTATAGTAGAGTAAGTAAAAGTCTAGGGAAGGACCAAAACTGTGAGTCTTCCCTGGCTGGACAGAATGTGTAAAGGAGTCCCGGAAAAGGTCAGCAGAAAATAGATAATTATTGTGCCACCAGTGAAGAGAAAATCCACATCAGTTCTGTATGAGGACGTTTGTAGCAGTTCTCAGTCACTTGTCTGGAGTGTTGGAACAGACACAAAACTGAAAAGAGGTTTGGCTGTGGGGGATGGAGACAGGCTTTGAAATGCCTGAGGACTTTTAGTGGGTCATGTAGATTAGAGCTGTTAGAATTGTTAGATTGAAGCAAAAGTTTTGTTGGAAGAGGGAAACATTTGAACTTAGCGATCTTTATCCTTGGTGGTATTGATCTCACAGGCCAGAGGATCTGCCTTCTAGTCCTCAAGCCTCTGTTGCAGCTGTGGAAACAAAGGAACAGGTGCCTGCCCAAGAGCTTCCAGAAGGGGCGCTGCAGGTTCAGATGTCCTCGGAGCCCGAGGTCTCGTCCACTCAAGAGGACCTGTTTGAGCAGAGCAGTAAAACAGGTAAGCTGGTTGACTTTCTTCACTCCTCTTCTTACTGTTGTCAGTGTTTATCTTAGCTCTGAGGCTGCTGTTTAAGTTAGGAAAACACTTTTTTGTAGGTATGATATGGAAGAAAAATATATTCCGAGCTTGTCAGTGAGGAGGGCTTTCAAAAAAATATTAGTCTAAATTTTATGTAAATTTCCCCTTTCGGTAACTGAGGTATTGGAAATAGTGGCGAATGTAGTAAAACTGGGTTTTATGGACAGAGTTGCCATTTCTTCTTCTGTCACATTTACTATGATGTTTTTCTTACTTATTTGGGTAGCATTGACTTAACTATTAGTTGACACAAAAGGCAAATTAAGGTCCAGAGGAAAGGACACAGTGCTTAGAGTGTAGAAAGGAATTTGTTTCATGCTCCTGTAATCCTCTCCTGTATTCCACAGTCTCAGAAAGCAAGAATGCTCCAGGGAAAGCAGGGAGGGAAGAAGGCTCTGTTCCCTTGTAGTCTGTGTCGTACTTGGTGTGTGAGACATTAGTAGGCACCCACTAAAGCTATCAGGGTGTATTTAAGGCATTTCTTTTCACTTAGGGATAATATAGTTGATGTTCAATCTAAGTTGTTATTCTCCATGTAAGAAGAAAGGGCCGATAGAGAACTTAGTAATGTTAGTCACTATGGCTGCTCATATACTTTAAAATTAGCACTTGGTATTTTCTGTCTCCTCTGAGGAGGCTCAAGTTCTAATCATGAAAATTGCTGCATTCATACCATCAGGTGTCATGCGCATTGTTTTGACTTCTCCCATCTGCATCATGGCATGAGCTTTACTTCACCTTAGGTAGACCTTGGAATAAAAGGCTCGCTTGCTGTTTTATTATAGAAGCATCACAAGAAAGAAGAGCAGCCAAGCAGAGGTATAAGGATTCTGGCTTTTCCTCTCTATAGTAATTATTTGTATCATTCTGTGACCCAAAAAAAAAAAAATCTGACAAAAACAGTTGAAAGAAGGAAGGTTTGGGGGCTGGAGAGATGGCTCAGTGGGTAAGGGCACTTACTGCTCTTGCAGAGGTTCAGTTCCCAGCATCCACATGGCCCCTCACAATCAACTGGAACCCCAGCTCCAGGGATCCGATGCTTTCTTCTGGCCTTTATGGGTACCTGCAGGCATGTAGCAGTATAAAAAAAAATTTTTTTTTGATTTTTCGAGACAGGGTTTCTCTGTATTGTCTTGGAAGCTGTCTCTGGAACTCGCTTTATAGACCATGCTGACCTCGAACTCACAGAGATCCACCCGTCTCTGCCTCCTGAGTGCTGGGATTAAAAAAACTTTTGTCGGCACACACACATTCACATAAATACAACAAATAAACAAGTAATTTAAAAACAAAAGTTTTTTTGTTTTTTGTTTTGTTTTTTGGTCTCACAGGTTGAGAGTTCTAGTCACCATGTCAGGGAGGCTGTGGCTGTAGGACAGAGAGAAACAGGTCACAGTGGCCATGCTTAAGAAGCAGAGCTGACATTGCTGCTCAGCTCCCTTACCTTTTATTCAGTCTAGGATTCTAGCCCATGGGGTTGGAATTTTGGCTGCCTACATTTGGTGTGTATGTGGGGGTGCCATTGCTCAGCTAAGCCTTTCTGGAAATACCCTCATAGACACACATAGAGGTGTGTTTCCATGGTAATTTTTAAATGCGGCCAAGATGATAAAATTAACCATGACAACTCCACCCTCTGTCAGCTTGACACCAACATATCACTTTAAATCATAACATTATACCCCAACTCCTAAAGTCTCATTTTCATTTCATAATGCAACTGCATTTAGTTGTTTCAAAAGTCCCCATAGACCATAACAACCCCAATTTTGTTTGAAAGTCTAAATATCTTCTGAGATTGTATCTCCTAACTACAAGCCACTATAAAGCCAGAAAACAAAAACAAAAACAAAACCCCAAAAAACAGCAAAAGCAGGTTATGGACTTCAAATATAATGCCAATATTCCAAGTCCAAAAAAGAAGGATGGGAGGCAAAGCAAGACTGAGACCCAGCAAGGCAAACACCAAGCCCATAGCTCCATGTGATTGGGTTTGTGATGTTGTCATCTGGGCTCCAACAGCCTTGGGCACTCCCTCCTCCTGCTCTGATGCCTTCGATGTATGTGACCTCTCTCTTGGGTTAGCTCCACTGCAGCTTTGTTTGGCAGATGTTCTATGGTTTTGGCTTCTCTGAACTTTACTATTGCAACTTAGGCTTTACCTTCTCAGCTTTATGCATGGTCTTGAAGAGCCTTGTTGCAGGGACTCCACATAGTGCCTGAACTCAGCAGCTTTCTGAAACTTTGGTGCCAGATTCAGTGACCCTCTTGCTTTTACATCTTTCATGCCACGAAAACAGTACTATGTGGATGGTATTCCCAGTTCTGCTGGCTTGAGATGTAGCCTGTCCCTCTTGGATCACAGTTGCAGTGGCCTCTGTGTCTTTGAGGGTGCCCTTGGAGAAGTACTTCCCTAGGTAGCCATTTGCAGCAGGGAACCCATGTGGTGGCATTGTTAGTTTATGTTCTTTTCCTTTCAAATGAGTGAGTGGGGTATTCCCTGCTGTTGTCCTATTGAAAAGCATGAAGAGGTTTCTCTTTAATGGCATGATTTAAGACTCACAGATACTTTCCCTGTACTCGGTCTATAATTTTAAATTCACTGCACTGTTTTCATACCTTTCTGTTCTCTTACTGTTGATATGAATCGGTATAGTGAGCAGAGTGCTTTCCTGATATGTAATTTCTTCTGGCAAGCAAACTAGTCCATCACATTTTTTCATTTCCCTAAAGACAGGTTCTTCACTTTGTAGCCCTGGCTGTCCTGGAACTTGCTATGTAGACCAGGCTGGCCAAAGAGATCCATCTGCCTCTGCCTATCACATGCTGAAATTAAAGGCATGTGCTACCACACTCAGGCAGTCCATTGCTTATGAATTCAGCCTTGAGTTCTTAGGATATGGGTACAATGCAATCAGATCTTTTACAGAACATATTACTGGTGGCTCATGGTTGAGTTCTAGAATACATCACTGGTGGATTATAGTTGAGTTCTAGACTATACCATGAGTGGTTTATAGTTGAGTTCTAGAATATATCACTGGTGACTCATAGTTGAGTTCTAGAATATTTCACCAGTGGCTTAGAGTTGAGTTCTAGAATATATCATCAGTGGCTCATAGTTGAATTCTAGAATATATCATCAGTGGCTCATAGTTGAGTTCTAGAATATATGGCTGGCTTATAATTGAATCCTAGAATATATTTCCAGTGCCTTATAGTTGAGTTCTAGAATATATCACCAGTGGCTCAGTTCCCAGTAGAGTCTTTGTTCCCTTCCACAACTGAGAGCCAGGCCTCTCTTTTTTTTATGCATTTTGGTCTTCTAGACTCACCTAGAATGGCCTGCTAAACTCAGCTTACATCTTCAAACTCTTCTACATTTCCCATATAAACCACCTTCAAAGGCCTGGAATCCACATGTCAGATTCATGACAGGCTGGGCCCTAATTCTGGGTACCAATTTCCAGGATTATTTTTCTTATTACTGTGATAGAATATCAGATAAGCACTTCACAGACATGCCCAGAGGTGTGTTTCTAACCATTATTGTCTCTAAGCTTAGATTATGGTAGAAAGGACCAAGGGGCTCTTTTAACTAGTTTTTTATTAAAGAAACCTGAAACGGGGATGTGGAGTGGGGTTACTGTTGACTCGCAGTTTGCATTCTGGTGATACCCATTGACTTGTGCTACCACTGAAAGGACTTCTGCCCTCTGAAGTGTAACAGACTGGGTATTGCTGTCTTTCAGCACTCAGTAGGTCCCCCACTCAATGATGTCAGTCTGAGAAGTAAATACAGTTCTTAACTTTTCTCCCCCACTAGCTTCTGATGGTTGTTCTACTCCTTCAAGGGAGGAAGGTGGGTGTTCTCCGGTTTCCACACCCGCCACCACCCTGCAGCTCCTGCAGCTGTCTGGTCAGAGGCCCCTTGTCCAGGACAGTCTTTCCACGTAAGTAAGCCTGAAACGGCCTGGAGAGCCAGGGTGCCTCTCAGACCAGAATTCCTTTCAAAGCTAAAAGCTAGACTCCAGGCCTTAGGAGTTTTGGGGTGGGAACTCAGGGAACTGTTTGAAGTGTGTGTATGTATTCTCCCGTTGGAGGCTTTATGGTGGAAGCTGGGCAATGAAATGCCTTGTTATTTAGAAATGTACTACATCAGAACCAATCATTTGCTCCTCCATTTTTAGCATTTCTGTCACTAGCAGTATAGGAGAGACAGTAGGCTGCTGCAGTGACTAGGGCAAAGAGGTTTGCTTTTTATTTTTGTGTTTGTTTTTGTTTTTAAATAAAAATGTGCACATTCTTCATATTATGTAAAACTGAAGTAAAGTTTTTTATGTCTCAGATCTGTGAATTAGTTTTCAGCTTTTGGTTGTCCTGTTTCTTAATCATGATGTCCTTGTGTCTAGTCATTCACTTTACCCTTACTTTTGAAAAAACTCAGGGTTTGAGAATTGCGTGAGTCTCAGGTTGTTATTCAGGAGAAATGCTATTAAATATATATGCTGTTAAGTGTGTGAGTTGGATATTTTTGTTAAGAAGTCAAAGCAAATGTCAAACCCTTGGCTGCAGTAAAATAACCTGTGATTCTCTCTTTATATAAAGGAATTCCTCAGATCTTGTTGCTCCTTCCCCTGATGCTTTCAGACCTACCCCTTTTATCGTTCCTAGCAGTCCCACAGAGCAAGGAGGGAGAAAAGGTGAGCTGTCGTGATGTGTCTGTCCATCTCAGCCCAGGAGAGGCAGAGCCCTCCTGTCTCACCAAATGCACGCTTCTGTGCACTTTGCAACACTGCTCCTGACACCTGTGTCCTTCATCTTCTGGACATGGCCCAGGACAGCCCACTCTCAGCTCTTTGCTTTTAAGCACAGAGCCTTCAAAGATTTTTCCACTTTTAATTTTGACAAAAATGCTCTGGTAAGAATTTTTATGTTTCTAAAATTGAACCTAAGTAAGTAAGTATGGGGAAGTACTGGATTGGTTATTAATTAATTACCTAGTACCTTCTAGTAACATGCTAACATGTTTCTAGTGAGAGAAATCCACAGTTTCTTGGGCTCTTTATTTTTGCTTTTATAAAAATAATAAGAGGGTGGCTTGAAGGGGTTGATAACAATTTTAACCTACTTTCTCCTTTGAGGACTTAGTAACCCCGCCCCCAGAGATGGTCTCATGTATCCCAGGCTCTCCTCAAATTCCCTCAGTAGCTGAGCATGCCCTTGAACTTTGAACCCGCTGTGTACCTCTTGAGTGTTGGAATTATGGATGTGTGCTGCTCTGCCTTGGTTTAGGGGGTGTTGGGGATCTGATCGTGGGCTTTGGGTGTGGTAGGCAAGCATTCTACCCAAGCCCACTTATTTCTAAACATCTGTGGATTCTATCAGTTTCTTCTTTTCCTTCTGTTTTGTCTTGTATTTGAGACAGAGGTCTTGCTGTGTGGCCCAAGATCACCTAAAGATCCTCTCCCTCTCCATCCTGAGTGCTGGGCTTTCAGCTTTGTAACACCATCCTTGGCATTCTTTATTCACACACTGATATGACAACAATAACTCACATTATTATTAAACACTTAGTTTATGCCAGGTGCTATCATAGCTGCTTTTCATTTACTCAGGTATTTCTGTTTTTTTTTCCCTCCCAGAGAAAATCCTAAGTAGTGGTTACTTTTATCCCCATGTTGCCCATTAGACAATGGAGTCACAGATTTCATAACTAGTAGTATAGTTAGGATCTGAACTCAGGGACTTGCCTCTGAAACTCTTGTTTTTATCTGACATATGTTCTCCTGTGCCAGCCTGCTGTCTGCTGCTGAGTCCTGTGAGCATGGAGAAGTACTACATGGACAAGCTTAGCCTCTGTTTCTTCTCTGTGTTTGTTTTCTCAGTTGTAGGGAACAGAGTAGAACAATAGCATTCTAACTGGTGGTGTAATTGGTGACATCTTTAGGGAAAATGATGAGATTTCATTTTACAAAAACCCTATTCAGATGGTTAAGTTAATTTCTTGATTTCTTCTATCTGTAATGTGAACATATAAAAGGGATTGTATGAAAAATGCTTTTTCTTCTCCATGTTTATAATCAGTACTCACTGTAGAAAATTTGGGAAAGTAATAGGAGAGTAATATGAAGAAAATAAAAACATCATCTGAGGGACCACAATCCAGATTTAGTCATAGTTAGTATTTGGATGTGTTTTTCATAGTTTCTCTATACATATGAAAAAGTATTTTTATGCAGTTGGCATCATTATATATCTGATTCAATTTTCTTTTCCATGTAACATTGCATCAGCTGTATTTAACACATTTGCTTAATATGTGTATCCATGTTTGTGAAGTTTCAAATGCTTTTTAGATGTTTGTTTTGTCATCTATCTTAGATTACTAAATCAAAGTTTGTAGCACTGGATCCTAAAAATCTCATCAGATTGGCATGTAAGGGTGAGGCCAACCAAGCAGCAAGGGTAGGCACTGAATTTGGATTGTAGGCAGTAGGTAATATGAATGTAAACTGGGGAAAACTAAATGGAGTAAGTAGTTTATGACTGGTGTGGCTGGGATCAGATTGTAGTTTAGGGCTCAAAAGCCTGATGAATTTAACAGCTAGCTAGGCTATCTCTGACAATGGACTTGGTAGCCTTAAGGTAGGTAGGATATTATGTAAAAACAGTGGTTTGTTTGTTTGTTTGTTTGCTTTTTGGTTTTTACGAGACAGGGTTTCTCTGATTTGTTTTGGAGGCTGTCTGTCCAGCCCAGCCTCAAACTCACAGAGATCTGCCTGCCTCTGCCTCCCGAGTGCTGGGATTAAAGGCGTGCGCCACCACCGCCCGGCTTAGTGGTTTGTTTTTTTTTTAGATTTTATGTACATGGGTGTTTTAGCTACATGTATGTTTGTACACCACTTGGATATCTGGCGCCCTCTAAGGCTAGGATGGGGTATTGTATCCCCTGGAATTTGAGTTGCAGATGGCTATAAGATACCATATAAGTGCTGAGAATCAAACCTGGCTTGTTTGGAAGAACAACCTCTGAGTCATCTCCATCTCCCCAGCCCCAGGGGCAGTGTTTTGTGTTCTTTCTGTGTGTTTCCCCTGAGCAGTTTGTGTTGCGATCAGTGTCTTGGTTCTGAGGTAAATCAGTGTTGACTGGCATTGGTAGCTCTGTACTTGTTCTGGCATCAGTCTCTGCACTTAGCATTACATACTGCACCTATAATAAGTTCACATATAAGATAACTGACTCGGAGTGATGAACAAATTCATTGTCTTTCCAGGCCTGGGGCAGAATGTGTGATAGTTAAATTAGGTGGCATTAAGTGCTGGGGAGGTGGCTCAGCAGTCAGAGTGCTTGCTGGAGTTGATGGAATCCTTAGAACCCATGTAAATGCTGGGAGAGCATGATGGCCTACTGGTTAATCCAACTTCAGAAGGTGGAGATGGGATCCATGGAGCAAAGCTGGTTTGCAACACTAGGAAGAGTTAAGTAAGATTGGTGACATCAACCTTGGGCCTCCACAGACACCCCCAACACGTGCATACACACTTGCACCCACACACATGTACACATTCATACACATGCACACCATATACACAAACACATGACAAAAATTAATCTGACTATTCCTACAGAAGATGTGAGAACGAGCTATGATAATCTGAGAGGGTTTAGAGGAGACAATGTAATTTCCGTTTACTATGGGTGGGGCAGATATGCTCAGATGAAACACCATTTTAATTCTGTATCTAAAAATAGATGTGGCCTAGTGAGATGATTAAAAATGCTTGACTAGAAAGCCTGACAATCTGAGTGTTGTCCCTGGAGCCAATAGTGGAAGTCGAAAAACCACTCCTGAAAGGTGTCGTCTGAGTTCCTTATGTGTGCACATGCATGGGAAGGATTGATGCGACACAACCTATCATGTTAGTTTTCTGAAAATTAGGACACTTGTTTTAGAAATGGAAATTTCTGTGACATAATTGCTGCTTAGTATTGGAGCATGACTAACATTGGTGAGTGATAATTTCTTAATTCATTTTTCCTGTGTGGAATCAGATGAGCCCTTGGATATGTCAGTGATGCCTGAAGAAGGAGGGGAGACTTTCCAGAAGCTTCAGGATGGCGAAGCAGTGGAGATAGAAAAGCCTCATGTCCCGTCTCAGCCCGCAGTATCACCACAAGTGTCAACACCAGTGTCTCAGAGCGCACCTGTCTTCACTCCGGGCTCTCTTCCCATCCCGTCCCAGCCTGAGTTTTCTCATGTGAGTGTTGAAGGGACAGTCTCCTCCTCCTGATGCCTTTGCTTCCCTCCTTACTTTTTGTTGTTGTTTGTTTTCACCATAGGGTTTCTCTGTGTATTAGCTCTGGCTGTCCTGGAACTTGTTTTGTAGACCATGCTGGTCTCAAACTCAGAGCTTCCCTCTTTACTTTGTGCTTCAGGGATTTGAACCTAAGGATACAGTGTCTTAGAGTTTCTGTTGCTGTGAAGAGGCACCATGACCATGGAAAACATTTCATGGTGGGACATGGAGGTGTGTAGGCAGACATGGTGCTGAAGGAGCTGAGAGTTCTACATCTTAGTCTGCAGGCAGCAGGAGACTGTGACACTGGACATGACGTGTGCCTGCGAGTGTTACAGCTCTAGAGGGAAAGGTATCCTAACTTGTTGGGGAGTCAGGCTGTATCTGGAGCTGCAAAGGAACAGCTTTGGAGTCTGGAGCTTACTTTGACTTGTTGGAAGGTCAGGCTATAAGCTGTAATAAGACAGCTCTGGAGGGAAGGGTAGCCTCACTTGTCAGGAAGTCAGGTGATACCTGAAGCTGGGGTGCCATGGGGGATGGTCTCCCTTGCAGGATGTAGCAATCTTGCTCCTCTTGGGAATGTCCTAGCAGAGTTATCCATTTCTTCTGCTTTGCTCAGCTCAGTCCCAAGATGTACGTCAGCTTCATTGCTAAAGGGGAAACCCCTGCAGGAATGTCGCACTCTCCTTCCTGCTCTACTCCTAAGGAGTTTTTCAGCAGATGTAACTGCTTCTTCTGCTTTTTTCTGCTCAGCCCCTCCAAGGGAGCCTCTCAGCAAAGGCTCTTTTTTCTGCACTGGAGAAAGAAGATCTTCATCCAAAACTCTGTTAAGAAAGATTTATTTGAAAGGAAGAAGGAGTCTAGAAGATTGGCTGCCTCTGCCAGGGTAGGAAAGGACAGCCAGCAACTGAACAGGCAGAGGGGCTTATATAGCACTTATGGGGGGGCGGAGTTTTCCCAGAGAGATTTTCTGCTCAGGGATTGGTTAGATTTCCTGCTTAAGGATTGGTTGGCTTAGTTGGTCAGGGTCAGAATTGCTCTGGTTTCAGGGCCAAACTGTGTTTCTTTCTTTTTTTTTTTTTTTTTTGGTTTTACGAGACAGGGTTTCTCTGTTTTGGAGGCTGTCGGTCCAGCCTGGCCTCGAACTCACAGAGATCCGCCTGCCTCTGCCTCCCGAGTGCTGGGATTAAAGGCATGCGCCACCAACGCCCAGCTTTTCAAACTGTGTTTCTTTTACTGGCTCTTTTTTAGCCTTTCGGCTCTATTTTCGGGGCTAAGGCATATTTCTTTCACTGGCTCTGGTTCTTGGACCAAAGTGTTTCTTTGGCTCTGGTTTCAGAGTCAGGATGTGTTTCTTTGGTTCTGGGTTCAGGATCAGCGTGCTAGATTTTGTGCTCAGGGATCTTTGGTATCATGTTCGGTTCACTAGTTCTGGTTTCAGGGCCAGGGTAGCTTCTTTGGCTAACCCTTATACCCTACAGTTTGAGCACATATGAGACCTCAAAGCCTGCCTCCACAGAGACACACTTCCTCTATCAAGATCACACCTATTCCATCAAGGCCACGCCCTTTAATATTAGCACTCCTATGGGCCAAACATTTAAACACACGAGTCCATGGGGGCCATACCTATTCAAACCACCACACACTGGTTCTAGGCAAGTGCTTTGCCACTGAGCTACATATCTAGACTAATCTTAAGTATGCTATTTTTTGGTTTTGTAAGTCTACCCTTTAATGGCTGAGCCATCTGGTGGTGTCACACACCTTTAATCCCATCACTTGGGAGGCAGAGTCAGGCAGATCTCTGAGTTTGAGGCCAGTCTGGTCTACTGAGTGAGTTCCAGGGCCGCAAGAGCTACACAGAGAAACTGTGTTTTGAAAAGCAAGCAAAAGTGTTTTCTTGTTTGTGCGTGTGTGCATGGCATGCATGTGTAGAGGTGTGAGGGTGACTTTGGCATCACTTCTCCTGCTTTTCTGAACCCCCACCTTTGCCTGATGGCTTGTTTGGTCAAGGTCAGTGGTTCTCAGCCTTCCTAATACAACCTCATGTTGTGATGACCCCCAACCATAAAATTCCTTTTGTTGCTACTTAATAATTGTAATTTTGCTCAGGGGGTGGTAGTGTACGCCTTTAATCACAACACTCAGGTGGTAGAGACAGGTGGTTCTCTGAGTTCGAGGCCAGCCAGGCCTACAGAGTGAGTTCCAGGGCAACCAAGGCTACACAAAGAAATCCTGTCTTGAAAAAACAAAAAACAAAAAAAAGTGTAATTTGTTACTGTTATGAATCATAATGTAAATATATGCTATACAGGGTATCTGATATGGAACCCCTGTGACAGGGGTCATGACCCACAGGTTGAGAACCACTGATCTAGTTTCTCATGCAGGTTAGGGGGCATTTTTCTTAGATCCCTTTTCTACCTTATTTTATAGTCTGTAGGTTATGGAATTATAGGTAATTGGTGATACCAATTTTCAAGGCCTTACACTCTTGATTTTGTGTTTCTGGTGCATCTATTGGATATTATAAGGCAAATCTGATCTTGCTTTGGGCCTGTGACCTGTTTTGTGTGTGTGTGTGTGTGTGTGTGTGTGTGTGTGTGTGTTTTAAAATTATAATCCTGTAGGATTTTCTCTTGTCCCAGTGTCTGTACTCCCCAACCCCAGATGTCTCTGGGTGTGTCAGGTTGACAGCTGAAGCTAACTATGACAGCATGATTTCAGGGTTCATCTGTGTTACTGCATGGAACAGAATTTCAGTCCGTTTTACTATGACTGATACTGTTGTGGATGTAAGACATTGACTCTTTAGTTCAGTTGATGAACGTTGGGACTGCTTTTCTTTTTGTGTCTGTGAATCATTGCTACCATGAAAGCTGATGCACAGACTTGTGTGAAGATATGTTTTATTTCTCTTATGTAAACTGGGGGTGCAGTTGCTGGGCATCTTCTATTTTAATCCTTGGAGTTACTAATTTCTGTGCTTTTGTTTTGAATTTTTGCTGTCTTTTTCTCTGAATAATTTTTGTCTTGCTTTATGTATATATTTTCTTTAATGGTAATGATTATTTTGAAAGTTTTCTCTTCTGCAGAGGGGTCACAGTTTTAAGTAGGCTTTATAATGCATTTATTTAAGGGGTGCTAGGGACAGAACCCACAGCCTCAAGCATGCTGTGCAAATGAATGCTCTCCAACTAAGCATCAGTTCTTACTTGTTTTTGAGACAGAGCACTGCTTTGTAACCCAGTCTAGCCTTACTTGTTATCCTCCAGCCTTGGTCTCCTAGCTTTTGGGATCACAGCATGTGTCACCATGCTATACTTGTTTGCTGTTTGGGAACCATACCATAGGCCTGGTGAATGACATGTATGTGCTTTACCAATAGGTTAGACCAAAGACCAATTCTGTTTCCCTTTTTTTTTTTTTTTTTTTTGAGGTAGTGTCAAGTGGTATCATAAGCTACTCACTGTGTAACTGAGGATGACATGGAATTTCTGATCTCCTGCCTCAGCATCCTGAGTGGTGGAATTGCAGGCAGTACTCTGCCACATGTTTTTTGTTTTTTTGAGACAGGGTTTCTCTGTATTGTTTTGGAGGCTGTCCTGGAACTCATTCTGTAGACCAGGCTGGCCTCGAACTCACAGAGATCTGCTGCCTCTGCCTCCCGAGTGCTGGAATTAAGGGCATGTGCCACCACTACCCAGCTTGTTGAGTAATATTATTAATACTAGGGCTGGAACCTAGGGCTTTGTGCATGCTAGACACGAACTCTTCCAACTGAGCTATATCTCCAACTTGTTTTGATGTCTTTTACATTTAATTCATTTGGAGTGTATGTGTGTGTGCTCATGTTCACATGTGTGGCCTAGTACATGTGTGAGGTCAGAAGACAACTTGAATGTATTGGTTCTGTCTTGTGGGTCTGGAAACCAAATTCAGTCAACAGACTTGACAAGCAAGTGCTTTTACTTTCTATCTTAATCATTGTTCGATTGCTGTGAAGAGACACTATGGCCATGGCTACTATTATAAGAGAAAGCATTTAATTGGGGATTTGCTTACAGTTTCAGAGGTATAGTCCTTTATCACCATGATGGGGAGCATGGAAGCATGCAGGCAGGCACTGTAGCAGTAGCTCAGAGCTATATCATGATCAGTAGGCAGAGAGAAAGGGAAGGAGGGAGGGAGGAAGGGAGGGTGGGAGTGAGGGAGTGAGGGAGGGAGGGAGGGAGGGAGGGAAGGAGGACTTGATGTGGGCTTTTAAAACCTCATTAAAACCTCAAATTCCACACCCAGTGACACATTCCCTCCAGGGCCATACTTCTAATCCTTTCAAATACTACCACTTCTTGACAGCTAAGCATTTAAATGTAGAGTCTATGGGGCTGCCATTTCTATTCAGACCACCATGACTACTGAGCCATCTTGCTGGCCATAGCTCTGTCATTTATTTATTAATTAATTTATTTATCTATCTATCTATCCACATATCTATCTATCTATCTATCTATCTATCTATCTATCTATCTATCTATCTATCTGTTTTTGAGGCAGGGTTTCTCTATGTAGTTTTGGAGCCTGTCCTGGAACTAGCTTTTGTAGACCAGGCTGGTCTCGAACTCACAGAGATAGATCGGCCTGCCTCTGCCTCCTGAGTGCTGGCTTTAAAGGCGTGTTCTATCACTGTCCGCTTGTCTTTTATTTACTTATTTATTCTTAAGATTTATTTATTTATTATGTATTCAGTGTTCTGTCTGCGTGTATGCTTGCAAGCCACGAGAGGGTTCTGGATCTCATTACAGATGGTTGTGAGTCACCATGTGGTTGCTGGGAATTGAACTTAGGACCTCTGCAAGACCAGCCAGTGCTCTTAACCCCTAAGCCATCTCTCCAGCCCTTATTTATTTATTGTAAATATTTATTTATATATTATGCATGCGTGCACGCCAGAAGAGGGCACCAGATCTCATTACAGATGACTGCAAGCCACCTTGTGATTGCTGGGAATTGAACTCAGGACCTCTGGAAGAGCAACCAGTGCTCTTAAACCTCTAAGCCATTTCTCCAGCACTCCTCCTTCTTCATGACTTATTTTTATTTTATGTGCATTGCTGTTTTGACTGCATGTATGTCTGTATGAAGGTGTCAGATCCTTTGAAACTAGAGTTACAGACAGTTGCAAGCTGTCATGTGGGTGCTGGGAATTGAACCCAGGTGCTCTGGAAGAGTAGACAGTGCTCTTCATATCTGAACCATCTTTTAATGTGGACTTTCCCTTATCTGCTGATATTTAAGAGTGAGAAAGCAAAACTCTGGGTTAATAGTTCTGAGGTGATAGTTGGAACTTCTTGTTTTGGTCCTCATTGAGTGTGATCTGCTGGGTACATTTTGTCAGGTGTGCCTTAATGTCAGAATCCTTAGTGTCTTGGGTTGGTCCCTAGAAAAGTGCAATCCCCTGCCTGCTGGGTACAGAGCTTGTTGGTATTAATAAGTCCTTTAAAGGAAGAAGGTTTGGGATGAAGGTGATGACACATAGGGATAGGTTCTGCTCAGTCTGTAGATTTTGTTTAATCCCTCTAACTTCAGGATGGTACTCTTATACCTGGGCCGCCTGTTCTCCAGTCCAGGGCATTGTGTTTTATTTTCTCAGGGCAGAGGAGGGGCAGGGAAAGAGGATATGGGCGTTGAACTGCTTCTTAAATAGACTTCCAGGCAGCCCTCGTCCTGTTTTAGCAGCACCCTTACCATGACTTTTAGAATTAGCTGATACTACTGCCAAGTCCTAAGTAAAGCCTTTTCGGGGAGAGGGGGCATGGGCATGTTGTTACCCTGGTAACTTGTTGACTTTCTCTTATTTGGCCTTGTAATTACTTGTCTACCAAGTAGATTGTCACTCTTCCACAACACACACTCACACACACACACCACGTTTGTGTGTAGTTCTCTCTTTTTTTTTTCTTTCTTGAGAATTATGCACATTAGATAAAAATACTTTTACCATTGTTTAGCATGGTTTCAGAAATAATAAAAATGATATTGTTGCATCTACCCTTTATTTGTTGTTTTGTTTTTTGAGACAGGGTTTCTCTGTATTGTTTTGGAGGCTGTCCTAGAACTCACCTTGTAGACCAGGCTGGTCTCAAACTTACAGAGATCAGCCTGCCCCTGCCTCTGCCTCCCGAGTGCTGGGATTAAAGGCGTGCGCCACCAATGCCCCGCTGAATCTACCATTTTAATTTGAATGTTACCTTGTTTTTTTTGTTTTTACTGTGTGCCAAATTTCTACATGTTATTCTTTTTTTTTTTAATTGTAAGATTCTTTTTTTTTTAAGATTTGTTTATTTATTACGTATATAGTGTTCTGCCTATATGCCAGAAGAGGACACCGGATTGAATTGTAGATGGTTATGAGCCACCATGTGGTTGCTGGGAATTGAACTCAGGACCCCTGGAAGAGCAGTCAGTGCTCTTAACCTCTGAGCCATCTCTCCAGCCTTTATTCTTAAAGGTAGAAAGACAAGAGTTGACTAATAAGAGTTTTGCTGATTGACACATGCTGTGATACCCATGCTCATATGCACATACTGTGTGTATATACAAATACACACACACACACACACACACACCCCACCACCAACATCACTAACACCATCAAATAACAAGTTAAAAATAAATAAAATGCCAGGCAGTGGTGACACATGCCTTTAATTTCAGAACTCAAGAGACAGAGGCAGCTTTATCTCTGTAAATTTGGGGCTAGCTTGGTTGAGTTCGAGGACGGCCAGGGTTGTTACACAGAGAAACCCTGTCTCGGAAAAAAAAACAAAAACCCAAATGAATGAATGAGTGAATGAATACATAAATCGGGTTAATTTAAAGCAAAACATGGAGGCACATGCCTATAATTATAGCACATGTGTGGTAGAAGCAGGAAGAACAGGCATTCAACAACAACCTGGGCTACAGTGAGTTCTTGTTTTAACCTTTACCCTACCCCACCCCTTCAAAGGAAAAAAAGAAAAACAAACAATAGGATGGCTTGGTGCTTGGTAGGTATTTGCAGCAAAAGCCTGAGAGCCTGAGTTTATTCACCAGAATAATGAAACAAAAATGGAAAGAGAGAATTGATTCTCAAAAGTTGTCCTCTGACCTCCAAATAGTGTTTATGTTAGGAACAATGCTCTGTGTACACACATACTCACACTATTTTTTTTTTTTTTGAGACAAATTCTTACAGTGTGGTCTTGACTGCCCTGGACCTCACTATGTAGACTGGGCCGGCCTTGTACTCATAGAGATCCACTTGTCTTTTTCTTCCAAGTGCTGAAATTAAAGGTGCATGCCTTAGCCGAGTGTGTGCTTGTGCATATTGTGATAGGATCCCACTTTGTAGATGACCTAGAATTTATAGCAGTCTCTCACCTTTGCCTCCCAAGCTCTAGGATTACTGGCATATTCCACAGTGCCTGGGGCTTTGTGTAAGTTTTGAATTTTTGGTTGTTTTTTGTTTGTTTTTTAAGACAGGGTTTCTCTGTGTAACAGCTCTGGCTATCCTGTAACTCACTCTGTAGACCAAGCTGCCCTCGAATTCATAGAGCGAATTCGTGGAGATCCACTTGCTTCTGCCTCTCCAGTGTTGGGATTAAAGGCATGTGCTACTGCAGCCTGCTTGGGTTTTTTGTTGTTTTGTTTTTGGTTTTTGAGACAGGCTTCTCTACATAATCTTGACTGTCCTGGAATTTTCTATGTAGACTTTAAAACTCACAGAGATTTTTCTTGCTTCTGCCTCTCTGCCTGACACGTTTGAATATTCTTGTGCTTGGTAAGCTGGTACTTTTAGGTTTTGTTTTGGATTGTGCTTATTTTCTTTGCCAGAGACTTTATAAGAAATTCACTGAACAGAGTGACTGGTGTAGTTGAAAGACAGGTTGTAAGGTTTGAGTTCTGGAATTACAGCCCTCACTGCATTTCTTTAATTTTTGAATAATTGATTTAGAAATGTAGGTGAATTAGATATAAAAGAAACATGATCTGGACAACTGATAGCCTAACTTTATTTTATCCTTCCTTAGGATATTTTCATTCCATCACCAAGTTTGGAAGAACCATCAAGTGATGGGAAGAAAGGTGACGATTTGCATAGCTCATCTTTGACTGTGGAGTGTTCTAAGACTTCAGAGAGTGAACCAAAGAATTTCACTGATGACCTTGGGCTCTCCTTGACAGGGGAGTCTTGCAAACTGATGCTTTCTACAAGTGAGTATAGTCAGTCCTCAAAGATGGAGAGCTTGGCTTCTCCCAAGAGTGAGGGAGATGGAGAGAACACACAGATTGAGGACATTGAACCGTTGTCTCCAGTTACCAATTCTAAACTTCCCGCTGAAACTGATGATATCCTGATGAATCCAGCACAGGATGACCATGAAGAAATGAATCAGAATGATGACAAAATAGAAGGGGGTGACACAGAGAACAGAGCTGATGATGGTGTTTTAGCTGCTGGTAGTAAAGGCAGAGAAGACACTGTTGCTGAAGATGTTTGCATTGATCTCACGTGTGATTCTGGAAGTCAGGCAGTTCCGTCTCCAGCTACTCGATCCGAGGCACTTTCTAGTGTCTTAGATCAGGAGGAGGCTATGGAAATTAAAGAACAGCATCCAGAGGAGGGATTTTCAGGATCTGAGGTTGAGGAAGTCCCTGAGACTCCCTGTGAAAGTCACAGAGAGGAGCCCCAGGAAGAAACAATGGAGAGTATCCCACTGCACCTTTCTCTGACTGAAACCCAGTCCCAGGCATTGTGTCTTCAGAAGGAAGTGCCCAAAGAAGAATGCCCAGAGGCCATGGAAGTAGACCCTGCTGTGATTAGTGTTGACTCCCCTCAGAAGCTGCTGGTACTCGACCAGGAGTCAGAGCATAAGGAGCCAGAAGCCTGGGAAGAAGCCGCTTCTGAGGACTCCAGTGTTGTTATCGTTGATGTGAAGGAGCCCTCGCCAAGAGTTGTGCCCTGCGAACCTTTGGAGGGAGTGGAGAAATGCTCAGATTCCCACTCCTGGGAGGATGTTACGCCAGAGGTGGAACCATGTGCTGCGAATAGAGTGGACACTCCCAAGGAAAAAACTGTAGACTGTGACGGAGATGTGAAAGCAGAGACCACAGCAAAGGACTCTGTAGAGGAAGCCTCTCCACAGCCTCCTTTGCCTTCAGTGAGAGATGAGCCTCCCAGACCCGACCAGGAGATGCAGCAGCCCCAGCTTCAGGAGAAAGAGAACCCAGAGACCATAGATGTAAAAGTGGCTGATGCCAAGCAGCTGGGGTCAGAGGGAGCATCCCAGGAACTTGTGAAGGCCCCTGCCCGCGACTCTCAAAGTTTCTGTGAGAGTTCTAGTGGTGAGTGATGGTAGATTCATTTTGAGCTGTCCAGCCAGGTTCCTGTTTGGAAAGGAAGGTAGGAGAGTTCTTGCTCTGTGTCAGAACTGCATTAGCTTGAGGGAATAAATACTTGGTACTTGGGAAATTTGAGATTAGTGTTTGTAGTTTTCTTTTATAGTTATAATTATTTGTATGACCAGTGAGCATTTGAGATATATCAGGATCGTAATTCAGTAGTAGTCATTATGTGTAGTTAGGAATTGTACCAGTTTAATTTTTTCTACTTAGGTCCTGCCCTTGAGGCTCCCCTGGCACCCCTTGGTTAACCTCATGTGAGCTCTGCAGGTACCACCAGTGATCCATACCTGTATCCCTAACAAGTACAGATTCCTTTCTTTTTCTGTCTATCTTATCCTATCTATTTCTGTGTCTCTCTGTCTGTCTCTCTCTGTGTGTCTATCTATCTATGTATCTATCTTTGCCTTTTTTGGTTCAAGGTTTCATTTTTACAGTTCAGACTGGCCTCACATTTTCTATTTTCCTGATTTTTAACACTTTTACTTTAAGACAATATTTTAAATTTATTTTTTGGAAATTTCATAGATTTACACATTGTATTTTGATTATATCCATCCACCATTACCTTCCTCTAAACTCCTGGTGCCCCTGACCCCATTACCCTCCCAACTTCATGTCCTTCTTTTATGTTATTAAACTTCCACCCCTGGGTCCAATGAGTGTTACCCATACATGCATGATTGTGAGGCCATCCACTGGGGCATGTGTAACCTACCTGTGGCTGTATCCACAAAGGCGCGTCCTCTCTCAGCAACCATGCTAGGAGCTTGATGGTTTGGTCTTGTGCAGATCCACTGCAGGTGACTGTAGGTGCTAAGAGTTGATGTGTGTAGCAGCCGTGCCGTGTCCAGAAGTCAGCATCTCACAGCTCTCCCCTCCTCCACCAGCTCTGATGCTTTCCGCCTCTCTAAAGCCTTGGATGGGGCAGTTAATGGACATGATTTACCCCAGCTGAGAGCACTCATGGTCACTTACTTGTTCCTGTAACTTGACTAGATAGGAGTCTGCAGTAACTGTTGCCCACTGTGGAAAGAAGCTTTTCTGACCACGGTTGAGAGCAACATACACCTATAGGTAGAAACATAAATGTTTAGATGGCAGATTTACAGCTTGACATGTAATATAACAGTACATTCCCAGCTGTGACCTCTGATCTCCCTAGTCACGGGCTTTTGACAAGGTTATAGTTACCATGCCTTCAAATGTTTTATTTTTCTGTCTGCATGTCTCAGGTGCTGGGGTTGCAGCAGTGTGCCATCATGCCTGCCAGAATACCTTTTAATTACTTTTTATAGTTGTATGCAAAAGAATATTCTGAGATACTGAAATATTAGTTATAATTGTATTCTTCATGAGTACTATAACAGCTTATGCAGTTAGTTGCCAGGATGAATTGTTTTTTGTCATTGACACTGCCATATTAAAATTTATTTTGCTAATATTAGTCTGGATACATGAAAATGCTGGAAAACTATTTGTTTCTCTTCTCCTTGCCTCTCCCTTCACCCCTCTGCCCCCTCTCCTTCCTTTCCTAACTGCCCCACACCCTTCTACTTCCCTCCTTCCCTTTCCCTTAACTCCTCCTCCTCCCTGCTCCGGAACTCCCTTCCTCCTCCCTTCGACTCCCTTCGACTCCCTTCGACTCCCTTCGACTCCCTCCCTCCCTCCCTCCCTCCCTCCCTCCCTCCCTCCCTCCCTCCCTCCCTCCTCTCTCATTTGGCTAAGAAGTTCAGTGTATGCTCCCTGCACTGGGGAGGTATCCTGAAAGTGGGTCCCTCCCTTTTCTTCTTAAGAAGTGATTCCCTGTAGGGTTGGGGATGTAGCTTGGTGGTAGAGCCTTGAATCCAGTCTCCGGCACTGGAAGGAGTAGGGAGGGAAAGAAAATGAAAGAAAAAAAATAGTTGTCTTAAAAAAAAGTGTAGCACAATATTCTAATTGGTTTTAATAATAAAAACCCGGAGCCAGATATTAGGGGTGAAAGCTGCAAGATCAGAGAAGCAGAGCGGCCACTAGAGCTCTCACCTCTGTGAAACCCTCAGACCGAAAGGAGGTGAGCTCCTGTCTCTTCTCATCTTACATTCCTCCTCCACCCAGCCATATCACTTCCTGTCTGTCTGTACAGACCTCTAACCTCATGGCTAACTAGTGGCTAGCTCTGCCTTCTGATCTTCAATAAATAAACTTTGTTAGATTATAAATAAGACATCACCACAAACAAGTTTTATGTGCATGGGCGTTTTGTCTGCATATATGTATTTGTCTCACATCTATGCATCAATTTATTGGATAGAAAAAAAGCAATGAAAATAATGGTTGGAAAATTGTATTTATGAAAAGTTAAGGGATTAAAGGTTGTAGCTGGAGAATGGCTCAGTGGTTGAGGCTGTTTACCAGAATTTCGTTTCCTGTACCTTACAAATGCCTGTAACTGTAGCTTCAGAGGATCTGATGCCGTTTTCTGGCCTCTGCAGTCACTAGACCCACACATGGGGCACAGTCATGTGTGAGGTACAACACCCATGCACAAAATAAAAATAAATGTCTTTAAAAAAAAAGATCTAGGTAGAGGCAAACACCCATAGCTAAATACTGAACTGAACCCCTGGAACCCAGTGACAGAGAGGGAGGAGTGATGAGCAAAGGGGTAAAGAATGGACTGGTGAACCCACAGAAACAGCTGACCTGAACAAGGGGGAGCTCTTGGACCCCAGACCGACAGTTGGGAGGCCAGCATGGGACTGATCCAGACCCCCTGAATGTGGGTGTCAGTGAAGAGGCCTGGACAACATATGGGTCCCTGGGCAGAGTAGATCAGTATTTATCCTTAGCATACAAATGGACTTGTGTGTCCATACCACAAGAGGGATGCTCTCTCAGCCTGGAATCTTGGGGGAGTGCTTGGACCCTGTCCTGAATGAAATGACAGACTCTGGATATTCTCTATAGGGAAGGGAGTGGGGATAGGGTAGGTGGCTGGGTGGACTGGGGGGGTGCAGGAGGAGGGGAAGGAGGGAGCTGGGATTGACGTGGGAAGCAAGTTTTTTTTTGTTTTGTTTTTTTGTTTTTGTTTTTTACAAGACAGGGTTTCTCTGTATTGTTTCGGAGGCTATCGGTCCAGCCCGGCCTCGAACTCACAGAGATCCACCTGCCTCTGCCTCCCGAGTGCTGGGATTAAAGGCGTGCGCCACCACCGCCCGGCGGGAAGCAAGCTTTTTTTAAAAAAAAAAGTAATAAAAAATCAATAAAAATAAAAAGATTTAGGAATTTTAGTTAAGGATAGGCCTGATTTAGTTTATGTCATGTATGAAAAAGCCCCTGGGACTAAGTCAGCCCAGTATCTAGCTCAAAATAAACAATGGCATCATTGTCCTCAAACAGCTGGAGTCTATACTTGTATCTTGGGACAGGAGTTAAAAATATTTAAAAAAGAAAACAAAAGTTTTATTTAGAAATTAGAACAGGAAGAATAATAGTTTTTTATGCAGAAGAAACAGAGAAATACAGCTTATGGATGAGTTGGATGTGTAGCTCATTGATAGGGAGGTTGGCTTTTCGCTCCCTCCCTCCCTCCCTCCCTCCCTCCCTCCCTCCCTCCATCCCTCCCTTTCTCCCTTCCTTCCTTTTGTCCTTTTTCTTTCTTTTTTCTGTTCTTTCTTTCTTCTTTTGTTTTTTCAAGACTGTTTCTCTGAAGTTTTGGAGGCTGTCCTGGAACTCACTCTGTAGACCAGGCTGGCCTTGAACTCACAGACCAGGCTGCCTCCTGAGTGCTGTGATTAAAGGTGTTTGCTACAACTGCCTGGCTCTTTGTCAATTTTAGTGACAGGTTCTCTCTGTGCCCCACAGCAGTTGTGCTGTTGGCCTCAGTTACAGATCTGTCTACCTGGCGTGAAGACTTTTTGTTGTTTTTAAAAAGAAGGTCTCTTAACTGTATGTAGCTGAGGCTGACACTGAAGTTTTTTTTGATCCTTCTGTCTCCACTCCCAAGTGCTGACACTACTTGTGTTCTTCAAGGACAGTGTATGTGGTGCCAGGGTCTGAGGTGGCTTCGTACACACCAGACAAGCACGTGACCTGCTGAGCTACATCCCAGCCCTAATAGTGCTAAAGTAAGAAAAAGCACACATATTGTTCAAGCAAAGTGAGATTGGCACTGAAAAGGGGATAGATGAGAGAGAGCAGGGAAGAATAGAGAGGCAGCCAGTCTGAGTCCTTCCACGTCGGATTGCTGTCACTGCTAGCAGTGTGGCGGGCGGCGTCTCCACACACCCGTCTGTGGAGGGTGTCCCTGACAAGGCTGTGCTGGACAGCTCCCGCTCTGTTAGCAAGTTCCTGGTTGCTCATGTGAAAAGCTACGTTCATTGAAGTTCCTTCCTTGGGTTACTCATGGCCAGAGAGACACTGCATCTGTGTTTAAGATGAAGCTGTCACCTCTGTTGGTTTGCTTGATGGACTGTCATCCTACCTGGGATTGTATCACAAACCAATTCATAGATTATTATGCACAGCGTCACAGTGTAGAAATTTCTTTTGTTTACTTCTTTTTTTTCTGAGACTGTCTTATTTATTTTAGCCCTGATGGGCCAAGTGCGTACTCAGTAGCTCAGGCTAGCTTCAAACTTAGTACCTATGCCTCCTGAGTGCTGGGATAACAGGCACTCCCTGTTATATTCCACCTTATGTTTTTGTTGTTGTTGTTGTTGTTGTTTTGTTTTATGAGACAGGGTTTCTCTGTATTGTTTTGGAGGCTGTCGGTCCAGCCCAGCCTCGAACTCACAGAGATCCGCCTGCCTCTGCCTCCCGAGTGCTGGGATTAAAGGTATGCGCCACCACCGCCCGGCCACCTTATGTTTTTAGTTAGATGGCTTTTCATCAGTGTAAGATGTGAGCAGTTCTTTTAATTATGTGTGAAGACAGACGGAAGCTGCTTTGCAGCATAGCCCAGTTAGGGGAGACCTTGCTTGCGTTGCATCTTTAAAGACTAGGGCTTTTGGGTTTCAGACCTGTCCTCACTCACCAGCCCTCTCCCATTCTTGGGGGGGGGGGTGCTTTTCTCTTCTTTAATAACTATCTGTTTCTATCTTTTATGAAATTCCCAAGGGGGAATTAAATGCAAACTGGAGAAACTTTGAGGGTGAGTGCGGTAGCTCATGTCTATATCTAGTCCTCGGGAGGCAGAGACAGGAGGAATGATGCATGTTGAAGGCTATCCTGATTGATGTACATACATAATTACAGCCTGTTAGGGCTCCCTATTAGACCCTGTCTTACCACCCCCCACACTATAAAGAGTTTTAAATATTGCTTTGAAGTAATGAACCCTGTGAATTTCTTAGAAATAAGACTAAACTTTCTACACAGGTGGTTTCCTTTTGCCTCTATTGTGTCTTCGTTTGTTGATATGCTGATATGCAATAGGATCGCCTATGATAATCTGGTAAAGAAGAAAAGATGTGATAATTTAAATAATGGTCTCAACATGAGAGAACCAAAATGTAGAAAATTCCAGTTAACTTAATAGGATAAAATATGACAACTTATTTTGCAGAATTTGGTGATAATCTGAAATTTTTTTTGTGGTTTTTTTTTTTGAGACAGAGCTTCTTTGTGTAATAGCACTAGCTGTCCTGTAACTTGCTCTGTAGGTCAGGCTGGCCCCGGAACTCACAGAGATTTGCCTGCCTCTGCCTCCCAAGTACTGGAATTAAAGGTACCGCCCGGCTGATAAATCTTTTTTGTTTGTTTGTTTTTGGGTTTTTTGTTTTTGTTTTTGTTTTTTTTTGTTTTTGTTTTTTTGAGACAGGGTTTCTCTGGCTTTGGAGGCTGTCCTGAAACTCGCTTGGTAGTCCAGGCTGGTCTCGAACTCACAGTGATCCGCCTGCCTCTGCCTCCCGAGTGCTGGGATTAAAGGTGTGCGCCACCAACGCCCGGCTTGTTTTTGGTTTTTTTGAGGCAGGGTTTCTCTGTATTGTTTTGGAGGCTGTCCTGGAACTCGCTCTGTAGACCAGGCTGGCCTCGAACTCAGCAGAGATCGTCCAGCCTCTGCCTGCAGAGTCCTGGGGTTAAAGGTTTGCACCATCACTGCCTAGCAGTAATCTAACTTATTAATGGTGATTTTCAGATGACTGAATAAGTACAGCATTTGGAGGATTGAACATGAATAATTAAGAAAAACTGGAGACTTACTTGGCTGCTCCCAGTTAACTGCGCACTGACTAAAGTTTAGGACTTAAAAGTATTTTTAGACTTATTTTATGTGTATGAATGTTTTGCCTACATGTATGTATGAGGACCATGTGCATGCTTGATGCTCACAGAAGCTAGAGAGGGCATCAGATCCCTTGCAGCTGGAGTTATGGATGGTTGTGTACTACCATGTTGGTTCTGGGAACCCAATTTGGGTCCTCTACAGGGTTCTTTCAACTGCTTAAACTGTCTGTATAGGCCAGAGGGTTGGGAATTTCCCTTTTATTGAAAACCTCAAAGGATTTCTAAGCCAGTTTATCGAAAGCCATGTTATCCAGCTTATCTCTGGTTACACTGTTGAAAGAACTGGAGTTGGGGAAAAGGGCTACTGTATGTAGAGAAAATGATTGATAGGCTGTGCTATCCAGGACTGAGGCATTGAAGACTAGATGAAGGTATCAGCAGTGCTGTCCCTAGGGCCTGAAAACATTTCAAGTCTCTATTATATTGATGCAATGAGATGGTCTTAAATTATTTTTAGTAAGTTGTGCCTAGTATTGTGCAAAGGAATCTTGCACCAAGGAACAGTTTCCACAATAAGACACTTACTGTTAAGTTTGAATGTCCATTAGTTTGCCTGCCTCTGCCTTTGAGTGGTGGGAGTGAAGGTGTGTGCTTTCACATCTGACTGAGAAGTACTTACTTTTATGTCTTCAAAAGTTTTTAATGTTTGTAATAATTTAATAGCAACCAACTAAACATGCGTGGGGATGCCTCTTATGGGGATTTACCATGATGCAGAAATGGAGTTTGAATATTGTCACCCTATTTTTATATCTGGAATGAGTGCTGTTCAGAACAGTTGAAGGAAAGCCTCAGATTTGATTGTTAGAACCAATGACTACTTTGAAGTCCTTTTTGGCCCCGGAGATCCTTTGTCACCTTTCAGAACAGACTGTATGTAACATCAGACTTTGCTTTAGAAGTCCTGTGGAACACAGAGCTAAGAAAGGAACTTTCTTGGTTGCATTTACTAAATTATGCTTCTAGACTCAAAGTATCCAGACCTGTGTTGTTTGGTTGTTTGGGTACAATGTTTTGGAAGTAGATGAGCCAGTGTTGCTCAGGCCAGTTTCTTTTTTTGCCTATTCTCTGGTGGTGCCTTGTTATTAGGGCTGATGATGGCTGTAAAGTTGCTGTTTTTTCTAGCGCCAGCAGGGAATTGGTTTGGATGGCTGGTGAAGGTGATAGAAATAAGAATTTGGGAAAAGAACAACTGAAGTTTTTTTTTTTTTGTAGTTCCTTATTTTTGTGTAACGATTACTTCAGTGTTTTTTTTTCATTATTGTGTTTTCATTTTTGTTTATTTCAGAAACCCCATTTCATTTCACTTTGCCTAAAGAAGGTGATATTATCCCACCATTGACTGGTGCAACCCCACCTCATATTGGGCACCTAAAATTGGATCGCAACAGACATAGTACTCCTATTGGTGAGTGATTTATAAAAAAGATATTTAAGGCATTAAAATAAACGCTACTTAAAGACCTTCTAAAGTTCCATTCTTTATGCAAGTGATACTTTAGATCTGAGGAGTTGGCCTGACTGAGAAGGCTAATGCTCGGTTTGGAGGAGCAGGGTATGATTTTACTGCTAGGCGATGAGAGGCGGTAAGAGGACCAAGAGAGGGTCGAGGGAAGAGTGCAAAGTTTTGTCATATCACTGGTAGAACTGGAGAACCAAGCTGGGGTATGGAACTGTTTTGCAAGAAGAGACAGAAGCATGGAGAAGTGCTGTGTGTGCTCAGTGCACTGGCTGGTCAGTCTGCTGCTTGACAGGGCAAGAAGATTTAGATCCTCTACCCTTGGGGCAGCAGGTAGATTTCTACATTAACCTATCTGTTTTCTCTAGTCAGTGCTGGGAGGTAACAGTCATGCCGCCTGGAGTCTCCTGCTACCTATGCCTGATGCTGGCTGATGTGGGTTGGCTGAGGGCTCATGCAGCATCCTTTGTCCAGATGCAGAAGTGGAACTGATCCTGTTGCTCCTCTTAAGACCAGGTGTCAACACTAGTTGGTAGTTGTCAATAATGTGACAGGATCTGTCCTAGGGACCCTCTTGAATCCTGCAGAGTGGTGGAGCCAGACAGGCAAATTGATCATTTCAGATTGCTGTTTTTCATGTTTGTATTTTAGTGTTCTTTCTTTCTTCCTCCCTGCCCCCCTTTCAGGGATTGGCAACTATCCAGAAAGCACCATAGCAACCAGTGATGTCATGTCTGAAAGCATGGTGGAGATCAATGATCCTCTACTTGGGAGTGAAAAAGGAGATTCTGAGTCTGCCCCAGAAGTGGAAGGAAAACTGTATCTGAAAATGAAACTGGTTAGTCCCGAGACAGAGGCCAGTGAAGAATCTTTGCAGTTTAGCCTGGAAAGTAAGTTTTACTTTATATTAGTATTGGGTAATTAGTTACTCCAGGCTATCTAGGAAGTACTAATTGTCTTCTATTTCTAATGAGGGATACTTCTGTCATTGTAAATGTATTTGTTAAAGCTTATTCTCACATTTCATCTTTGACTTTTGGCGAGTCCCTGTGATGTTACTGAAGATGAGGTATTCTGTTATTTTATGGTATTTGTTGCTTGTACCTCTCCCATACTGAGTAATTGTTTTTTACATTCAGGAAGAGTTTAGGGCTTCAGAAATGTCTCAGTGGCTAAGAGCTTGTACTGCTTTTCCAGGAGCCAAGTTCTGTTCCCAGCACCCACATCAAGGGCTCCAAATATCTGTAATTCCAGATCCATGATGATTCCTCTGGTATAACATATCCAATCTCTGTATATATACTTAATTTAAATAAAAGAGTCTGGAGGGGAGTAGGATTGTGAATTACATTATACATTGAGGTTGACACTTTTCCAGACGACACACAAGTTGTTTAGTGTGGTTAGAGTAAAACGAGGGCGTCGGATCCCCTGGGGCTGTGTGAGCTGCCATGTGGGTGCTGGGACTCACACCTGGGTTCTCTGGAAGAACAAGTGCTCCTGACTGCTGACTCTTCAGCCCCCTCCCTTCCCAGAAAGCGTTCTTATAAAAGGGTTTGTAAAGGAACGGAGAGGGGAACTTGGGAAGTAGGGTTAAGCCGTGGAAGCCTGTGAGAAGAAAGTGACAGTGTCGGATGACAGGAGCCGAGGTGCAGTGGGATATGGTTTGGCACCTGGCAGTGGGCGTCATGCTAGCGTGAAGCTTCGGCTTGGCCCAGAGAGAGAGGACAGACAGCTGGCAGCCTGGAAGCAGCGCAGCATGAGGATAGCAAGCATAGGATAGAGCTCCAGCCTGTGCAGAAACACGTTGAGTGGCAGGGGAAATGAGACGTCTACAGCACAGATGAGTAAACAGTCCCCCTGGAATGGCCCTGACCATCGCCTGCTTCATAGAGTGTAGTGCTGACTGTGGGCTGCTAGCAGTTAACCGATTATCACCAGAGAAGAATAAAATGGGTAAGTTGGATTGTGCAAATTGGTATCCATGTAGTAAAACCCATTTCCGTGTGGGATGGGAGCTATACTGAAGGTAATTGAGGAGGAGTGGGTTCAAGTGGAGACAGCAACAGATTGCACTGATGAAAAGTGTATGGGAAAGGAGAGGAAATCCTGACAAGCCCGAGAAAGGGAAGGGTTGATGAAAGAAAGGTTTGTTGTTTCTAGACTGGAGAGGCCTGGGGAAGTTCATAGACTGAAAGAGAGGCTCAAAATCAGGGAGCTCCGGTGAGATGACTGCAGATGAAGGCGCCTGTCCCCAACCCTGACAGCCTGAGCTCCATCTCTGGGACCCATGTGGAAGAGAACTGACTCCAGAACTGTCCTCTGACCACACACACACACACACTGAGACATGAAGACAAAAATGTAGTTAAATTGCTTTTTAGAAGTGAGGGGTAGAAGCCAGGCAGTGGTGGCACATGGCTTTAATCCCAGCACTCGGGAGGCAGAGGCAGGTGGATCTCTGTGAGTTCGAGGCCAGCCTGGTCTACAGAGTGAGTTCTAGGACAGCCAGGACTATACAGGGAACCCCTGTCTCGAAAAACAGCAGCAACAACAACAAGAAATGAGGGATGGGTTAAAGATGAAGGGATGGGTTAATTAAGGTGAAGGTGTTGAAGGAGGTGGGAGGGGCAGTTTAAAAACCTAGTAGGTTTGGACTTCATGAGACCAATTTTAGCTCGTGATTCTGAACTTGTGTATACACATTAAATCTCATGGCTTAGGAAATAGGTCCCATTTATTGTTGTCCAACCTTATTTTGCAGGCGAGGAAGCATAGCCTGGGAATTAGATGTTGGCATTGTGGTTCTCAAACTGTAATTCTGTTTTGTTTCTCAGGGTGTAATGTACATTATATTAGTAAATTCCCATATGCTGTTTGACCTCCCTGAGAAGCTGGTTCTGGAGGCAGATCTAGTGCAGATCCAAGCATGCTCATGTCATGTGTCTTCCCGGAGTATGTAACAGGGAGAAAGGAAGCAGCAAGCAGCTAAGGGTGTTAAAACCATTGTAGCCTTAGGAATAGCTAGAAGGTGAGTGTGCCATTGCTCACCCCAGGGCATGGAAGTTCCTTCAGTAGGAAAGAGAAGAGGCAGGCAAGCTCCCCCGGGAGAGAATGCTGTGTCTGTCTGTCCAAAACCCCCAGAGGGACCCTTGCTAGCTGCCTCCACAGGACTGCTGCATGGTTTCTGCTGGATGCACCTGATTGCATGATGTTTTCTAGCTGCTGCCGGTCACTATTTAATAACCTCACTCATTTGAAACTGTGAAGACATGACTAGCATAGACCATTCTCCAGACCAGACAGTACTCAGGGCTTATGGACTGGAATTTAGACTGAAAATGGGAGTTAAAGTATTCCATGATTTCACCTTTATTGCTGTCTTTGAGATTAAAAAAGGGCTTATCAAGAGAGATTTGCTGATGGTGGCTTTTGAGATACTGGAACAGGAGGACTTCAACTCCTGGCCATTTTGAGCTGAGAAGGTGGGGGAGGGGTGAGAGAGGAAGAGAGAATGGTGGAAACATGTTAGCACTGAAATTCTGACTGGGAAGACCTAGATGCTGCTGACAGTATGGTTCATCAGTCACATTGGTAAACAGTACCTCCCATTTTATATTTCTTACTACTAGGAAGGTAGTAGCATCAGGCCCTAGGTCACAGATTCATTGACATTATTTCCTCCTCATAGCAGCTGGTGAAGTTGGTCTTGTTTTATCTGCTACAAACTAGGAAACTGCAATTCAGAATGACAAAGCATTTTACCCTAGGCTGCCTAAGCTCAAGAGCCTGCCTCTAGCCACCTTTCCTGAACAAGGCTCTAACTATTGAGCTTGATGCACTGTAGAATAAACACTAAGTCATGAGTGTTTGTGAATGTTTGAAAGAATTTAAAAGCTATTTTTTTCTGAGACTGGGATAAATTGCAAATGAAATGAGCACAATTTAATCCTTTGACAGGGACACTGTTAAGAAAACACCATGTTCTTGCTGGGGCTCTTTTGTGTCCTTAAAAACCTGTTCTTTTTTTTTTTTGTTTTTTTTTTTTTTGTTTTTTTTTTTTTGTTTTACGAGACAGGGTTTCTCTGTATTATTTTGGAGGCTGTCAGTCTAGCCTAGTAGCCTTGAACTCACAGAGATCTGCCTGCCTCTGCCTCCTGAGTGCTGGGATTAAAGGTGTGCGCCACCACCGCCCGGCTAAAAACCTGTTCTTAAAAACATTTTTAACTTACTTTATTTTTATGTGTATGAGTATTTTGCCTGCACGTATGCATGTGTACCATGTATTTGCCTGGAGTCTGTGAAGGTCAGAAAAGGGCATCAGATCCCCTGGGGCTGGAGTTACAGATGGTTGTGAGTCACCTTGTGAGTGCTGGAAACTGAACCAGGGTTTACAAGTGCAGCCAGTGCTCTTAAAGCCTTTTGGCAAGGTCTTAGGTGCTTTTTAACATGTGTTTCTCAAATGAATCATTGAATTTATATATTAGCTTAAAAATATTTTCCTATACATTTATTTATCTGTCTGTTCATCCATCCATCCATCCATCTATCTATCCATCTATTTATTTTGAGATAGAGTTTCACTATGTAGCCTAGGCTGTTCTAGAAGTACTGAATAGTACAGGATGGCCTTGAACTTGAGATCCTTTTGCTTGAGCCTCCCAAATATTGAGATTACAAGGGTGTATCATGCTACCCTTGGCTTGTCATATAGTTTATTCATTTTTTGCTTTTCATTTTCTTTTTTAAATAAAATTTTAGCACAGCATGGTGACATACACCTTTAATTCCAGCTCTTGGGAAGCAGAGACTGATAGGTCTCTGTGAATTTGAAGTCAACTTGGTCTACATTAGGAGAGACCCTGTTTCAAAAAATTCTTTTAACATTTTGTTCATTTGTTTTTTGAGACAGGGTTTCTCTCTATAGCTTTGGAGGCTGTCCTGGAACTCGCCCCGTAGATCAGGCTGGCTGGTCTTGAACTCGCAGAGATCCACCTCCTGAGTGCTGGGATGAAAGGTGTGCGCCACAACTGCCAGGCTTTTCTAACGTCTTTTAAAAAATGTTTTTAGGTTTTCTTTTGTATTTTCTCATGTGAATTTTGTATTTCTTTTATGGGGAGGTGAATTGTGATTCAGGTGGTTTAGTTTTCACTTACAGATACTGCAGATTTACAGTTCTGGCTAAGCAGACATGTGTTCTACAGGAAATTTGAGATCAGATTAAATGGTAGAGATGAGAAAGACTCGTGCTGCTGCAGCAGCCCTTGCTGTTGATTGCTGGTTGCCTTATTCTGTTTCTTTTTGTTGCTGGTGCAGCGAGAGAGGCTTTAGATGTGGTGCTAACTGAACTCTGCTTCTCTTCCCTTTCTCTCGTTGCTTTTGTTTTTGTCCAGAGCCTGCTACTGCTGAGAGAAAAAATGGATCAACTGCTGTTGCTGAGCCTGTTGCCAGGTAACCAGGGCTCTTTGTTATTTAGAGGAGTTGAATACAAAGGTACAGCTTGAAGAGAGGAAGATAATATAGCAGCACAGGAAAACATTCAAACACAGAAAATCCAGCATAAATGAGTCAGCAATGTGTTGAATTGTAGGCTTTTTTAGTAATTGAAAGTCTAACAAAACTTTTGCTGTCCTTAATGTTAAGAATACCTGGTAGGTTGCCCCCCATTCATATGAGTGTCCTTTTTCTGTTCCTTTTCTGTGGATGACTGAGTGAGAAGACAAAGGAGATGACTCTAGACACATTGTCCTTCTGTGTCTAGTACTCAGCTACAACCCTAGGACATTTTGACTTTCCTTGCCAAGTGAACTACTATGTTGAGTTGTTTTTGCTTTGTCATGAATGCTGCATTGCTGTCAGTGACGTATGCCGGGATACTTAGGTATTGGTGTCAACGCTTTGCTGTGGCTGTCAGACTAGGATTGGTTGATTGTTTCTGGCACGAGTCACCCCAGCATGAGAGCCCTAGAGAGCAGTTGGTGATGAGCAGTTGGTGACATACAAGTGCAGACTCTGAAGTCAGCACAGGCAGGCACCATGTATGAAGGCTGGATGAAGAAGGCTGAGGGTGACAGCTGGATTTGTGTCCCATTTGAGAGGGCACTGCCTGTGCCAGTGGTCATCAGTTTTGATGGAGCTTGCTGGGCTAGAGCCCAGTTGCAGCGCTTGCCTAAGTGTGAAGGCTTTGTTCAGTCCTGTACTATGATAAATTAATAAGTAAGTGACAATTTTAAAAAAAGGATTCAAGCCGGGCGTTGGTGGCGCACGCCTTTAATCTCAGCACTTGGGAGGCAGAGGCAGGCGGATCTCTGTGAGTTCGAGGCCAGCCTGGTCTACAAGAGCTAGACCCAGGACAGCCTCCAAAGCCACAGAGAAACCCTGTCTCGAAAAACCAAAAAAAAAAAAAAAAAAGGATTCAAGCTTTTGAAGAGAATTTTAAGTTTTTAAAAAAGATAATGTGCCTGCTGACTAAATTCAACCTTCTTGGGTTTCTGAACTTTTTTTTTTTTTTTTTTTTTTTTTTTCTCCGAGATAGGGTCTCTCTGTGTACCTCTGGTTGTCCTGGAACTTGCTCTGTAGACCAGGCTGGCCTTGAACTCATGGAGATCCACCTGCCTCTGCCTCCTGAGTGTTGGGATTAAAGTGTGCACTGACACCACTGCCTGTGCATGAGAATCTGTATGTTAACATTTTTGATCTTTGGGTTCATCCTAAGAAATCACTTAAAGGGGATGAACTTGGATCAGTGGTTAGGAGCACTGCATGCTCTTTGAGAGCACCTGGGTTCGTGGCAGCTCACAACTGTCTGTAACTCCAGTTCCAGATGACCTCTGCCTCCTTTGGCCTTGGAGAGCACTAGGCATGTATGTGGTACACAGACATACATGCAGGCAAAACACCCATGTACACAAAATGGTAAAATAAATAAAAACAAAATGTTAAAAGAAAGAAGTCATTTAAAATAAGATTTATTTGTAAATGATTGTTACATCCTCTGCATTTAGGTGAAGCATTTGAGTGTGGAAAACAGTTAGGCTGTGTTCAGAGCACTTGATGCCACCTTAGTTTCTAATCATCTTGCTGTGGGAAGACTAGAGTGTAGCCAAGAGAGTAGTGTACTATGCACTGTAAGTGCCAGTCTGATTATAAAATCTTGGAGCACCCCCTTCTACCAGTGGGTTGTTTTGAAGATGATTCCAGCTTCATATCATTTTATGTAATATCTTGATACTAACTCTAAAAGATAAGGATTCTTATTTTACAATTGACCATATTGTTACTTCTGAAAAGAGATAGTGATTCCTTAATGCTATAAAGTATTTGGTGTTTCTATTTCCCTGCTTTGTAATATTTTCTAGTTAGAATCAAGATCCCCAGCCAAGCGGTGATGGCGCACACCTTTAACCCTAACACTTGGGAGGCAGAGCCAGGTAGATCTCAGAGAGTTCGAGGCCAGTCAGGACTGTCTTACAGAGAAACCCTATTCTGAATAATAATCAAAATCCCTAATCCACAAATCATATCTGATACATTTAGTTTTGTATGTTTGTTTGTTTTTCTGTAGCTTTGGAGCCTGTCCTGGAACTCGCTTTGTAGACCAGGCTGGCCTCGAACTCACAGATATCTGCCTGTCTCTGCCTCCCCTGAAATTAAAGGCAGGTGCTACCACCACACAGCTTTTTGTTTTTATTTATTTATTTATTTATTTTTGGTTTTTCGAGACAGGGTTTCTCTGTATTGTTTTGGAGGCTGTCCTGGAACTCACTTTGTAGACCAGGCTGGCCTCGAACTCACAGAGATCCGCCTGCCTCTGCCTCCCGAGTGCCGAGATTAAAGGCATGCGCCACCAACGCCCGGCTTTTGTTTGTTTTTTAAATCGTAGTATTTGTTCCTCTTTTTTTTTTTTTTTCTGTTCCTTTTCCAAATTATCTTCAAAAGGTACTAGGTTGTTTGTCCTATTTTGTTTTTTACATCCTGGATTTTTTTTCTTTAAATCGCTTTAGTATTTAATAAGTCTCCTACTTTTCCTTCAGTGGCCTCACTGAAGGTTTTTTGTGTATTGGTGTTTTGTCTGCACCTGTGTCTGTACAGCACATATGCACCTGGTGCCTGTGGAGACCAGAAGAGGGTGTCAGATCCCCTGGAACTGGAGTTACAGATGGTTGTGAGCTGCCACATGGGTGCTGGGAATTGAACTGGGGTTCTCTGGAAGAGCAGCCAGTGCTCTTAACTTAGTCCCTATACTTCAAAGTTTTTTATTGTATTAACTTGAAACATCAAGAGTTGGCTTTTGGGGATAATAATGGATTGGAGTTTGAGATGTAGAGGAACTCTGTGTGTAAAGAAGGTGCCCTCCAGAGTTATTTTCCATTTGAAACTGGCAAGCTGCATTGCTTTATTATTTTAGTCCCCAGAAGACGGTGCCTGTGTTTAGCTACAGGCAAGAGAAGGAGACTTGGAGTGAGGATCCTCCCTCTGTACCCATCAGGTAAACATTTTCTGTTTCTCTTTTTGAGACAAGGTTTCATTTAGTAGTCCTGACTGGGCTTGAACTCACGGAGATCTGCCTGCCTCTGCATTTTGACTGATGGGATTAAAGGCATGTGCTACCACTCCTGGCTTATTTTAAGCTGCATTCATTCATTCTGTAGTTGATTCCATTTCATGGTATTGATTGCCACTGTTCTGTGAAATTGGCTACTTATTTATTCATTCATGGCTGGGTTATGTTGTATGTTTATTTGCTTGTTTATTTATGGCTAGATTATATTGATCTGTGTTGTTTGGCTGGCTTAAGCATTGCTCTTGCTTCAGCTTCCTGAGTAGGTGAGAATCATAGATGCTTGACACTGTACCTCACATCAAGCTTATTTATTTGTAAGATAATCATTTGTGTGTTTGTCCATGTGCACGGGTGAGTGAGCACGCATGTCTTCCTTAGTCACTTTGCTCCTTTCTTTTATTATTTTTTAAATTTTAATTAGTTTTGTTTTTTTGAGACTGGGTTTCAGTATGTAGCCTTCACTGGCCTGGAACTCACTATGTAGACCAAACTGACATTGAACTAATAGAGATCTGACTGCCTTTCTCTCCTCAGTGCTGGAATTAAAGGTGTGTGCCACCAAGCCTGGCCTCTTCCTTTGTTTTTAATTATGTGAATGTGTACAAGGGTACAGTTCTCATGGGTGTCCGAGGTGTTGAGTGCTCTGGAGCTGGAGTTCCAGGTGGCTCATGGTGAACTGAGTGGAGGGTGCTGACCTGGGATCCTCTTCCGTGTGGTATTCACCATTGACCCTGGTGACCTCTCTCCAGCCTCCTCCCTATTCTTTGAGACGGTGTGTCTCTCTGAACCTGGAGCTCAAAGATTGGCCAGATTTGCTGACCATTGAGCTCAAGGATCCTCATATTTCCATCATTACCCTACCCTGAGCACAGGAATTATTGACACAGGCTTGTCAACCAAAATGAAGTATTTATGACTACAATTTTAGCATTAATCATTTGTCCAGTGCTCAGAGGAAAATGAGAAATACCAAATTTCTGGTGTTTGGTAGGAATCTGCTAATACTACTAATACTGTAATGAGTCATTGCCCGCCTTTCCACCCCGGCTTTCTTTTTTTTTTTTTTTTGAGACAGGGTATCACTGTGTAGTCCTGGCTTGGAACTCACTATTTAGACTCTGTAAACCATGCTGGTCTCAAACTTACACAGATTGACCTCCCCTGCTGGGACTGTAGGTATGTCTCACCATGCCTGGTGATGACTTTTGTCTTTGAAGAATCAACAGTCCCAGCTGGACTTGGTGGTGCACACATTTAATCACAGCACTCAGGAGGCAGAGGAAAAATTCCCAAACAAAACAGAACTTTGCTTTAGAAGTAAAATTCTATTCAGAGGCTGTGCCCTGAATACTTAGTTTCTGGGGTGTCTTAGTTTCCTTGACCATTACTGTTGTACTCTGGGGAGGCTAGGAACCACAAAAGTTTCTTTCTTAACGTTTGTGGGGTCAGGACAGTCCCCACTGTCTTACATTAATGCTGGTGGACCTGCTTGGTGGAGGAGGGTCATTCCCTGCAAGGGGGTTCTACCTTCATGTTGTGATAGTTCCCCAAAGGCTGCACCTCTCTGTGCCGTCTCCTGGGGATTAGGGTTTATGAGTTTTGCAGCCTCGGGGATTCATTCTATAGTGTGAGGTAAAATGTGTAAGCTTGTTTAAGGATGGGAAACAGTGGTAGCAGCTGAGGCCTGTTGGCCTTCACAGGAGCTTGTTTCCTTGTGTGTTAGTGGTCTTAACGGTTAAACACGAATGTGAAGGTGAGTTGTTTCACAGCTTTGTTTTATGCATCTGGGTGTGATTATATATCTGCTGTGCTCAGCTCTTTCACATTTTATGATCATAAATCTCATGAAGATTTTAACTGCTACTCATGTGTTTCCTGGTAGTGTGTTCTGTCCTCTTCTTCCATGGACCCTCATTCAGCCAGTCTTCCTGACAAATAGGGCACAGACTCCAATAACCAAGATGCTCCTTTTAGGTAGAAGGTGGTTGAAGTCCAACGCCTATTAGTATTCGGTGCTGAGTGACAGAACCCTGTGAAGCCTACCTTCTCTTCTTTACTCATGACCCCAGCAGGAAGAGCTCTAACCAGCTCTTTATATCCACCCAGAACACGTGGTAATGATACAGCATGGTTTCCAAGCCCCTCATAACCATGATATAGTCTTCAAGGGCTAGGACATTGTCCGTTCAGATTTTTTTTCAAAGAAAGTCTTTAGAAAGTCTCAAGCAGACCTTGAACTCATCTGTGTAGGTCAGGCAGGCCTTAAAGTTGCAGCAATCTTCCTGAGGGCTGGGATTACAGGTGTGAGCCATCACACCTCAACTGAAGAATTTTCCAGATGAGATAGACCTGTGGCCATGTCTGTAAAGCATTTTCTTAATAGTAATTGGAGGACCCAGGTCACTGTGGTTGGAACCATTTTTAGGCAGATGTGTCTGGGTTGTATAAGAAAGGTTGGGCAGCCCAGAGGAAGCCATTCCTCCATGGTCTCTGCTTCACTTCCTGCCTCCTGGTCCTCCGGTGAGTTCCTGCCCCGGCTTCCCTTGGTGATGGACTGAAATTTGTAAGTCAAATAAATCTCTTCATAACCCCAAGTTGCTTTTGGTCAGTATTTTATCACAGCAATAGAAACCAAACTAAGATAACCTGTATTCTGTCAAGCTTTTTGTTTAGCATTTCAGATATAAAGAAAGACAATTTTATGTGTAACCTGCTTAGAGCTAGCCTGTTTTTTTTTTTTTTTTAAACTAGGATTCTTTTTTGAGACTATGTTTCCAGGACAGACTAGATGTTCTGGAACTCACTCTGTAGATCAGGATGGTGTGGAACTGAGAGACCCATCTGTCTCTACCTCCTGAGTGCTGGGATTAAAGGTGTGCACTACCACCAGTTTTAGCCTTATTCTAGAGAACTGTCAACATTTAAAATCTCCAGTCACGAGCCGGGCGTTGGTGGCGCATGCCTTTAATCCCAGCACTTGGGAGGCAGAGGCAGGCGGATCTCTGTGAGTTCGAGGCCAGCCTGGACTACAGAGCGAGTTCCAGGACAGCCTCCAAAGCCACAGAGAAACCCTGTCTCGAAAAACCAAAAAAACCAAACAAACAAAAAAATAAAATCCCCAGTCACTTTGGAAACTATGGTAGTTGGCTTATAGGCAACATTCAGGCAATGCTTAAAGGATAAACAAGTCAGTCAAGGGTGTGCTGGGTTTTTTTCTTCATAAATGTAGACATATCTGAAGAAGGAATCTAAACTGAGGGACTGCCTCTGTTAGTCTGTAGACTTGTCTGTGTTGGCATTTTCTTGATTAGTGATTTATGTGGAAAGGCCCACTCACTGTGGGTGGGGCCACTCCTCAACAGGTGGGTCTTGGGTTCTACTAGAAACCAGGCTGGGCCATGGGGAGCTAGCCAAATAAGCAGCATTCCTTCTTTGGTCTTGGCTCCAGTTCCTGTGTCCAGGTTTCTGCTGGGAGTTCCTGCCCTGGCTTCCCTTGATGATAAACTGTAATTTGTAGGCCAGAAAAACACTTTGCTCCCCCAAGTTGTTTGGTCATGGTTTTTGTCACAGCAATACAAAGCTAATTAAGACTCACTGGTTCCCAAATGGAAAGACTAATGAAGAGCTGGGCCCCTATCTTAAGCACTCTCTTGCAGGTGTTCTGAGGTGGTTAGGTATAACTGTGCCCAGGGAGCTCACCCCTGAACCTGGACAGGTGCTCTCACCACATGGCCTTTGACCTGGGAAGACCAGACTCTTACCTGCAACTTGTCTTCTTTGAAGATTGTTTTCTTCTTCTATATTACTGTTCAGGAGAGAGCAGACCTCATGCATAGTGTGGAGTCAGTAAAGAATGTTAGAGCTAGAGACTTCATGATCTTTTTTCTTTCTTTCTTTCTTTTTTTTTTTTTTTTGAGACAGAGTCTCATTATGTATCTCTGGCTGTCTCTGACTCGTGGTGTAGATCAGGCTGAACAGGAACTCAGGGTCCATTTAATCCTGTGTGCAGTGATTAAATGTCCTGCTTATGGCCTTTGAAGTGTACTGTAAAGTTCCTTGGATTGCTTGGGGCTCTGTAAGGGTTTTGTATCTTGTTACTGACCTTGTTTACTTGTGTGCAGTTTTAGAATTCACTTGGCCCATTTTTCTGTTGCTAATGATAGTGCCACAGCTGGGGGAAACCATGAGGAAAGAAGGTTCATTTTGACCCACAGTTTTGCTTAAAGATTAAGGGCTGCATTCGGTGATGACTTTCTCAATGGTGGACTTCCAAGACAGTGCGGGGTGTCTTGTAGTAAGAGAGGACATGCATGTCTTTCTTTTGAGACAGGGTCTCACTGTGTAGCCCTGGCTGACATGGAAATCATGGAGATCTACCTGCTTTTGCCTCCTGACTACTGGGATTAAAGGCACGTGCCAACATACCCTGCAGATCTTTTTTTTTTTTCAAACGAAGTCACCAGTATTCATTTGTGAATATGTTACCCTGGTGACCTTGTCAGGTCTTAATTACCTCCCAGAGGTCTAACTCTGAAATACTGTACACAGCTGGATTTAGCTTTTATTCTTTTAATACTTTATCACAATAGGGATTACTTTTATTGTTTTATGCTTGGAACAGTATTGTATTATAGCCCTCGTTGTCCTATGATCCTCATCCTCCTGGGTGCTAGGATTATAGATGTGTGCCTGGTACTGGCTCAGAGGAATAAGCTGTATTCAGACCACGATACATGATGTCCTTGTTTCATTTTCAGGGCAAACTTGCTCCATTTCCCAAGTGTTGAAGAAGAGGACAAAGAAAAAATGGATGGTGCCCCAAAGCTCAGGCAGAGTGAACAGCCTATGAGGCCTGTTGGGCTGGTCAAGGATGCTGCTGCTTCTGAGGACTCTGCTTCTTCTGTTTCCCAGCAGAGAGCCACACAGGGGTCATTCAGCCCTCAAGGAGAAGTGATGGAAACAGACCTGCTGGAAGGACTGAGTGCTAACCAGGAAAAACCATGTAAGGTCTTGATGGAAAGACCCACCCAGAGTAACATAGGAATCCAGACCATGGACCATTCCCTGTGTGCCCCAGAAACTGTTTCAGCGGCAACCCAGACTGTGAAGAGTGTGTGTGAACAGGGAACCAGTACAGTGGAGCAGAACTCTGGGAAACAAGATGCCACTGTGCAGACGGAGAGGGGGAGTGGTGAGAAACAGGCTCCTGTGGACGATACAGAGTCCCTCCACAGCCAGGTGTGTACAGACTGGGTGCTCCAGGGGCCCTACTACAGACTCTGAGGGTCTCAGTTTAGTGCCTCCAATAACAATCTTATGGTTGTGTGTGTGAGTCAGAAGACAACCTCAGGAGTTGGTCCTCAGGTGTCTTCCATCTTTTTGTTTGAGACAGTCTCTCATTGGTTGTAAACTTTCCTCTGGTCTGTGAGTCAGAAGTTGTGTCTCTTCCCGCCTCACTACTGCTGGAAATTACAGATGTGTTCCACTGTCCTGAGCTTTGGTTCTGGCAATCTAAAATCTTCTTTTTTTCTTTTTTCTTTTTTTTTGGTTTTTCCAGACAGGGTTTCTCTGTATTGTTTTGGAGGCTGTCCTGGAACTAGCTCTGTAGACCAGGCTGGCCTGGAACTCACAGAGATCCACCTGCCTCTGCCTCCCGAGTGCTGGGATTAAAGGCATGCGCCACCAACGCCTGGCTAATCTAAAATCTTAATGCGTGTGTGGCAGACACTTTACTGACTAAGCCATCTCCCCAGCTCCATTGACATTTCTTTTTTGTTTTTGCTGATTTTTTTTTTTAATCTTGTTGTTTTTGAGGCAGGGTCAGTCTCACTGTATAGTCTTGGCTAGCCTGGAACACTGTAGACCAGGCTTGCCTTGGACTAAAAAAAAGATCCTTCTGCCTCTACCTCCCAAGTGATGGGATTAAGGGTGTGTGTCACCATGCCCAGCCAATAATTTTTTAATTAAAAAGATTGACAGAGGAGTTGAGTAGGGATAAGGCATGCTGTGTAGGATTGCTTCTGTTGTAGAGGTGGCAGGTATTGGTAGGATTATCCTAGTGTTGATGTTCTGTAGACGGGAATTACCATGTATCTCCGGATGATGGTGATGATGTATCTCAGGTAGTGAGCAGGTAAGGACCAGGGTTAGCTGCTGAATGGAGATGCTTCAAGGGCTGAGGGATAAAGCACTCATAGCTGGCATGTCTGAAGATACTGGTGGATGCTGTTGACTAGTGATTTTCTTTTTAGATTCATTTACTTTACTCTGTGTGTGTGTGTGTGTGTGTCTGTGTGTGTCTGTGTGTGTCTGTGTGTGTGTGTGTCTGTGTGTGTGTGTGTCTGTGTGTGTGTGTGTCTGTGTGTGTGTCTGTGTGTGTGTGTCTGTGTGTGTGTGTGTGTCTGTGTGTGTGTGTGTCTGTGTGTGTGTGTCTGTGTGTGTGTGTGTCTGTGTGTGTGTGTGTCTGTGTGTGTGTGTGTGTCTGTGTGTGTGTGTCTGTGTGTGTGTGTCTGTGTGTGTGTGTCTGTGTGTGTGTGTGTGTCTGTGTGTGTCTGTGTGTGTGTGTGTGTGTCTGTGTGTGTGTGTGTGTGTGTCTGTGTGTGTCTGTGTGTGTGTGTCTGTGTGTGTGTGTGTCTGTGTGTGTGTGTGTCTGTGTGTGTGTGTCTGTGTGTGTGTGTGTGTCTGTGTGTGTCTGTGTGTGTGTGTGTGTGTGTTTGTTGTTGTATGCCATGTGAGTGCAAGTGCCCTTAAGGACCAGAAGAGGGTATCAGATCCTCTGTGACTGGAGTTATAGACAATTGTGAGCTGACATGTTGGTGCTGGGAGTCAAACCTAGGTTCTCTGCAAGAGAACTGATAACCTATCTCTGCAGCACTACCCCCCCATTTAAGATTTATTTTATTTTAACATTTCTGTGTGTGTGTGTGTGTGTGTGTGTGTGTGTGTGTGTGTGTGTGTGTGTGTGCAGTAGTGTGATGGGGAATCCAGAAGAGGGTGTTGTATCCATGATGGTAGACTTAATGGAGTTTCTGAGTTACCCAGTGTGAGTGTTGGGAGCTGACCTTGGTTCTCTGTAAGAGTAGTGTGTACTCTTAACCACTGAGCCTTCTCTCTAGCTCCTACCTATTATTAATTAAGCAACCATTGTTGACAGATATTATTACAGTGTCACACAGAATGCGTTTAAGAGCAAGTTTCTCCTGCTAAGAAAGGTGTTAGGGGCTGGAGAGATGGAGAATTGTCAGGGGCTGGATTAAGAGCCACTTGTTGCTCTTCCAGAGGAAGAGCTGGGCAGCTCACCACTGTGACTTCAGGTGGCCAAAAGAGGGCACCAGATCCTATTCTAGATGGTTGTGAGCTACCATGTGTTTGCTGGGAATGAACTCAGGACTTCTGGAAAAGCATCCATGCTCTTAACCGCTGAGCCATCTCTCCAGCCTTGGTGTTTTCTTAATTGAGGATCCTTCCTTCGAGGCGTGCACCACCACCGCCCGGCAAGCACCTGCTTTTTAGATAAACCACTGTTTAGATAAACCACTGTTGTCATGAGAATTGGAAGGAATGGCTGGGTGTGGTGACACGTACTTATCAGGCTGAGGCAGGAGGATCACAAGTTGGAGAGAACATCTTGGTGTTCATAGTGAGTTGAAGCTAAGTCTGAACTGTGCAAAGAAACTAGTGTGTTAGACACTGTGATTGAGCTTCCTCCAGGCTCTTCCTCATTGTTATCTGTGAGTAAATGGAATACTGATTACAGTAGACCCATGAGTTCTCTGAAGTGCATCTGGCAGTTTCCATGAGAGCTGTGGCTGCCTTGGCTCTCTTGGTTCTCTTCTTACTGTGGTCTGTCCTTTGTTGTAGGGAGAAGAAGAATTTGAAATGCCCCAGCCTCCACATGGCCATGTCTTGCATCGTCACATGAGAACGATTCGTGAAGTTCGGACACTTGTCACCCGTGTCATCACAGATGTTTACTATGTGGATGGGACAGAAGTGGAAAGGAAAGTAACTGAGGTAATACCTGGGCCCACCTACTTCCTCTTCCTTTCCTTCCACTTCCTCTTTCCTCCTCCAGTCCCTTTCCCCTCCTTTTTTTCTCTTCTTCCTCCCTCTTTCCTTCTCCTCTTCCCTTTTTCAGCCTTTCCCGTGCCACTAGCACTGACAATTTTCCTTTAGTTCTTTCTTTCTGACTGTCCTGGAACTCACTCTGTAGACCAGGTTGCCTTCAAACTCACAAAGATCTGCCTGCCTCTGCCTCCCTAGTGCTGGGATTAAAGGTGTGAGCCACTACCTTCCTGAGGCTGGCTCCCTCCCTCCCTCCCTCCCTCCCTCCCTCCCTCCCTCCCTCCCTCCCTCCCTACCTCCCTCCCTCCCTCCCTCCCTCCCTCCCTCCCTCCCTCCCTCCCTCCCTCCCTCCTTTCTTTTCTCTCTTGGTTGCTTGAGACAGGGCTCCTCTGTATGTATATCCATGGCTGGCTATCCTAGAACTCACTCTGTAGATCAGGCTGACCTTGAACTCACAGAGATCCACCTGCCTCTGCCTGAGTGCTGGGATTAAAGGCGTGGATCACCACTGCTCAGCTGGTTTGTTTTTTCTTTAGACAAGGTTTTGCTTGTGTGGCTCAAGCCTCTTAATTTCTTATGCAACTAGTCTTGAACTTTGGATCTTTCTGTCTCTGTCTTAGTTTGTGTTATGACAAACCTAGGGCCACATATATGTGAGGGGAGCATTCTACCAACTGGAGCTATACCCCAACCCTGTGGATTCTTTTCACTTTAACATTTATTCATTTTGTGTGGGTGTGTGCCGTGGCCTATGTGTGGTGGTCAGAGGACAGCTTTATTATCAGCTTTCTCTCTGCTTCCTGTGGTCCTGGGCTATCAGACTTGGGTCACCAGACATATAATGAGCCATCTTGTCTATCCTTGCACTTCCCCCAACCATGGGCTCTTAGAGGAGTAATTTTCCAGAAGTGAGAAATGAGAAGGAAGACAACTATCATGTATGTCCATTTCCCTCTGCTGTGTCTGCCGAGGATGTGATGTCTTAGTCCCAGATCCTTTTTCTACTGTGCCTGGGGGTCAGTCTCACTAGCTGCCACACAGCTGAACTCTAGCTAGCACCCAAGTGTGCATATAAGGAGAAACCAGGTTGGTTTGTACCTATCAGAAATTCCTTGTTATTATTAACTTTTTTGAGATGGGGGTCTCATTATGTAGACTTGTCTGTCTTGGAACTTGGCATGTAGACCAGGCTGACCTTGAACTAAAAGAGATCCACCTGCCTCTGCTTCCAAGTACTGGGATTAAAGGTATGTGCCACCACTTTCATTAGAATGTGTGCCCCCTCTACGTATGCTGGATGGGCTTGGAACTGTTTGTGGAGGGCCCAGTATCAGTTCAGGAACCCCAAGACCAAGTTCTCATCACAAAGATTTATTGGCTCAGAGGGACAGAGGTCTGAGATAGGAGACAAAGGCAGGAGACAGAGGACAAAGGAGAGAGGGAACAAGGAAGGAGGGGAAGGGTATTTGTCCTTGAGGACAAAGGACTGCCTCTGGATGGAGAGGAAAAAGACACTGATTGACCCATAGGCAAAAGGTGGTTTATAAAGGTCAAAGGAGAAAGAAACCCTGTGTTAGGATGAGGTGTTTAATTCTGATTACACATGTGAATTAGGGCAGCCAAAGGAGGCGTTTGATTGCTGGACTTCATTTAATACTTTGGTAGCTGAGCCTTAGTAGTCAGCCTCAGAAGAAGTGGCCCAAAAGGAGAGATCTTTCAGCCTCCCGAGTGCTGGGATTAGAGGTGTGCGCCACCACCGCCTGGCATCTTGGTCACTTCTGAAAGGTATTACAAAAGAACTAGTGTTAATAAGGTCTCCAGAATGGCTCCTGACCACTGCTTTTCACCATCCTCCTTAGCTCTCTTCTGACTGGGAAATGGCTTCTGCCTTCTGGGTTAAAATCCTTGTTAGCAGTCAACACTTGTGAGCTTGCTCAGTAAAAAGACAACTTCCCATCAGAAGCCACAGGAAGTTTTCTTTACTTTTACTTTTTTTGCTACATGTAACAGATGTTAAATGTTTGGTTCAGTAGTTTTGAACAAGTTTTTTATTATTATTATTTATTTAATTACTTAATTTTGAGAAAGGGACTTACTGTGTGTCCCTGGCTGGCCTGAAATTTGGTATGTAGATCAGCTGGTCTCAAACTTGCAGCCCACCTGCCTCTACTTCCAAGTACTAGGATTAAAGGTGTGTGCCATCCATCATACCTGGCTGTTCTTTGAAAGTTTTTATGTAACCATGCCCTCAGACAAGCGGAATATTTCCACTGCTTCAGTACATTCCCTTCTGATTCCAGTGAAGTTTCCTGCAGTCTCTAGGATTTCCCAGTCATCACTTAATCTTATGTTAGCGTGGTTTCTTCTAGCTTCTTGTCTGTTTCTTCCTGTAGGAGACTGAAGAACCAATCGTAGAATGTCAGGAATGTGAAACAGAGGTTTCCCCTTCCCAGACTGGAGGCTCTTCTGGAGACCTGGGGGACATCAGCTCCTTCTCCTCCAAAGCATCCAGCTCACACCACACATCAAGTGGGACGAATCTCTCCGCCATGCACAGCAGTGGCAGCTCAGGACGAGGAGCCGGGCCACTCAAAGGGAAAACCAGCGGGACAGAACCTGCAGATTTTGCCTTACCCAGTTCCAGAGGAGGGCCAGGAAAACTGAGGTGCAGACATGGTCTCCAGTAGACCCCACAGGCAGGGGGAAGAAGTAATGGGGGATGCCCCACCTCAAGCCATTATAAATCAGTGCCTCTTTCTCTCTGTTTGGGGTTGCTGGAGGAGGAGCCCTGTGGGCAAAGGAGCTCCTTAGGGGATGGTGGGGATGCTGGATACATGTTCTGCTGTCCCTATATAGGCAGCTTATCTATATTTTGGCTGGGAATACAGGACATTGAAGTGGGCCCCCATTGTTCTGTATCTCCTTGGTTTTTGATCTGCTCTTTGGGTATCCAGAGCCTGAAGTAGAGGAGAAGGCAGGGCAGAAATGGGTGTGGCATCTTAAATAGCAGCAGCAGGAAACTATGTCAGGAGGAAATAGGCTTTCACACAGGAAGAGGTCCTTTTATCCCGTTTCCCCCTTGCTCCCTGGCTGAGGTCTTGTTGACTGGTATTGATGGGTGTGAACCAGCTTTCTTTTGCCCTGGTGGAGTAGCACAAATTGCTTGGCATATAGTGCTACTGGGGAAATGTTAAGGATGTATTCATATTAGCAGCTGCTGTCAAACTAACCTGTGTACATTCTCTAGTCCTAGAAAAGGGATCAATCAGACAGGGACACCAGTGTGTGAGGAAGATGGTGATGCAGGCCTTGGCATTAGACAAGGAGGGAAAGCTCCAGTCACACCTCGTGGGCGTGGTCGAAGGGGCCGCCCACCTTCTCGGACCACTGGAACAAGGTACCTGGGTAGTGTTGAAAATAATGGGGAGTAGAGAGAAGAGAATAGAGAATATGTGGGGTACCAGAGGGAGAGGATGGGCCCACACTGACTGAGGGAGGCCCCTGAGTTTGGGCTAATGCCTGTGATGGGATTGGTAAAGAATGGGTTGAGATCTGTAGGTAAAAGAGTGGGTTTGGTAGCTAGGTCCTTTCTTGTTCTCACTTCCTTCTCTTATCCGTCTTTAGAGAAACAGTTGTGTCTGGTCCGTTGGGTATAGAAGACATTTCACCTAGCATGTCACCAGATGACAAGTCCTTCACCAGAATCATGCCCCGTGTGCCAGACTCTACCAAACGAATGGATGCTGGTTCTACTGTTTTGAAGCGGAGTGATTCCCCAGAGATTCCTTTTCAGACTGCTACTGGGTCTTCTGATGGGTTGGATGCCTCATCTCCAGGAAATAGCTTTGTGGGGCTCCGTGTTGTAGCCAAGTGGTCATCCAATGGCTACTTTTACTCTGGGAAAATCACACGGGATGTTGGAGCTGGGAAGTATAAGCTGCTCTTCGATGATGGGTATGAATGTGATGTGCTGGGCAAAGACATTCTCCTGTGTGACCCCATACCCCTGGACACTGAAGTGACAGCCCTCTCAGAAGATGAGTATTTCAGTGCAGGTAATCAAGCAGAGTCCCTTCTGATGTACTGTGCCAATTGGTCCATCCTGTCAGGAATTACCAAGACATCCTTCCCCAGCCTTACCATTTTTCTGGATCTCTAAGAGTCACAGATTCTATTCCTATTACATTGGTTACCTTTGCCATTGATTTTTTTTTCTGTTTACAGTTTGGTTTTCAGTAAACATATTTTGGAATAACTATAGAATTAAGGAAAAATTTGCCAAGTACAGAATGGTGTTAGGGGAGAGGATTCCTGTGTCCTCACCTGGCATTCCTTATGTGTAGCATTCTAAATTAGTCTGATATGTTTATCCAAACCAAGAAGCCAATCTTGATTTCTTACTGGTAGCTCCAAACTTAATTTGGATTTTACCATCTTTTTTATTTTCTGTTTCAGGATCCAGTTGAGGAAATCAATTTACATTTAATCATCATGTTTCATTTGGTCTCCTCTGGTTTGTGGCAATTTCTGTCTTTTGTTTTTCCACAACCTTGCCAGTTTTGAGGAATGATATTCATGTGTTTTACAGAATGTCTGTCAAATCAGGTCTGATGTTTTCTCACTAGACTGGAGTTCACTTTTATGAATGTCATAGAGATGAAGCACCCTTCCTAGCTAGCATCTACGGGGTTGAGGGAGGTATGTGACATCACATTACATCACTGGTGATGTGAATCTGTCACTAGCTCAGGTGGTCTTTTCCAGGTCTCTCCACTTCAGCATTAGTGTTTTCCCTTTCTATATTCTGTCTTCCTTCACTTCTGACTTTCAGACTCACTGCCTGCATCAGTAAGAACTTAGCTGGAAACTGATACTACACTGAGATGGATTAACAGGAAGAACTGTTAGCGGCATGTTAATCACTTTCTCGTTTGAAGAATGATGCTCCCTGCCCCGCCTTTTTTTCCCCAAGATGCTCTTATGTCACTGCCTTTCTTTTTGTAGTAGCCAGTGTTGGTAATGTGAGGAATTTATGTGTGCTCCTCACTTACTCTCACATTCAGGGGGTCTGGATCAGTCCCATGCTGGCCTCCCAGCTGTCGGTCTGGGGTCCAAAAGCTCTCCTCTGTTCGGATCAGCTGTCTCTGCTGGTTTTGCCAGCCCATTCTTTGCCAATTTGCTCATCGCTCCTCTCTCTCTGTCGCTGGGTTCCTTGGGTTCAGTTTAGTGTTTAACTGTGGGTGTTTGCCTCTGCTTCCATCAGTCACTGGATGAAGGCTCCAGGATGGTTATGGACATCAAGTTCATTATCAGGAATGGGCATTCGAGGTGGTCTCTCCACTATTGCTTAGCTTGCCAGTTGGTGTCATCCCTTTAGATCACTTGAGGTCACACTGGTGCCTGATCTGTCTTCTAACCTATGATTCCCTCTTCCCCCTATTCTACTCCCACTCAACCTTCCTGTTCCCCCATGACCAGTCTTCCTCTTTTCCCCCCTCTCTTCTTCCCAGCTCCCACTTCCCCCCACCTCTCGCCGTGTTCGCATCTGTTCAGAGGATCTTGCCTCATTCCTCTTCTCTTGGGTACCATGCATATCTCTTAGGTTCTTTCCTGTTTCCTGGACTCTCTGTCAGTGGAAGTGCAGACTGTCACTATCCTGATCCATGTCTAAAATCCTTATATGAGTGAGTACATACCATGTTTGTCTTTTTGTGTCTGGGTTACCTCACTCAGGATGGTTTCTTCTAGTGCCATCCATTTACCTGCAAATTTTAAGATTCTATTGTTTTTTTCTGCTGAATAATACTCCATTGTGTAAATGTACCACATTTTCTCTATCCATTGTTCAGTTGAGGGGCATCTAGGTGTAAAGCCATCTTAGAGGTTCACGTTTGGCCCTTTGAAGGCATTTTTGTATCAGTGGTAAATGTACATGAAAGGGTGGGGACTGAGCCTTCCACTTGCTGAGGCTGTTTACCAATGGCACACCACACTGCTTCTAGTTGTAGCAGTTCTTCCTTAGTGGTGAGTCTGTGGCCTTGGGCTTGTAAAATTGAGGTGGTCTTCCTGATTTATTTGGGGATAGATTTAACTTAGGAGATGAGTAAAGGAAGTGATTATATGGCAGAGGAGGAGGACTAGGACCTGCCTCCTCCTCCCTGGTTTTACCTGGTAGGGTTCCTTAGTCCTTCATTAAAGACAAGCTAATGGAGACTGAAGTGTTCCCTTCTGTTCATAGGAATGAAAAGTATCAGCAGTGGTACGCCTTTTTATGTCGCGTGTGAGATAAATGTTTATTGGTTGATAGAAAGCATGGAGTGTTTTGGTTTTTTTTTTTTTTTTCCTTTGAACTGGAAATAGATCTTGCCTAAGCTCAGGTGACTTGAGTTCTTTGTTTCCTTGTTTGCTCCACACCGCGTCCCTAACCTAACAGCCGTCCACAGTTGTGCCTCAGTGCAGGAGCAGGGAGTCAGATAGAAGGAGCAGGGTTTTTTCTCCTTTCTTTGTTCTCTTCATCCTGGCTCTGTTGCACAATAGACAAGCATCATGTACATACATTCTCTCAGAACTGTCATTTTCACCTGTAATTTAGAACTCTAACTCATTCTTCAAAGAAACTACAATGGGAAATTGCTACAAAGATTGTTAAGAAACCATGCCATTTACTTCAGGGGTCCCATTTGAGCCATTAACAATCCCTAAGTCCAGCATTGGAAAGCTTTATTGTATAACTAAAGGTTGATTTCTCTCAGAAAACCTTGTCTAATCCCAGTGTAGTAGCTACATAAGTCCCAAGTGTTGTAAACCATTTGGGATGGACAGGTATAACTTCGTAAAGGCCTGGATCAGTCCACTGTTGTTGGCTCTGTGTGTTTCCTGCCTGTCTCAGGCCTGCTTTTGTAGAACCCTTTTGAGGGTGCTAAGCAGCCTACAATTGTGGTATCATTTTGATGTCATCCCTAGGAGTTGTCAAAGGACACAGGAAGGAGTCTGGGGAGCTGTACTACAGCATTGAAAAAGAAGGCCAAAGGAAGTGGTATAAGCGTATGGCAGTCATCCTGTCCTTGGAACAAGGAAACAGACTGAGAGAGCAATATGGGCTTGGCCCGTATGAAGCTGTTACACCCCTCACAAAGGCAGCAGATATCAGCCTAGGTAAGACTTTTCTGGACAACTACCTGTAGGTCTGTACTTTGCTTAAAGAAGGGAGGACAGTTTCTAGAGCAGCCAGGAGTGGTTACCTGACTTGTCTTGTGGTTTATTAGATGATGATGGTGGTGGTTCTCCAGAACTACTGCTACACCTGTTTCCTTCCAAGTAGCAATCGAGAAGTATGCAGTTTTTCTGGCCTTCCTTGTTTTACAGGGGAGCAAACATGTCTGATTAGAACATAAAATGTATGGCTTAAAAAAGAGGCTCCTTGATTGTGGAGGTGACAAAAGTATAGTGTTGTCTATGTCAGATTTGAGTTGAGACCATGGATCTTGCCAACCTTTGCCTTATCTATCAGATAATTTGGTGGAAGGAAAGCGGAAACGTCGCAGTAACATCAGCTCCCCAGCCACCCCCACTGCCTCCAGCAGCAGCAGCAGCAGCACAACACCCACCCGTAAAACCACAGAGAGTCCCCGTGCTTCCACGGCAGTTCCATCAGGCAAAAGGAAGCTCATCACTTCTGAAGAGGAACGATCCCCTGCTAAGCGAGGCCGCAAGTCTGCCACCGTGAAACCTGGTAAGATGGAAGCCTAGTACATGGATGTTCTTTCTATGTTGGTCAGACTGGCATCCACAAGCCTACAGGTGATACAGGTAGAAGCTCTGTTCCTTATCCTGTTCAGAGCCCAGCAGTGTAGACAGGAGGGCAGGACTTTATCACAGATTCCTATGTGAGCTTTTTGGGGGAATTTAAGTATGGTTTAAGCAGACTCAAAACTCTTTTCCTTCCATTGTGTCCTCTGCCTGTGCCATCTGCTTCCTGGGAGACTGTCTTGTGCTCGGGCTCCTTCGTTTCCTATTGGAAAGCCGTGCTTCAGCCTGAATGGCCACTCTTTCCCTCCTACCCCTTCCCAGTCACACTATTCAGTGTGGAGAAAATTCAGCCATTTGTTCGTTGTCTGCTGTGACCTAGACCTGGTTGTGGTGGCTTCTGTAGACAGAGGTAAAGTCCTGTCACTGTTGGGTAGGGCTCTCACAGGCTAGCTTGTTGATGGCATTCCATGGTTCCTTGCCCTGGCACCAGATCTTTTTTTTTTTTTTTTCTTTTATCTGCACTTATTTTATGGGGAATTTATTCCCATGCCATAAGTTTTTGTCTCTTCAGTTTCTTCTGGGATATCGTTTTCTGCTGTGCAACCTCCTCTTCTGGCTTTGGAACAATCTGTTCCTTTTCCATGAGGATCATCTCCATGTGGCAGGGGAGCTCATGTGTGGTTAATCCGCTCGTGAGCTATGAAAGTTTGGCTCGTGAGCTATGAAAGTTTGTCTACGTACCTTAGGTGCTTTGTTCACCTGGATGTGTTCGGTGACCAGAGAATCTATGTCTAGACCCTTAAGCTCAGCATTACTCTCTGCATTTTTAAGCATGTGCAGCAAAAATTCAGCACTCTTTTTTGACTGCCAACCCTGTATCCAGCCCCACTGTTTGGCCTGGTCACACCTGTCGACTCCACCATTGTACCGCCGGAATGGCACACATTGCTTCTTCAAAGTGATGTCTTTCAGGTATTTGGTGGCTTTTCAGATATGCATACCCTTGATGGCCGGGACAGTTTCACAGATAATCTTTAAGTGAACCTAGAGATTTGAACCTCTTGACTTGCATGGTTTTGTAGGGTTTTCTGGATCGAGAGAGTAACGAACCATCTTCACAAGTTACCTCAGATCATTTACAGGAGCTTTTTTTTTTTTCTTGTTTGTGTTGTCTGCTTACCTACCCAACACCAATGCTGTGTATTTCAGGGTATTTAAAACCAGTAATAGTTAACCTTTATTAAATATTTACTCGGTGTGGCATGTGGCCCAGGTGTTTTATCCATATTCCTTCATATATAATCCCTTAAGGTATATGTGCTAGAATTAGTTTTCTATATTTTTGAGAAATTTAAGTTAGGTAACTTTCTCATTGTGACAGAATAAGCCAGAACTCAGACTTGGGCAAGACTGATCCTAAAATCCAGTGTCATACACATAGCATCCCTGCCTCTGAGACTATTCTTGATGTTGGTTTTATTTCAGGGAGGCATGCATGACCTGCTGTCATCTTAGCCTCCTACTGAACCTGATTCGGCTTCTTCAGTAGGTACCCATTTCCTTCTGGAGGACTTATGGGGGCACATTTTAGCATGGGTGTTCTGGAATGGTGGCTCACTTAACCTTCCCAGGTGTTGAGGAGGGGTATTTTGATGTAGATTCTGTGTAAAGACACTTTTTCACTCAGAACTCACTGCACTATCCTGGTGAGAGTCCAAGATAGAGTGGGACAGTTTTGTTTTGCTTGTCCTTTAAAAGTTGCTCCAAAATGTCACATATTCTGGGGAAATCAGAGACCTGGGAGTAGTGAAAGTGGGTTGAAGACTTCAAAATACTATACTTTTCTGTTCTGGAGCCACCTTTGATTTCTGGTGGCTTCGGTTGTATTTGATGTTATAGAAGTAGTACCAGTTGATTTCCATATATTAAAATAGACTGCTGACAGTAATGGTCAAGTTAGATTTAAATATCATTTTGTCTTCATTGTGAATTTGGGCCTAGGTTGTCAGCCATTTAGAATGATTGGCTGTATTAATGATCTTCGGGTCATATCTTACAAAGCTCATCAGGACATGGCCTATCATGTCATCCTTGGTGCTGGGCCTTTGTCCAGGCAGTGGTCTGTGTGTGTCATTTTAGTGCTTTGTCTTGCTAGGTACAGTGGGGGCAGGAGAATTTGTGAGCGCCTGTGAGAGTGGAGACAACACAGGTGAACCTTCTGTCCTAGAAGAGCCGAGAGGGCCTTTGCCCCTCAACAAGACCTTGTTTCTGGGCTATGCCTTTCTCCTTACCATGGCCACAACCAATGACAAGCTGGCCAGCCGTTCTAAACTGCTAGATGGTCCTACAGGAAGCAGTGAAGAAGATGAGGGTAAGTTCTCAGGGGTGCTGATCCATGCACTGGCTTTCCATTTCCTTTGTGGTCAGTGGGCCAGTGTTAACTGTGATTCTGGTCAGGTAAGTAAAATTCACTTGTACTCTACTTGTGATCTGTAGATTTCCACAAAAAAAATTTTTAGTGAGTGGTTCTCAAGATAGTCTTGGTAAGCAGCTGGTAGATTTTTTTTTTCCTGTTAATTCACATACTACGTAGACATAGGTACACACTCAGATATCTATATAGAGTTATACATGGGTGTGTATGTATGTGTGAACGTGTGGAAAGCACAGGACAACTTGGAAGAGTCAGTTCTTTTTCCTCCTACCATAAAGGGTCCCAGGGGATCAAACAGAGTTCAGATAGGTACCGTAGAAGAAAAAGTATGCTAGCCGTGGCCTAGCCTAGCCTGATCTCAGTATTAGTCCCTTGAGGATTCCCTGCAGCTGTCTGGCATTACGTAAAAGATGGTTTGCTCTCTTTGCCTTCTTTTTGCTTTTCCAGTGTTGCTTTAACAACCTAGACTTCACAAAGCAGTTCCATATAGGTGCTTGTTGCTTGGTGCTATATAGCTCAGAAAGCTGACACTGAACAATGGGAGATGTAGGCTGTTCAGTGCCTGTCTAAGCCCTAACAGATAGCTGCAGAAAAGGAAGCAGTTACAAATAGGTATTAAAGTAGCACCTATGAAGCCAACTATTATTAAATTACACTATGTTAAAAATAATCTTGTTTTTTTATGTATATATAGAATTTTTAGAAATCCCTCCTTTCAACAAGCAGTATACAGAATGCCAGCTTCGAGCAGGAGCTGGGTATATCCTTGAAGACTTCAATGAAGCCCAGGTGAGGAATTGTTTCGGCTACACACTTTCTATATTGAGAAAAGGTCCAAGAGGCTTTCAGAGGTTGGCTGAATTCTGGGTACTGTGCCACTATGCAACCTCAGTCTAGCATTTTTGTTGTACACAAGGAAGAGAAGCTAGAACCTGGGGTTAGGTGGTAGTGGCTCTGTTTGAGAAAGCAACATTGAATTGTATTTAATAGAAAGCCTATTGGTGTTTCCGATTCCTTAGCCTGAAAGATTGGGTACCTGGTGTGGTTGACCCTTGAGATTTAGGCGTTCCAAAAGCTGAAGGTGAGATACAGAAAATGTCTCAGTGAGCAACACAGTGTTAAGTATCAAAACAGAAGTCTTCACATCTGCTCTCCATGGCTTATAAGGTATAGCTAATCAGGAAAGGTTTCTCTAGACACCACCAGACCTATCAACTGGGTTCCTTTTCTTCTAGTGTAACACAGCCTACCAGTGTCTCCTAATTGCTGATCAGCATTGTCGAACTCGGAAGTACTTCCTGTGCCTTGCCAGTGGAATTCCTTGTGTGTCTCATGTCTGGGTCCATGATAGTTGCCATGCCAACCAGCTCCAAAACTATCGTAATTATCTGTTGCCTGCTGGGTATAGCCTTGAGGAGCAGAGAATTCTGGATTGGTGAGTGTTTAAGAGTCCATCAGGCAGACTAAGTTTTGGGAGGAAAGTCTAGTTGAGAAAACCAAGTGTTACTAGAAACTGAAATGTCTGTAAGACTAAGAATTTGAAATGATTGTGGTAGTCAAGTACTTTATTTCTAAATTCTCAATCTACACTGGCCTGGAACCTTCTGAAGATGTGGAAAGAATGGGGTCAGTATCCCCAATTAGGGGAAGCACTGCAATTTGAATTAACTTTCTATCATTAAACTTAAAAAAGGAGGGAGGGAGACTCAGGAGCAGAGTCTGGGATCCCAGAGTACATACCTCATCAGAAGAGAGTACATGGTTTAGTTTGGAAAGCATTCAGATGTGCAGGAGTTCTTTGCAGATGAGCTAATTGTTAGATATGGCGGGTCCTACTAAGGTTCTTTTCAGTTCCCAAACACTGTCTCCAACTCCTTTGTAGGCAACCTCGTGAAAACCCTTTCCAGAATCTGAAGGTACTCTTGGTGTCAGATCAACAGCAGAACTTCCTGGAGCTCTGGTCTGAGATCCTCATGACTGGAGGGGCAGCCTCTGTGAAGCAGCACCATTCAAGTGCCCATAACAAAGGTACCTGGAAAGCGTGTATTCATTGTCATTCCAGGGATGTCTTTAGACTCAACAGGGTTAGCCTGTGTGTTCAAGTCTCAGTCCTTAAGAGAAGCCCCACCTTCAAAAAGGATGGGTTGGTGTAAGTGAAGGACAGAGCTGTCCCTGCTTCTATAGTCTCCAGTGGCATTTCTATTCAGTATTCTACAAGGTCAGTAAGTGGTGATTACAACTTTTATTTTAGGTTGCAAACATACAGTATCTGTAAAAGAGGGCTTTAGTAGGGAGTACTGGCTATAAGGCACATCTGTTCTTTTAAAGAAGAGCTAAACTGAGTGTTTTTTCCCTCGTTCACTTCTCCCTACTTCTTGCAGACATTGCTTTAGGGGTATTTGATGTGGTGGTGACAGACCCCTCATGCCCAGCCTCGGTGCTCAAGTGTGCTGAAGCCTTGCAGCTGCCTGTGGTGTCACAAGAGTGGGTGATCCAGTGCCTCATTGTTGGGGAGAGAATTGGATTCAAGCAGCATCCAAAATATAAACATGACTATGTTTCTCACTAAAGATACTTGGTCTTACTGGTTTTATTCCTGCTATTGTGGAGATTGTGTTTTAATCAGGTTTTAAGTGTGTCTTGTGTGTAATTGTATTCTTTGCATGGATCTTGTACATAGTTTTATTTGCTGGACTTTTATGATAAAATAAATGTCGACTCTCTTTGGTTGTAGTAACTGAGATTTCTTTATCTGTTTCTTTGAGCTTAATCTCAGAACATAGGATCCTCTCTGAAGTTTCCCAGCAGTCTTGTCACTTTAGCAGTACAGCAAATAAAAGATAAAGACATATAGGAATGAAATGTATTTTGTGGCCCCACTATCAATGTCAAAAGGTTATCCAAGGTGATACAGAATTGTTTCTAAAAACTCAGCTTAAAGTACATGAGGGCCTAGGTGAAAGTCGTGCCAAAATTGAATGGGACTGGGGAGAGCTCTGGGTATCAAGACCACAGCTGATCTGTGGTACTCAAAGCTGAAAGGGTTTGAATGGACAGTGACTGACAATAAGCTTGATAGGACAGTTTTCTGTAAGTTAACTGTCACAGCTGCTGGATGCTATTCCTTCCTCGAACCCAACATCATCCCCACTAACAAACAGCTTCTCATTCTGTTTTTTTCTATGAAGAGCCAAACAGTAAACACTTTAGGCTTTGTGGCCATTTTGTCTGTCACAATTTCCTGTCTTTTGCTATAAGATGAAAGCAATCATAGACATTAGGTAAAATAGTATGTGTGGCTGTTTGAATAATACTTTATTTACAAAAACAAGCAGTAGTCCACTATCTGCCACGCTTTGCTCGTAGAGGTAACAATGGAAGGGATCCTCTGTAGTTGACATGTACAGGCTTTCATAGTGGGTAGCACAAAATGTAGGTGAAGAGAACATTCAGTGACTACAAACAGGCCTAAACACTGCATTCTTGTCCAGCTTGGAGGGAAGGTATATTAATGGGATATTTCCTTTGTTTATGGTGAACATTTGTGACTGCACTATCTGAGCATAACCTTAACTCATGGTTAGTCTAAGGTGGGAAAATTAAGTTTGCAATTTTCAGTATCTAAAATCTGGACAATTTGACCTCTATCATCTTTAGCTGGAACTGTCCCTTTTACCAGTCTGAAAGAAAGAGAACCTACTGGCTGAATTCTTGAGATCAGGTTTTGAGTACTCTTAAAGGAGGGAGGCTCTCAAATCTGAAATTTCTGAAGGATAATATTGATAATAAATTACATGGTACAGAGGAGGTTTGAAAGCCTTAAGTCTTTTCTAACTTGGTGGTAACATCTAGATGCTTGATTCTTTTCTTACATGAGCCAAACCTAAACATGTTTTACTGATCCTGATTGTTTTCTGTGGTATCTTCCGTACCTTGATGAGTCCATATGGATATAGTAAATGCTCAATACACCACTATTGCACAAATGAACCCACCCAACAGATGTCTTAGTGTAAAGGAGCAAAAGCCTTTGAGTGGTCAGCAGAGACATAGCTGGTCCATTCCTCACAGGAATTGTAGGAAGGGTTTATACCTCTTCTAGAAGAGAAGGTAGCATCCTTTCATCAGTTTGCAGGCATCTCTGATGTTTAATAATTAGGGAGGTGTGTTACAGACATCAGAACGTGGTAGGATGAACTGTTACTTCATTTTATGAACCAGTTTTCACATACCAAAACTATAAAAAGGGGGAAAAAAGTTTCATTAAATATGCTTTCTCAAGATACAGCTGATGTTACCCTGATACTCAAAGATGTTTGGCTTCTGTTAAAACTAGTTAGATTGTTTGTGGATATCTTAGAAAGGAAGAAGGGCAATGAAATGCTTTTCCAAATGGTAATGACACAGACCTCTAAGAAGCCAACTACCACTGGATCTCATTATTAGATTTAAAGAAGTTTAGAAGAGTCAGTGGCCAATTTTACTGAGAAAGCAGTGGTCAATGAAGCATGGTGCCACAGCTACGCTGCCAGTACATGTCAGAGCAGGTTGTGCAAGCCACACTGTCCCTTAGAACACACAGTACGTAACCTAGCACAGAACTGACCTTCAGCTGTAGTGTCTCACCATGCTGATAACTTTTTCCCAGAATATAGTCTCCAATAAAATTATGAAACATTCCCTCACCCCCAGCACCTTCCCACATCTGAGCCTTGCTTATAAAATGAGGGCATTTGTAGATGAAGGCTAAAGTTCCATTTTGGACTTCTATAACTCATTAACCCCCCTCCCCCAAATCTGATGAATTCCTCAAGGATTGCTCTTACCTGCCCAGAGTTCCACCAGCCTGGGTATAATACTTGTTATAATCTAGCCGGAGCAGTAGTTGAGCCAAATCTGAGTTGATCTGGTGATTGCGAACACTGGAAAGAATCTTGAACAGGAGTGAAGACTGGCGACTAAAGCCCTGTTGAGAGACTTGAGCTGTCCCTGCCATTCAGAGCGCTAGGCGCCTGGTGTCTTTGGAAAAGCCTTGCTTAAATTTCTGTAGGACCGACCACATTCCTATTACTATCAGCTCCTAAAATGACTTAGTACTGTGTCTGTGAAATGCATGACTTCTATAGAGAAAGTACTTTCTCATTAGTAGGAATTTAACAGCTCATTTCAGATTAATATATTCTATCACATACTGGGATTGCAGTGAGCTTGCTTTGTTACGGAGATAAATATAATTTCAGATTTATTTACAAGTGAGATGGGAGGCTGGTTCAGGGAAGGAAGTGGGATGTGAGAAAATGAGCACAAAGCCAATGCATGCTTGGTGGGTTGAATAAACTATTTGGGGCTGAACTATTTCTGAACACTGTGAGGCAGCACATTAATCTTCAAAATCCACTGATACCAATGCTTTTTATCTTTTTATCTTGTTGTCTGTCTGTTCTGGGATATACTTTATTGACTTAGAGCAAAGGCTGTTTGCTCCCTAGTGTGGGGGTGGGAGTTTGTATTTCCAGTGGCCGGGCAGACTCACCTTCACGAGAATGCTCAGCTGGGCAGCGCCTCGCTCATCCAGTGGACCCAGGTTTTGACTGACCAGCGAACAAAAACTGTGACAGAGATCTAGGATTTCATTCAGGCAGTGAAACACCTACCCAAAAATACAGCTGGTGTCAGGAAATGAAGAAAGAAACTTCTGAAAATGCAAGGTTTGGGAAAATAGTCTAACAGCTGACCTCCCTGTCTGAACTCTGCATAGACACCATTACCTTCAAGGCTGCCTGGCCCTCCCCAGCAACATGGGCAGGATGAATATCCCTTCCTGGGACAGCTGCATTCTTCTCTGTTCCCTACACAAAGCTCCACTTCAGTCGCTATTAGCTCATCATCCTTTATTTGACCCACTGAGTGTGCTCTTGCCTTTGATATATGAACACTGTTCCCTGAGATGTCTCTTCTCTTTAGCACCAATCTAGGCCCCATTCTGTGAAATGTCCTTCCCCACTGCAGCCTCTAGTGAACTTTCTGCTGTAGTATCTGTGTTGTTGACTGGGAACTGTCCAGGCCACCTGTGCTGTTGCTGACTTTTGTATGTACATCTTGTTTTTCCAACTAGATTGTGAGCTCCTTAAGGGCAGAGCCATGACTTATACCTCTTTGTATCCCCAGTGCCTTGCACTCAATAAAGACTTCAGTTATGATGACCTCTTCTGATGTTCTGCTTTTCTCAAGGATATGTACACCCATGCAGTGTGAGAACGGTGGTCTACCACTGCATTTTTTTTTTCTTCAATTCACAGACCCCTTTAGGATGGTGGGCATTTAAGTCATTCTTCCTTGATTTGGCAAGTAACAGCCCCAAACAACAGCAAGAAGCCTATACTATTTATGGTTGGTGCCCTGAGCAGTACAACTTGGTCACTGCGGAGATTAAAGTATAAACACTATATAGTACAGGATTATTTCAGTCTCTCACTTTTCATTTTGGGATTGGAACCAGCTTGTGTGCTTTAAAAATTACTGGTGCCTAGACCCCAATCTGTGTTTGACTTGAGTGTCTGGTCTTAGATTTTCACAATGTTACATATGACTCCAGTATGTAGTCAGGGATGAGAGCTTCCAAATGTGTATGTATACTTGCAGATGAACACATGTCCAGAGTGACAGACACTATGTGCTTATGAAAACAACTTTCAAATTATAGGTTGATCCTGGTCCAACAGATTTCTAAGAATGTGCATTCTGTTTTCCTGAAGAGTCAGGGAAATTTCTGAATTTCGAGTAAGTCATTTCTTCTGGGGGTTAAGTGCATAGTTTTTTTTTTTTAAGGTTTATTTGCCTGCCTGCCTGCCTGCCTATCTATCTATCTATCTATCTATCTATCTATCTATCTATCTATCTATCTATCTACCTACCTATCTATCTATCTATCATCTATCTATCTATCTATCTATCTATCTATCTATCTATCTATCTATCTATCAATCATGCATGTATCTGTCTGCATGTATGCCTGCACACCAGAAGAAGGCACCAGATCTCATAGATGGTTGAGCTACCATGTGGTTTCTGGGAACTGAATTCAGGATATCTGGAAGAGCAGCCTGTGCTCTTAATCTCTAAGCATCTTTCCAGGCCCCAAATACATAGTTCTTTTATCTATACCTGTTCACCACACTCTATGATTCAACACTCCACTTCCCTTTTTATTTTGCTTTGAGTTGTCAAAAAAGTAAAAACAGAACTGAAGAAGAGCTTAATAAGTTTCATATCTTAGCAATTCCTAGAGCCTAACGGGGCTATTAGAAGCAGGCTAAGGAAACAGACTACTCCTACTTACAGGTTTCAGCAAAATAAAGGACTGGGCCAGCAAATTGCTTAGGAAGTGATCATGGGCCAATCGGATGCTTTCAAAGTCCCTCGTAGAATTGATCTGATGAAGAAGCTGTGAGAACTGAGACTCCAGCACATCTACCTGATAGACAGATAATATTTTAGCACCTAGCACATTCTGAGTGCTCTATTTTATGGGTCTCATCTCTGAGAGGGAGGGAGGGAGGGTGTGTATGAATTGTTCATGCTGCAGTTTACATGTGGAGGGCAAAGGACAATTTTCCAGGGTCTGGTCATCAGGCTTGGTAGCTCTAGCCTTCGCCTACTGAATCACCTTTACCAGCTCTCATCTTCCTTCTAACCACTTTAGGCTGACCAAAGACATGCTTCAGTTGCTGAGCCTTGTAAAGTGTATGTGTTGCTGGGGCCTTGAGTATGCAAGGGGAGGCTATAGCACAGAGCTACGTTCCTTGTCATTTGTTTCTTTTGACACAGGGTCTTGCTTTAGCCCAGACTTTACTATTCTCCTTCCTGGCACTTCCCAGTGTGGATGTTACAGTTGTGTCTCAATAGGTTTGATTGTATAATTTCTGTTTTTGAGACAGGGTCTCATATAGCTCAGACTGGCCTCAAACTCACTGTATAGCCACAGATGATCTTGAACTTCTGATCCTCTTGATTCTACCTCTCAAGTGCTGGAATTACAGACTAGTGAGTGCCACCACACCTGACATTTTGCAGTGGCTGGGGCTCAAACCCTTCCTGTATGCTATGTAAGTACTCTACCAATTGAGCTACGTTCTCATTCATGGTTATGCAATTCAAAGAAAAACTATGTGTGTATGTGCACCACATGCACACCTGGTGCCCACAGAGGGCAGAAGAGGGTGTCAGATCCTCTGGGACTAGAGTTACTGGATTAGTTACTCATGGTTGTGAGCACCATGTGGGTGCTAAGAACCAAACCTGGGTCCTCTGCAAATGCAGTCAGCATTCTTAACTGCTAAGCTATCTTTCCAGCTCCATGGACGTGTAATTCTTAATAGTTTCAAATGTCTTTGCAGACTACTCTCCCCTACCCCAGCCTAATTCACTCATGCCTCATCCCTTCCACTGACCAACTTGGTTAGCAATAGCAGGCTTATCCAAGAAGGATAGGTATGGGCTACACATAGTCTGGAGCAACACAATTCTAAAATGAGATTCTTTGGAGGGGGTGGTTGGTGGTAATTGTTGCATGCTTCCTGAACTTTGTAAATGACAATGTCATGCCACAATGTCAAAAGATTGGACATGCCTGATAATTCCAGAATGTCTGACAAACAAGTATCCTGAAGGTCTAAATCCCTTTATCCATGGATTTCCATTTCCCTTTAAAATTTCAAGGAATATACCTAGTGATATAACTCCTGAATTTTCTCCAACTGCAGCATTTTACCAAATAGAGAATTGCAGACCATTCTTAGTGTTTTCCAGGCTCCTTTTCCCACCTCTTCCACGCATCGCACAGAACATACCTGGAGATAGTACTGAAGATTATCTACTAAGAAGGCCATATGATTTCTTAGGCGCCACTTGACTGCATCTGTCTGGTTAGATTTGAGGTGTTTGCGCTGCATCTGGAGGGCCCAGCAGTGCTGCAGTTCAGCTTGGACACGACGCACACTCAGTAAGTACTTGAAAACAACATTGTACCTGCAACAGAAGCATCAGTGATATATGGACCTCACTTTAACACCCCTCCACACAACACACACAAGGGTTCCCCCTCTCCCTCCAAAGGTAGGCAGGTTAGAAGAATGGTGAGAATAAGCATTTTTATATAGTAAAAGAGAAAATGAAATGAATTTCAGTTAAACAACAAAATAACTAAGCCTCAGTAAGAGAGCCTGTCACAAAGGAATAAGGAGCATGATGAGAGAGGATATCCAGTGTCCTCTTTTGATCCTGCAGCCACTCACATCACACACATCCCACAAGCATCACAAGCATGTACATACATTTCAAAAATTAAACATTAAATATTAAGTACTAAAAATCAAATATTTTAAAGTTTAAATATTAGAATATTTAAATTTTATTAAATATCACAAACATTAATCTTAAAACAATATTTATGAACTGTGGGCATCTAAAGTAGTCCCATGTTCGAGTCTCTGGACAAGGTCTGTGTAACTTGTCTAGCTGGGCTGTGACCTCTGAACCTGCTGGAGAAGTCTCCCTGCAGCAGCCTCATCATTTCTGCCCAGCTTCTGTATATTCTAAAACAGTAGGCATGCTATGAAGAACAAGGAAGACAGGGTGAGAAAGCTGAAAGATGGTCTTTCCTCACTCCTATAGCCACAGGAGGAATGGTTTCCTCACCCTTTCTGAGGGTGCACTGTGCTTCTCTCTTCTCCTTTCTGGGTCCTACAAGGTCCCACAAGACTGCAATCAATGCATCATATCATGGTCCAGCCCCCTCATTCCATCACCCTAGCTCGGCTGTTTCCCCATGTAGGTAAGGGGATCATTCATTTTTAGTTCAACTGACACAACCCAGGGTCGTCTCAATTAAGAAATGTGGAATAATCTTTTTGTACACTGTGAAGATTTGTCACTCTGATTGGTTTAATAAAAAGCTGAAGGTCCAATAGCCAGGCAGGATTTTCAGGGCAGAGAGCACTGGAGAGAAGGGCAGAGTTGTGAGGAGTCGCCAGCTAGACACAAGAGGAAGGAAGAAAGCAACATGGGCAGAGTAAAGGTAATAGAGCCATGAGGTAGAAAGTAAATTAATAGAAATGGGTTGATTTAGTTATAAGACCTAGTTAGAAACAAGCCTAAGTTATTTATAATTAAGTCTCCTTGTCATGAATGGGAGCTGGCAGGAAGGACAGAAAAATCCACCTATAAGAAAATGTCTTCTTAGAGTGATGTATAGGCAAGTCTGTGGGGGCCACAGCGGTTGGTACCATCTGTGTGAGGTCCTGAGTTGTATAAAAAGGAAGCTGAATGAGCCATGAGCAGCAAGCCAGTAAGCAGTATTCCTCCATGATTTCTGCCCCCAGGTTCCTGCTCTCTTTCCTTCCTGATGCTATGCTACAAGCTGAAATAAAACCCTTTGCTTTTGGTCATAGTCTTTATCACAGCAACAGAAATATAAAAGGGTCTCACATAAATTAACATCAGCAGCAAATCATGAAAATCAAGGGGGAGCTTCTAAGGACTGATGGAATAAGCAAGTGACAGAACTCAGTGTGCTACCTGAGACTTCATATTTGAGACCACAAACTAATCTACAAGTAATAAGTCTACTATTGCTTACTACTTGTCAACTAACAAGAGAAATCTGTGCCAGGCATGGTGGTGTATACCTTTAATCTCAGTGCTTGGGAAACAGAGGCAAGCAGACCTCTGTGAGTTTGAGGCCCAGCTGGTCTGCATAGTGAACCCCAGGACAGCCAGGGTTATGTGTAGAAACCCTGTCTCAGTGGTTAAGAGCACTTGTGGCTCTTTCAGAGACCGGATTCAGTTGCTAGCACTGATACTGGGTGCCTCACAACTGCACCATCTCCAGTTCTGGCCTCCATGGAAACCAGCATGCATATGCACAAACACATTTTAAAAAATCTTAAGTGTCATTTTGTGTGTGAGTGAGTGAATTCAGGTGGACATATGCCTTGGAAATCATGTGAATGCCAAACTGGACACCCCCTACACCTTGTTTGAGACAGGGTATTTTTGCTGCTTGCCTCTGTTTATGCTAACCTGGTTTGCTTGTGAACTTACTGATATTCTCCTCTACCTCCTATCTCATAGTAGAAATTCTGGGACTACAGGCATGGACACATGCTTCATTGGGGATTTGAACTCCGGTCCTTACCTTTACTCACAGCCATTTCTGCAGCCTAGTCTGATGATTCTAAGTAGCTATATGCCTTCCCATTCATTCAGTTGCTTACCATTCCCTATTGTTTCATGGCTATCACTCATTTATTAATGTGAGCTGCTTATTTGTTTTTATTTTTGGTCAACTTGACACAAGCTGGAGTTACCTAGGAAGAGGGAGTTTCAGTTAAGGAACTGCCTTCACTGGATTTCCCTGTGGGCAAATCTGTGGAGTATGCTCTTGATTGATGATTGATGTGGGTGATGCCACACCTGGACAGGTGGGTCTGGGATGTGTAAGAAAGAAAACTGAGAAGTTGGGTAAGAAGCATTCCTCTATGGTTTCTGCCTCTGTTCCTGCATGAATCCCTACTCTGACTTCCCTCAATGAAGAACTGTTATCTGGACATACACACCAAATAAGTCCTTTCCTCCCACATAGATTTTTCATCATACTCATTTTCATCGCAACAGAAAACAAACTAGAACCCCTGTCTAGCTCCTGAAGACGGGTGAGTCTGCACTCTCTGGCTTACTAGTACAGAAACCAGCTGGATGGCGGATGGCGGGTTGCGTCCACCAATCTTATTCCCGTTCATTTAGTGGGAGAAACTCAGAACTACTCACTTTTCCAAGACGGCTGGGGTAAAGAGAATATGCAGTGGCCACTGTACTTTGTAGGAGAGACCTAGAGCAGCCCAGCCGGAAGCAGGGGCTTCCCGGGGAGACGTTTCCCGAGAAGGCCCTTCTCTTGGCTGGGTGGCATCTGCTGTGGATAAGATAATGAAAAATAACTTGGTTAATTAGAACCAGCATGATAGCAAGATGAACTGCACACATCAAATGAGACACCAGTGGTGCACTGAGAGGCAAAGGGGAGGACCTTCCTGTGAGAGCTTTGCTGAAAGGTGTCTTAAAAATATAGATGCAATTTCAAAAACAATCTATGGACAGAGTTCCTGAACCTTTCTGGAACTATATTTGTTCTTGTACAAAATTAGAGACCTAGTCTAGGTGATCCCTAAGGTCCAAAACTACAGTTTCTGTGGAGGGAGATGATGAAAACCAGAAGATGCAGAGTGGAGGCAATTGGAGATTAACAAACCTTTGTGGTCCTTTCCATGATACTCAATTGTCAAGTGCAACAGAGGGAGAAGGTTGTCATCATCTAGCAGCACCTTGTGTGCGGACTGTTGAAAGGCCACGTTCACATCTGCAAGAAAGAGCACAGGAAAGCAACAGTAGGGCTCAGCAGGGCCAGGACATATGTGACTTCTTTCTGAACAGCATTAATTTCTCCTTGTCCTTATTAACAACACTGAGAGCATCACCCCTGCTCAGTACAGATCCTGTAGTGTCAGCGGGGTTGGCAACACCCAATTCTTGGGGAGGCAGCATGATCAATGGGTCATGACAGCTGACCTTTTGGCTGTTTTGTTTGTAGACTTGATCTGATCCAGGCCAACCCAGAGGCTGTCTTCAGACTCTGTAAAAATGTAGTTCTTCTGAGGTCAGTTTTAGAAACATACAAATCTGGCAAGAGCAGCAGCTGGGGATTGAGCAACCCTTTCACAGGGGTTGCAAATCAGATATCCTACATATCAGATATTGACATTATGCTTCATAACAATAGCAAAATTAGTTATGAAGCAGCAACAAAAGTAATTTTAAGACTGGGCATCACAGCATTAGGAAGGTTGAAAACCACTGGACTAGAACCTGTCCTGCTGGCCAAGAAGACAAAGATAATTAGGTTTTACCTAAAACCATCACATCTGAGATTATGAGAATCAATAAATTCTATCCTTGTTACTTGGCTTGGATCCTTACTACATTCTCTTCTTGTGTCTGGGTGGAAGCAGCCATTAACTGGCCAAGGGGAAGACACTTTGCTGAATGAGACATATCCTAATGCCTCACTTCATTGTTAGTGATAGCCATGTGACCTGGAGAGGGCCAATTAAAACAAAGCACGTCACTAGACTTCTTTAATTTGCTGCTAGAAACCAGGCTAGGTTGCTTTGTGTGGGGGGCATCAAAGGTAAGGAGAAAAGTCTTAACAGTACTAAAGACCTTTGCTTTACTTGTCCTGACAGCCAGTTATACCATAAGCACAAGGGAGCTTTAGCTATAACTAGGCTTTCCCAGGTTAGGTTTCCATTTTTGTTGGTTTTAGTTCTTTTGTTTTTTGAGACAGGGTTTCTCTGTAGCTTTGGGGTCTGTCCTGGAACTTGCACAGTAGACCATGCTGGCTTCGAATTCCCAAGGGCTGGTATTAAAGGCATGCACCATCACCGCCCAGCTTCCATTATTACTTATAAGATTAAAAATAGGTAGTGGTAGCTAGAGCACTGATAGTTAAGAGCACTGGCTGCTTCTGCAGAGGACCGAGGTTCCTTTCCACACATCCACATGGCAGCTCATAAACTTGTGACTCATTCTTCTGGCTTGTCCAGGCAAACATACAACACACACATCAGCCGAGAAACACCCTGCAACTGAGTAAGCTGTTTATTCTCAGGGCCACAGGACAATTACCATGCTCTGTTACTGCAGTGGGTGGTGTTTTTAACATGTGTTGAGCTGTGTCAATGAAGGCCTGGAACAGTTCTCCTCGTCCCAGAAGGTAAAAGTCTTTAATGATCTGAGGAAAGAGTTTCAATGTACAGTTCAGTAAATCAGAGCCTGGAGTCTTACTCCCCAAGAGAATTAGATACATAGATTATCAGTCTGAAATAAACAGGCTTATTATTTTAAAGATGCATACAGAGAAGCCCTTCAAAACATGAGAACTCTTTGTGTTTTGGATCATAACAGAAGAAAGTAAACTTGAATCTTTATAGAGTTCAGAAGCTTTATAGCATCAAATATAATTTCCTCACCTGAGTAAGAACAATAAGCCTACTGTGGAAGTCTAGGCAAGAGTGCTTTCCATAATCATTTCAAGATTTAAAAGAAATCAGTTATTACCTTCAGCTGACCCAATAAGTCTGACTCCTCTACCATTAGCTTCCAGAGGTGCTGTGATAAGAGTTAAACAAACAAACAAACAAAAAACCTTAAGTTCATTACAGTAAACCCAAGTTCAGCTAGTCCTAGGAATGAACAGATGTAACAAAAACCTATGCAAGATTAAAATGTCCCGAACTTAGCAGTAATAGCTGCAAAAACAACTGTAAAATTAAAAACCACTGGGTTGAATACAATTTTCTTATTTTATTTTTTCAAGACGGGGTTTCTCAGTATAGCCCTGGCTGTCCTGAAACTCACTTTGTAGACCAGGCTGGCTTTGAACTCACAGAGATTCCTCTGCCTCCTGAGTGCTGAGATCAAAGGTGTGGGTCACCACTTGGCTTGGTAGCACATGCCTGTTATCCCAGTATTGGGAGACTATAGCAGGAAGATGACCTAGTTCCAGGCCAACCTTGTTTATATAGCAAAATCCTATTTTTTTTAAGGACTAGAGAGATGGCTTAGCAGTTAAGAACACTGAAGCTCTTCTAGTGGACATGGGTTTGATTCCCAGCACACATCAGATGGCTTATAGCCACCTCTTAACTCCAGTTCCAGGGAGTCTGGCATCCTCATCTGGCCTCCAAGGACACCAGGCAGGCACATATATAATGCAGGCATAACACCCACACAGTTAAAAAAAAAATCCTACAACTTATACATGCATTGAAATACTATATCAGAGGTTGGAGAGAGGGCTCAGTGGTTAAGAGCACTGACTGCTATTCCAGAGAACCTGTGTTCAATTCCCAGGACCCACATGGAACTGTCTATAATTCTGGGACCCAGGGGAAAACACCAATGTACATAATAAAAATAAAATTTAAAAATGCTGAAATACTACATGATTTTCCATTTATATTAATTTGTTATTATGTACAAGTTAGTATATCTTAATATTTAAATAAGATAGAAGAAAAAAAGTAAAAATTACCTAAAGAATTTATAAATCAAGGGAAAATAAACAAAAGGTAGTTCTAATTAGTTTATTACTATTAATAGAAGCCTAAAAACACAGAACAATAATGAGAAAAACTGGGGCTAGTGAGATGGTTGGTGAGAAAGAGCTTGCTAAACAAGCACATGGATCTGAGTTCAGATCTCTAGCACATATGCAAAAGCAGGGCATAATGGCGCATGTCTATAGCCCAATGCTGGAAGACAGCCAGAGGGAAAGATTCTCTCTCTCTCTCTCTCTCTCTCTCTCTCTCTCTCTCTCTCTCTCTCTCTCTCTCTCTCTCTCTCTCTCTCTCTCTCTCTCTCTCTCTCCCCTCCTTTCTCCCTCCCTCCCCCTTTAATCCTCTCCAAACTCGTTTCTTCTGGAACAATGTTAGACAGAAGACATACCTCAGCCACAGTGCTACGAATTCGATCCACCACCTGCTCAAAATCCACGAGGCTGAAGAGTGGCTGCTGCTTGAGCCGATGTAGCTCTGCAGCAAAAGTGTCCTCCTGGTTCTTCAAGATGGACCCTGTGGAGGACAAGGCACTCTTGTCAGACAGGTGTCATTAGACGGGGTGGAGGGGCCACAGCTGCCCAAGCCAACCTCTCAGAACTATTGTGCCGCAACAATTCATCTGTCACCAGCCACTCTAACCCAGCATGCTTTGGGCCACTGTTACAGATCTCTGAGATGTGGCCAACAGAACAAGGGGATTCTTACCTTTTCTCGTCAGGTTCACATTTTGATTCTCAAACATCTGAACAGATTCTCCAACAAAGAGGATTTTTTCAGCAACCCTCACTGGAATGTAGGATGGTAAAATCTCTACCCGCAGAGAAAACTGCTTCAGAGATGGGGCCAGCATGTTCTCTTCCTCAATTAGGCGCTAGTCAAGAAAATAACCAGTCACTTGAAGTATGAAGATAGGTCTTAGCATTCCCAACTCATGACTGGCAAGCAGGGTATAAATCTGAAGTTATACAATTCTTGCATCATCATCTCTGGAAATGTACTCCATATTCATGGACAATGGCATGATAGAAAGCACTGAGTTTTTATTTTTTAATTTACTTTTGTGTATGTGTGTATACAATGCAGGTCAGTGTGGGCACACATGGGCCACAGTGTACATGTGGAGGTCAGAGGACAACTGCAGGCCATGGTCCTTACCTTCTTCCTTGAGAACAAGGTCTGCTTGTTTAACTGTGTATGCTAAGCTAGCTGGCCTTCAGGCTTCCAGGGATTCTCCTGTGTTTCTGCCTATCTCACTGCAGGAGCACTGACATTGGAGATGCTCACACTATAGCATCTGACTTTAACATGGGTCCTCACACTTGTACAATCACTTTAACCTATGGAGTCATTCCCTCAGCCTAACATTGAGTTTTAAATATAAGGCTTTACTACTGTGTCAGGTGGATAGATAATCAATCAGCTTTCTCCTTTGCACAATTCTAAGAGTTGGTATAGCTCGCTCTATCTATCTATCTATCTATCTATCTATCTATCTATCTATCTATCTATCTGTCACCTACCTACCTACCTGCCTGTCTGCTCTGTCAAGGCCTATCCCAGACTCTTCTCTCTTGTTATACATTTTATAGAGAAAACATCTTACAAGGCTTCACTGGGCATCATAACAGATTGTTTTAACAGGCCTGCAAATATAAATGCTGAGGACCTTCTCCTAGACACTGTACAGAGAACCTCTTGCAGCTTCCCATGGGCCACAGATTAAAAACTTCTAAGTTGCTGCTGATTACTCCATACTTAGCTTCAGAGAAAGCTATACCACTCCTCCAGGTTGAACCCAATGGACATTTTCCACAGGCTGCTTAAACTCAACACATCCCATATTGGACCTTGGGCGGGATATAGCTCAACGGAAGAGTACTTGCCTGGCCTCAGTTTTGATGGCCACAACAATGAACACCAGCAACACATATTGCCTATCGTCACTACTCACCTAGTGCCTCACTGCTAAAGGCTGCAACTTTCCTCTTGACTCACAGCCAGCCCCTAAAGGACTATGGATTCCATCCTTTCAGGCTTCTCTATCTGCCTCCAAATTCACTGTTACCATTCTTGGAATTATTATTTTTCACCTAAGAATCCCTAGGCCTCTATTGACTAGTATACTTGCCTCTACTCTTGATTTTTGTTTTGGTGACAGGGTCTTACTCTGTAGCTCAAGCTGGCTACAGAACTCCCTATGTGGACAGGGGTGGCTTCAAACTTGGAGTAATTCTTCTGCCCCTGATTCCTGGGTATTGAGATTACATGTTTTTGTTGTTACTTGGGGCAGGGTGAGTCAGGGTTTCATCTGTTGGCCAAGCTGGCCTTACACTAATGGTGCTTCCCTCCCCCCAACTTTAGCCTGTCCTATAAGAAACTGAGGTAACAGATGTGCACCACTATGCTCAGCTCCTGATCTTGGTTTTTAAGAAATGATTCCCACATAGCACCTAAAATGACATCATAAAGTCTGTCACTCCTTCCCTGGGATTACCCAATTGTTCTTTCTTAACTTTTTTTCACGTTCAGTCTAAATTCTTTCTTTTTGTTCACAAGGACCGTCAGGATTTGCTGCTGATTCACTCAGCACCTTCATCTACTGCTACCTCCCTTAATCCTACACACACACACACACACACACACACACACACACACACACACACACACTACTTTACCTTTACCTGACCATTTCAGCTGAAATTTAAATGGTTCTTCCAATGAGCCTTGCTCTTAATAGCCTATACCATTATATACAATCCCTGGACATGCTGTGATGCATCTTACCAAATTCCACTGAAAAGTCTTCTCTAATTTAAAACCCTACTTCAGACCTTCCAAGAACAGCTGCACTCTTTTGCAGAGCAATGTAATTGGTTACTTTTCTCTATTTTCCATCATTATACGCTTCTTTTTTTTTTTTTTTTTTGGTTTTTCGAGACAGGGTTTCTCTGTGGCTTTGGAGGCTGTCCTGGAACTAGCTCTTATAGACCAGGCTGGCCTCGAACTCACAGAGATTCGCCTGCCTCTGCCTCCCAAGTGCTGGGATTAAAGGCGTGTGCCACCAACGCCTGGCTCCATTATATGCTTCTTAAGGATAAGAACTACATTTTGTTTATGGAGTTGGGCACCTAATATGAGTTCCCTGCATGGAACAGACATTCAATGAATATAACAAGATAAATGAACCACCGGATGAACAAATGAATGTGAACAATACAAGTCTGAGGAGTCTACAACTCCAAACTACATGAAAAGCTACAGGGAAGCTCATATTTGCAGAGATAAAACTTATCACTCAACTTATAAATGCATGTAATGTAGAAAGGAGAAATAAAGATTTCAAAATCACTTTCTGTTTTGTAGTCTCTAATAAGAGGAAGCCCAGTGTTTCTAAATAAACCATTCAAGGAAGGCAGTCTGCCCTGGGCTTCCTGCTGTGCCCTCACCAGGTCCTGCAGTTCTCTGAGTTGTTTTCCTGTCAGTCCTCCAATACCCAGATCCTCTTCATCCTCTTCAGCCTGGGCACTGATATTACCAGAAGATGGACCCTGTTTTATAAAAAACTCTTCATGCTGGTCCAAGAGGAGTCCATGTAGCATCCAGGCCGAGAGCTGTTTATACATGACTCCATGGCATACAGCCAGGATTCTGAGGAGAGAAGGAAGCAAGAGCCTTACCAATCTACTTAAAAGAATGCCAGAGATCATGCTTGAAATTCTGACAGGACAGACAGAAGCTTGAGAATTTAATGAGTCATGGATGAAACAAGGTAAAAATAACTGCTAATTTAACTGTTTAGAGACAGATGAGTAAGTCCAACCTATAGTATATACTTAATTAAGCTCACAGAATGTTTAGTACAAAAATTTTTGGTTTTAGTGTAAGTTTCAAAACTGATGAGTTATATAAGCGGATGTAGTGGAGTCACATTTTGCTTAACACAGCCTTGAATTTTCTTCTTGAAAGTGCATAAGATTCAATATGTGAATATCAAGTTGAGAGAATAATGTATTATAATTCAGTAAAATGAAGAAATCAAAATGAAATGCAGGAAGGTAGTTGGAGAATGGACATTGAGATGGTTTGACAGGAGGCCAGCATGAAAACAAAGTAACAGCCAGGACAGTGTATCTCTTCTACAGCCCACCACAGCAGGCCCTGAGCATTACAATATATATGAACCTTAAAATAGGCTTTATGAATATGATAGAGGTCATTAAAGAGGAAATGAATAATCCCTTAAAGATACCTATGAAAACACAAACAGTAGAAATGAATAAAACCATGCAAGACATGAAAGTGGAAACAATAAACAGAAGTAAATCTAGAAACGAGAAATTTAGAAGCTAAGAGATGGAAGAGAATCTCAGGCATTGAAGACATAGTAGAAGAAATAGAAACCTTGGTCAAAGAAAATGTTAAATCTAAAAAAGTGGCACAAAACATCCAGGAATCTAGGACACCATGAAGAATTCAAATCTAAGAATAATAGGAATAGAAGAAGGGGAAGTAACCCAGATTAAATGCACAGAAAATATTTTCAACAAAATTATAAAGGAAATTTCCCTAACCTAAAGAAGATACCTATCAAGGTACAAGAAATATAGAGATAGTGGGGCAATGGTGGCTTACGCCTGTAAGCCTAACACTCGGGAGGCAGAGACAGGCAGATATCTGTGAGTTGGAGGCCAGCCTGGTCTACAGAATGAGTTCCAGGACACCTGCTATACACAGAGAAACCCTATCTTAAAACAAATAACAACAAAAACAAAACAACAAAATAAGTATACAGAACACCAAATAGACTAAACCAGAAAATAAAGTCCACTCAGCACACAATAATCAAAACACTAAACATACAGAACAAAGAAGAGTGTTAAAAAGCTACAATAGAAAAAGAACAAATAACATAAAGGCTGACCTATTAGAATTATATACCTGACTTCTCAAAGGAGACTCTAAATGCTAGAAGGGCCTGGGCAGATGCCAGTCCAGACCACTATACACAGCAAAACTTTCAATCACCATAGATGGAGAAAATAAAAAAGTCTATGATGAAACCAAATTTATATAATATCTACCTACAAATCCTGCCTTAATAGACAGAGCTAGGAGGAAAAACTCCAACCTAGAGGCTAACTACACCCAAGAACACACACACACACACACACACACACACACACACACACACACACACACACACACCCCGCCACCACAACCAAAGACCACATAACAAGAATCAACAAATATTGTTCATTGACAATCTCTCAACATCAGTTGTCTTGATTCCTCAATAAAAGGGCAGATTAACAGAACAAATGTGAAAACAGGATCCATCCTTCTGCTATACCAAGGATAGACATCACCTAAGGGTAAAAAGAGGGAAAAGGTATTCCAAGCAAATGGACCTAAGAAGTACGCTGGTGTGAACATTTTAATATCTGACAAAAAATAGATACTAAAACTAATCAGAAGCCGGCATTGGTGGCACATGCCTTTAATCCCAGCACTCGGGAAGCAGAGGCACGAGGATCTCTGAGTTCGAGGCCAGCCTGGTCTACAAGAGCTAATTCCAGGACAGCCTCCAAAGCCACAGAGAAATCCTGTCTTGAAAAACAAAACAACAACAACAACACAAAAACCAAAACTAATCAGAAATCAAAACTACCCAGTCTGACAGCTGGGGAACCAACATAGGACCAAACCAGGCCCCCTAAACATGGGTGTCAGCCAGGAGCACTGGGCATCTATGGGGCCTCTGGCAGTGGAACCAGGATGTATTCCTAGTGCACCAACAAATTTCGGGAGCCCATTTTCCATGGAGGGATACTCTCTTAGCCTAGATACACAGGGGAGGCCCTAGGTCCTGCCCCAAATGACTTGACAGATTTTGATGATCCCTCATGGAAGGTCTCACCCTCCATGGGAAGTGGATGGGGAAGTCAGTGGGGGGCATAGGAGGATGGGAGGGAGAGGGAACTGGGATTGATATGTAAAATAAGATTGTTTCTAATTTAAATAAAATTTATGAAAAAAAAAAGAAACCAGAACTAATCAGAATTGATAGGGAAGGACACTAAGTACCCATCAAAGAGTAATTCTTCTAAGAAGACACTGTATTTTTAACATCTATGAACCAAACACAAGGGCATCCAGGTTCATAAAAGAAACATGACTACAGGTTAAATCACATATTGACCCTCACATGCCAATAGTGCAAAAACATCAATACTTCACTCTCATTAATAAACAGGCCATCCGGACAAAAACTAAACAAAAATACTGGAGCTAAACGATGTTATACACCAAATGCATTTAACATATATTTACATAATATTTCATCCAAGCACAAGAATATGCTTTCTTCTGAGCATCTCATGGAATTTTCTCCAAAATTGACCACATACTTGGACACAAAGCAAGTCTCAACAGATAAAAGAAAATTGAAATAAAACCCTGCAACCTATCTGACCACTACAGATTAAAACAGGACATCAACAATAACATAAACAACAGAAAGCTTACAAACTCATAGACTAAACAACGCACTACTGAATGAAAAATGGGTCAAGAAAAAGATTTTCTAGAATGGGACACAAAAGGCAAGTTCATAACACTAAGTGCTTACATTAAAAAAAATGGAGAGATTTCATACTAGTAACTAACAGCTAAATATTGGGGGAGACATCTCTGGTCACCAAATGAAGCTTTCAGTATTGGGACTGGGTTACATCTAATTGAGTCATTGGCCAAAAGAATCCCATGGGAATCCCCAAACCCAGGTTGTTGCCAAGACTATAGACTGCTCACTACAAACTGACATCAAAGCTCCATTGCTGAAGATAACACCTATACAACTCACTGAACATGGAGAAGTCAATTTGATGCCTACATAAAGAAGAAAGGAAAGGGGGTGTGAAAAGCCTCAGAGTCCATTTACCACAATTTTGTAATGACTATTTGTTCTAGTTAGGGTTTCTATTGCTATGAAGATACACCATGACCATGGCAACTCTCATAAAGGAAAATACTTAATTGGGTGGCTTACAGTTCAGAGCTTCAGTCCATTATCATCATGATGAGATATGGATATGACAGCATGCAGGCAGACATGGTGCTGGAGAAGTAGTTGAGTCCTATATTTTGCAGGCAACAGGAAGTGAACTGAGACACTGGGCATGGCTTGAGTATATATAAGACCTCAAAGCCTGACTCCACAGTGATACACTTCTTCCAACAAAACCACACCTATTCCAACAAGGCCACACCTCCTAATAGTACAACTGCCTTTGAGGGCCATTTTCTTTCAAACTATCACAATGCTATACTTTCTTTTTTAACTATGAAGAAAATGACATAAGAATATATGGGCAGCCTTTGATCAGACTCTACTCTCTTGACAGGATGACAATGGTACCAGGGCCCATGATAGACAAGTATCCTACTACTGAGTTATATATGCTGAACCCCTCCTTGTATATTTTCACACAGTGGTAATCATAAGACAAATAAAATTTAATATCACTTTTCATCATTACAGAATATTTCATATATTGTGGCATTTACAATTTTAATGGCTTTATAGTCTTTTGAGTGAATATTTAGTTTAAAATTTTTTATTTGTGTGTGTGTGTGTATACGTACATGTACATGTGTGCTGACACATCTTTACCTTGTATCTATGAGGAGGTCAGAGCACAATTTGCAGCTGTTCTCTTTCTCTACCATATGGGTTCCAGGGACACAATGTAGGTTGTCAGGCTTGATAGTCAACACCTTTATCAGCTGAGCTATCTCAACAACCCTAGTTTTCTTTATACTACTGCAATTTTTCTAATTTCCTGATAGACAACACAGCATGAGTATGCTTGTGAATAATTATTTTCTTCTTTTACATTATTTTCCTATTGGTCTGGGGAGATGGTTCAATGGGTAAGAACGTTTACTAGACAAGCATAGGACTTGAGTTTTAATTCCCTACACTTATGTAAAAGCTGTGCATGGCTGTGCATGACTTCACCTCAACACCGGTGAACGGAGACAGGCAAACAGACCCTGGGAGTCCACTGGTTGGTTAGCTAGGCTCAGTGAGGGACCCTATTTTAAGGGAATATATTGCTGAGTGATAGATACACTAGATATTCTCCAATAGCCACTTAGGGCACATGTATCTGCACACAAGCATATAAAAGCAGAGACTACATCACACACAGTAAGTGCTTTGGTTATGTTAAAATTTCTAAGTGTGTGGCATTGTAGGCTATCAAGTATAACTATTTTAAGGACTATGATGTGAAAAATACTGGCTCTTCTTCCTACCCACACCACCACTTTACCTGGCCCTCCCTCTCCATTCCTCTCCTCTCTTTTACCTTCTTAGTTTTCAACCCAGGCCTCCTAAACTTTCTACATACCTGTGAATAATCTTGAAGCCCTTATCTTCCTGCTTCTACCTTCCAAGTATTAGGATTACAGGCATATACCATCATGTCTGGTGACTCCTAGGGCTTTTGTGTGCATATATAGGGTATGTGTGTGCACATGTGTAGGCCAGAGGCTGATGTTGGGAATCTTCCTCAGTGATTCTCCACCTTATTTTTTGAAACAACATCTTTCATTGTACTTGGAACTTGTCAATTCGGTTAGCCTGGCAGGCCAGCAAGCCCCCAGACACCCTGTTCCTACTTCCCCAGTGCTGGGATTACAGTTGCAAGCCTGGCTTTTTAAATGGGTGCTAGGGATCCATTTAAGTCTTCATACTTGCATGGCAAGGGGGTTTACTTACTAAAACATCTCCCAGCCCTGGGGCTTTTCTATCCTAGTTAAAATTTTCCCATAAGGAAACCTGATATGACCTGAAAATAAAACATGACAAATCAAATCATTTGACCCCAACCTGTACTCCAATATTATGGAAGCCATGACTTACTTTTCCAATGCACTTCGTACTGGAGGCAAACCCCCACAGCTATGTTTGTAAACTGTTTCCAGGATTTGACAGCCATGAATCTGTGGAAAATATAGCCTTGTCACTCTAGGTTACATAAACTCATATCCTATACCAAGCACGAAAGCACACACAGGGCCGGGTGTAGGTGGTGCACGCCTTTGATCCCAGCACTTGGGAGGCAGAGGCAGGCGGATCTCTTTGAGTTCAAGACCAGCCTAGTCTACAGAGCGAGTTCCAGGACAGCCTCCAAAGCTATAGAGAAACCCTGTCTTGAAAAACCAAAAAGAAAAAGAAAGCACACACAGTCCAATAGAGAAGGCTGATATGGTCTCTCACAAGATTTCTATATAGTTAGGCACAAAGACAGACTCCCTTTCCTTCAGCATCTTAGCTAGATATTTCCTCTCCCCCAAATTTATTTATTTATATGTATGTAATGTACTGCCTGGATGTATGCCTGTATGCCAGAAGAGGGCACCAAATCTCATCATAGATGGTTGTGGTTGCTGGGAATTGAATTCAGGACCTTTGGAAGAGCAGCCAGTGCTCTTGACTGTTGAGCCATCTCTCCAGGCCCTTAAATAGGTTTCTAATGCTGTGATAAAACACCATGATTAAAAGCAATTTGTTGGGGAAAGGGTTTATGTCAGCTTATACTTTATAGGCCATCACAAAGGCAAGTAGGGGCAGGAACTCAAGGCGGAATTAAAGCAAAGGCATGGAGGAATGTTGCTTACTGCCCACCTTCCATGGCTTGCTTGGCCTGCTTTATCATCCAGTACCACCTGCCCAGGTTGGCACTGTCTGCAGTGAGCTGGGCCCTCCCATATCAATCATTAACCAAGAAAATGCATGAGAGATTTACCTACAGCTCATCTGAAGAAGGCGTTTTCTTAATTGAGGTTCCTTTTCCCAAATGACTCTAGCTTTTGTCAAATAAGCCAAAATAAACAAGTAAATAACCAGGATACCCAGAAAGGTGACAGAAATGTAAATGTTGGGACATAAAGCCCAGATACCTGTGGTTTAACAAGCACTCCAGTTAATTCTAATATATACAATGGTTTGAGAGCCAATTCACTGAAGAAACAAGATTCATGGGGAATTGACATTTCAAAATCAAGGAAAGGCCTTTCTTTCATGATAAGACACAAGTCTTATATTAGTAGTCTGACTTTGCCCCTAATTTGGGGTCTCTGTGTGCTCCAGGCTTTTCTTTCAAATCACTCCAAGGTATAATTTGTATGCCCTGAATTTACATGTGTATCTTAAGTGTATTATTTAAGTACTTTAGTAAATTTACAGTGTTACACAATCGTCTCTATAATCCAATTTTACAATATTCCATTCTAAAACAATTCCCAAGCTGGGCTGATGGGGAAGTTCTGTGTATATGTCAATAAAGCACTGTTGGCCAATAGGGAAGTAAGATAGGTGGGACTAGGAGTTGAGGAGGATTCTGGGAAAGAGAGACACAGGGAGCCACAATGTAGCCGCCATAGAAGTAAGGGGTCCGGACCCTTTCTCTGGTAAGAGAAATACTTAGATTAACAATTATGGGGTAAATACTTAAGTCAGAGATAGCCAGTAAAAAACCAAGCAAACTGCCAACAGCTTCATAATTAATATAGCCTCCTGTGTGTATATTTGGGTCTGATGTGGCTCTGGAACCAGGCTGGCAGGAAGGCTGCACTATACACTGGGCGGTGGTGGCACATACCTTTAATCCTAGCACTCAGGAGGCAGAGGCAGGTGGATCTGAGTTTGAGGCCAGCCTAGTCTACAGAGTGAGTTCCATGATGGCTAGGACTTCACAGAGAAACCCTGTCTCAATAAAAAAACAAACAAACAAAAAAAAAAACAACAACAACAAAAAAAACAACCCCCATAGGTGAGTCTATTTGCAATCCACGGCCATTCTTCCCCTCAGCTCTTGCTCTCAACCACCCTAGTTTTTAACTGTGGAGCACTAGCACACTAGTTTCCCTATCACTACCTGGCTAGATAGGAAAGTTTTCTCATCTGAGTCCCTCTATTTGTTCCCCATTCTTCCTGTAGTCAATGGAAGCTGAAAGTCAATAGAGATATGCAGTTAGGGGTAGAATTCTGTGCCCTCACTATTAATTCCATTCATGTAGAAGGTTCCCTCCCATTTTGTGAATTTAATATAGGGGTTAAGAGATGGTCTTTGAGTTACACAGACTCTGTCATTCACTTTGCTTTGTGACCATGAGCATATGTAATCACGTATGTAAACCCTTAGCACAGTGTATGGTACAAAGCAATAGATGGTCAGCTCTGAAGCCCTTTCCTACTGGCTTTGGCAGCAGACAATCAATGTAGTAGAGCTTTAAATTTCTGTACTCACTGAAAAAGTAAGGCAACTACGGGGTATCTACACTCACCAAATAACCCTCTAAGGCATAGATCCGATATCCAAAAATAATGGAGAACTAAGCTGAGCATGCTTAATTTGTCTTAGTTCAATAATGGGTAAACAAAAGAAAATAACTCTCATATTGTAGAAATCTCTAAGCATTTTTTTCTTCGTAGATATTAATTCTACCTAGAAAAGACAATCTTCTGACATAGGGGACTCTTTATTCAATGTGTGGTGAAACTTATGACAATTGGTATCTTGAATGAGTACAACAAGATGGATTTTGCCCAGTAACCCTGTCCATATCCAAAACTACTGGTTCCAAACCCTCGGTGCAGTCAACCCTCACCTCCAAACATCCAAAGTATTTTCTCCAACCTTAGCCACATTCTTAGGTAGATCCACTTACTCTGTTTTTTTTTTTTTTATTGTTGTTTTGAGACAGGATTTCTCTTTGTAGCCCCACTGTCCTGGAACTTACTCTGTAGACAAGACTGACCTCGAACTCACAGAGATCCACCTGCCTCTGCCTCCTGAGTGTTGGGATTAAAGGTGTGTCCGGCTGCGACCGCCACTTGGCTACTCTGCTTTCCTAATCACAAGGTGTTTAAATAAAGAATAATGTCCTGTTTGTGCATTTCTTACATTTTATATGATAAGCAAAGGTATAACCCTGAATGAATTAAAACAGAAAACAAACAAACAAACAAACAAGACTATTAAAATCGAGCATCTTCCTGAGAAAGACTGTAAAGCAGCAATGTTAGTTTTTCCTGATGTTTATCAGAGCAGAAAGTTCTCACCTTTTGGCTTTTAATTTGTTCCACTACAACCATCACAGAGGGAAAAAGGAGCTGGAACTGAAAAGCAGAGGAAAGGGTATGTATGAATCAAACACAGTATTAAATAAAGATCAACTCAAGAAACACTTGTTTCCAGGGTAAAATAGCAACACAAAGACCCAGTACCCTAGGCAATCTGACATCAGGATTGGGTGCAAACAGGAAATGCAGGACAGAAGCAATTTCTACTTTTGAGTCTGGTGTAATTGTCAATATTCATATCAATGGAGAACACTCACATTACTTAAGAGCTAATTAAATGTGGAACTTTTTGCTGTTTGAGGTTTTTTTTTTTTTGCCAACCCAGAACTCACCAGATTAGCCCCTTCCTCCTGAGTACTGAGATGACAGGCAGATGCTATACATACTACACCTTTTTTGTTTGTTTGTTTTGTTTTGTTTTTCAAGACAGGGTTTCTTTGTGTAACAGTTCTGGCTGTCCTGGAACTAGCTCTTGTAGACTAGGCTGGCCTCAAACTCAGAGATCCACCTGTCTCTGTCTCCCAAGTATTGGGATTAAAGACGTGTGCCACCACTACCCGGCATACACCACACTCTTAAAAGTTCTCATCTAGCAATAAAACATGCAAAATATATTTATTGGGCTATAACACCATAGGGTAAAAAGCTTTAATATAGTGCTACAAATTGGGACAGCAACAGAATTTAAATCATTTTAGCATTCTAACGCATACCTGATCTAAGGAGTAATTGACATGTGATATGGAGAGATGTGGGTCAGCCAGGAACTGTAATAAAAGCACAGTCATCAGAATTCCACACAAAATAACTTGAATTAATTTGCTCTACATAAATTAGGAGACAATGTGACAATCAGCTCAGTGTTTGCTTTAAACTCTGCAGAGCTAATAGATGATAGATTTACTTTTTAGATAATAAGCCCAAACCAGGGCTCTACAAATCTACTTTGGAGCCACTTTAGCTACTGTACCCTTCAGCCACACAGGAAAGAGCTTACTTTTAACTACTTGACCTTATCAAAGGCCACTTCCGAGTCAAGAACATGCTCTAATCTGCAGTCCCCCAAAGATACTGTTTTCTATATTACCTCCTTCTCACCTCTTGTTCCAGGTCAAGCAGGGCTTGGCGATAAGGCTGCAAAACTGAATCCAGCCCTGTGCAGAAGGCCCTCAGGTAGATACCATGTAGCCCACCTTGACCTTGCTGGGATGGATGGTGATCCTGTAAACAAAGAGAACCTGAGCCTGAGAAAGACATTCTCGTGTATTATTAGTACTTATACTTACACAATTCTGTATCAAAGCAGTGTGTTAGTAAGAGGGTAAGGAAACACTGATATGATTGGTCTTTACTGTAGGGTTTGGTTCCCAGCATCTGTGTGTGATAGAACACACACACACACACACACACACCATCTACTCACTCAGGTCAGGGAACCCATGACAAACCAAAGTACAGAAGATACCACTGAAGTCTGCCTTGATGAACCAATCAGTTTCATGGAGTTATTTACAGAAATGTGAGTGAGAGATTACTTATAGGAACAGAAATGTCAAAGACAGCTGTATCACCAAACCCCACACCACCACGGGTGACACAAAGGTGAGAACCTGGAGCACACTCCACAACCTAACAGGCAGCTCAACAGGTTGGAGCATCATGTCCAGATAGTTCAGTTGCTCTGAACCTCTTCTAGGCAGCTCAGCTGTTTTCTGCTTCTTTCTGGCTGCTTCAGAGGAGGGCATAGTGAATCTGGTTCAGGGACTTCCTGGAGTTATTCTGAGTTGTTGACTTTCTTTTTTTTTTTTTTTTTTTTTTTTTTTGGTTTTACAAGACAGGGTTTCTCTGTGTTGTTTTGGATGCTGTCGGTCCAGCCTGGCCTCGAACTCACAGAGATCCGCCTGCCTCTGCCTCCCGAGTGCTGGGATTAAAGGTGAGCGCCACCACCGCCCGTCTAGAAGAAGTATCTTAAGACAGAAAGTCAACAACTCAGCCGGGCAGTAGTGGCTCATGTGGGTTCTCTGTGAGTTCGAGGCCAGGCTGGACCGACAGCCTCCAAAACAATACAGAGAAACCCTGTCTCGTAAAAACCAAAAAAAAAAAAAAAAAAAAAAGATACTTCTCATGGTAGCTCATAACCACCTGTAATTCCTACTTCAAGGTATCCATTCCTTCTCGCCTGGGCAGGAACAGGCATGCACATTGTGCACATATGTGCAACAAGCAGAACTCATACACATGAAATAAATCTTTTTTTCTTTTTGGTTTTTCCAGACAGAATTTCTCTGTGTAGCCCTGGCTGTCTTGGAACTCACTCTAGACCAGGCTGGACTCACAGAGATCCACCTGCCTCTGCCTCCCAAGGGCCGAGATTAAAGGCATGTGCCACCAAGGCTGGCTAAAAATCTTTAAAAAATCCGCTGACCTGACAAAGGTTAACTCTTGAATCCCAGGCATCAGCCTGGGAATCCAGCATGGGACTGATCAAGACCCCCTGACTGGGGGTGTCAGTGAGGAGGCCTAGGTAATCTATTGAGCCTTGGGCAGTAGATCAGTACTCATCCCGAGTATACACACGGACTTTGGACTCCCATCCAACAATGTGAGGTGCACTCTCACCCTGAACTCTTGGGGGAGGGTCTAGGCCCTGCCCTATATGAAATGACAGACTATGGACACCCTCATGTAGGGCCTCACCCTCCCTGGGGAAATGAGGGGATAATGGGGGGGTTGGGGGGAGGGCACGGGAGGAGGGGAGGGAAAGGGAGAGGGACCTGGAACTGACTTGTGAAGCAACCTTGTTTTTTATCTAAATTTAAACTGAAAAATAAATTTAAAAAAAATCCGAAGACAAGTGTGAATCTGAGAGCCAATCTGGGGGTTGTGAGACTCTTACTGAAGGGTTATATAAAATATGACTTGCCTTTCAGGAACCCTTCAAGTTATATGGCTGGTCCCTGCTGCTTTCCAGGCAGCTGGGATTGTCTGAAAGCGACTTTCAGTAGTTTTTATTCCTTATTCTTTGGAAGAAGGGGCCTAGTGAATCTGGTCAGTTTCATATAATACTTTTCATGTAGTTTTATATGAGGAATTAATAGTTAAGTTAGTGTAAACAGACATTTCCTGTCCTTATTGCCCAATCCCAAAAAACCGACTCAGAGGCTGAATATGAATTATAAATGCTAGGCCAATAGCTCAGGCTTGTTACTAGCTAACTCTTACATTTAAATTAACCCATTTCTATTAATCCATGTATTGCCATGTGGCTAGTGGCTTTACCTGTCCTCTAGCATGTCTTGCTTCCTGGGTGGCTGGCCGGCATCTCTCTCGACTCCGCCTCCTTCTTCCCATCATTCTCAATTTGGCTTTCCTGCCTAACTTCCTGCCCAGTTATAGGCCTGTCAGCTTTTTATTAACCAATGAGAGTAATATATATTCACAGTGTACACAAGGATTATTCTACAGTAAGTCAGCTAGAGGCTATAGCAGATGCTCAGCTCCTTTGGCTAGGTAAGAATCTGGGTAACCAGACGGAGAGTGGTAGCAGGAGTACAGAATTCAGCCTCAAATGTGCTAAGGAAGCTTGGGTTCAGGGGTTAGAAAGCACAGTGTAGCCATTCACAAGAATTCCAGAAGGATCCTGATGTTCTCAAAGAGAAATATTCATACCATGGACATGAACCGACTGGTTTACAAACCAGCCAATTTTGTTCTGATCATATGGAATTACAGAAAACTAGAATGAACCAGGTAGTGGTGGTGCTTGGGAGGCAGAGGCAGGCAGATCTCTATGAGTTTGAGACCAGGCTGGTCTACAAAGCAAGTCCCAGGACAGCCAGGGCTGTTACACAAAGAAACACTATCTTGAAAATTTTTTAAAAATTAAAAAAAAAAAGAAAGAAAACTGGAATGAATCTTCATCCTTCACAAAATGAAAAAGAGTTTTGGGGTTGCTCCTATTTTACTTTAAAAAAAAAAGGGAAAAGAAAGGCACTATTAGGACTTCCTTTAGAACTTAAGAAGTGGGAATTCTTATGACAGGTAAGATAAAATCTGCGTAAGACTCATGAATAGCCGGGCGTTGGTGGCGCACGCCTTTAATCCCAGCACTCGGGAGGCAGAGGCAGGAGGATCTTTGTGAGTTCGAGGCCAGCCTGGTCTACAGAGCGAGTTCCAGGACAGCCTCCAAAGCCACAGAGAAACCCTGTCTCGAAAAACCAAAAAAAAAAAAAAAAAAAAAAAAAAGACTCATGAATAGAGGACAGAATTTTTGTTGTTCTTATCCAAGAAAAAGCAATAAGAGATCTTACCCTCCCTTGAGCATTTCCAGTGATTCATAAATTCAAGAGTATTTCAGAAATTCCTAACTCACTTTATGACCGAATTCACTCGAGAGCCTGAGAACACTTTTGCCCTATATAAGTACATTTCCAGAGAATAGCATCCCACCTGTTGCTGCACATGGCCCGTGTACTGCTCGATGAACTCAGTGAATCGCATGTAGTCTGTGCCAAGCCGGCAGAGTCGATTCAGGACACTAGTCTCACTGGGGTGAAGGAATGGGAAGTCCTGGGAAACCTGCAAGAGGGACAGTCATAAAGAAAGCTGACACCTGCTAGTCACAGCCCAGGCTCTTTTGTTCTTCCTCCCATTTCTCTCCTTAAGTTGTCAGGGTTTTACTTAGCTTTAACTTTCCTTGTGACTGGGTTGGCAACTCTGGTAACAATATAGTTTCACCACTACACAGTAGTGTTCCTTATCCAGATGTAACTACTTGCTCTTTTTGCTTGTTTGTTTTTCCAGACAGGGTTTCTCTGTATTGTTTTGGAGGCTGTCATGGCACTCACTCTGTAGACCAGGCTGGCCTCGAACTCACAGAGATCCGCCTGCCCCTGCCTCCCGAGTGCTGGGATTAAAGGTGTGTGCCACCGACACCGGGCTATTAAAATAGACAACCATAGTGAAGAATTCACATGGTAAGGGCTGGGAGACGGCTCAGCGTGTAAAGGTGCTTGCCACCTGGCAGCCTGAGTTCAGTTCTAGGACTCACATAGCAGGATATTCCTCCAAGCTGTCCTCTGACCTATGTACACACAGAGACAGACAAACGAGGAGGTGGGGGAAAAACAGAGACTCCCTTAACCTGTATTCTCAAAACTATGTCTTGCTTGAAAGCTTAGGCAAGTTATGTACTTCTTAAAGTCTTAGTTTTCATATATAAAAAGTGGAGATAACTGTGATAATTAGATCATATAAAGCACATGTGTTAACCCCACAGTAAGTGCTCAATACATATATGTGCCTCATATTACTAACAAGACGTTTCTACACAGTTATCAAGTGACATCTCTGAATACTTGTTGTTGGCCTAGGTTTAGGGCCACTGAGATGGTTCAAAGGGTCAAGTGTTTGCTACACAAACCTGAAGACCCGAGTTCAATCCCTGGAACCCTCATAAAGGTACAAGAGTCCAATTCCCAGCAACCACATGGTGGCTCACAACCATCTATGATGAGATCCGTGCCCTCTTCTGGCATGCAGGCAGAACAATGTATACACAGTAAACAAACCTTTAAAAAAGAAAATTGCTGAGCCGTGGTGGCGCATGCCTTTAATATCAGCACTCAGGAGACAGAGGCAGGTGGATCTCTGTGAGTTTGAGACCAGCCTGGTCCACAAGAGTTAGTTCCAGGACAGCCTCCAAAGCCAAAGAGAAACCAACTCGAAAAACAAAAACAAATAAATAAATAAGATAAAATAAAACAAGATAAAAAAGAAAATTCCAGTTTAAGCTTAATTACCCTGAAATAGTAAACTATACTTTGAAGTTTTCATATTTCCTGTATGTAACACAGGACCAAATTTGTAGTTAAGTCTTTCTTTTCTCCTCTGCCCTTCTCTGCCCTCTGTTCCCTTCCCTCTCTCTTTTTGAGAGAGAGAGAGAGAGAGAGGAGGGAGAGAGAGAAGAGAGAGAGAGAGGAGAGAAAAGAGAGAGAGAATATGAATGTCATATACTGCAGCATAGGTTGACCTTGAATCACAGCAATCATCCGGCCTCAGCTTCTCACAGCTGGGATTACATACTTTTCTGATTATCTTAACCCAGTACATAAGTTTCTGAAGAAAGGAGGGAAACGCCATACGCTTACAAATTCATTTTTTCATCTAACACAACTTTCTGAGTGTTTACAGTGTCTTGAGCTATATATATATATATATATATATATATATATATCCACTATTTTCAAAAGTCAGTTTGAAAATAATGCAATCGTAAATACACAGGGGTGCCATATTCCCTTTTTAATAATAAACTATTATCTAATTCCAGATACATATTTAGGGATTCACAGTTTAATAGTAACTTTATATGCAGTTTTTTAAAAAAAAGTATAGTTCTACCCACTCCCAGTGGTTCCCTAGCCTGGAGTCGGGGACTGCAGGGCCGGGTCCTCACCACCACCACCACCACCAAAGGCGGAGCTATGTGGGGTTGGCCCTCGGTTTATCACCGCTCTCGGGCTCAGTCAGTCGGCTCCCCCGGTGTCCCGCCCCTCCGCGGCAGCTCAGGTGCTCCGCTGCGCTGCAGCGTCCCAGCCTCTGACCGCCTCCGTACCTGCAGGCCACTCCGCTTGTTCCAGGTGAAAATGGACCCTGGGTACCCACTCAGAGCCAAGAGCAGTTCGTGAATCATTTCTGGGGCTGCCTCGGAGTTCCCAGACCTACCACCTTCTCTTTCAGCGCCTCTGCGGGCGCCAACTCACACCCAACAGGGTCGCTCGCCCAGAAACCCCGCAGCTGAGCGCGCGCGGAGCCGTCACCGGGCTGCGTGCCGCGTCCCGGAAGTGCGCGCGGCTCACAGGCGCCCACTCGATCGCTCCCGCCGCGGAGCGCAGGGGAGGCCACAGAGGTGCCATCGCGCATGCGTCTTCTGTGCCCGGAGTGGCCCGCTCTGACTTCCGGCTTGAGAGCCGGACTGGGGCTGCCGGCGGGCAAGACTGGTCTTAGCCGGACTGGAGTGGTTGAGGCCGGGATGCGAGTGAGTTGACAGGCAGGCTGAGAGAGACGCGGCCAGGGATGGACCGGTGAAGTCCTCGGGACGCGTTAGCAGGGTGTGTGGCATTTTTACCGACTGCACGACATCTCCCAGAGCGACCCGGCCGGAGGGGACAAAGAGGCCGGAACTTTACTTGGCAGCCGCCGCTGTGGAGCAGCGCTAGGAGCCCATTTTGAGCTCGCAGCACTGGCCAGCACTGGCTTCGTTCTCAGGAGACCCGCTGCTGCCTCCTCTCGGGCTCCCTTGCTTCACCAAGTCCTGTGACTCTTCCCCAAGCCCACTTGCGTTTAGACGCCCAAGTCAGCTTCCCCGGTGCATGAATTCCCGTCTCTCCCGAACTCTTGCTGAGTTCTTGCTTCGTCTGGGAGGAGTAAACAGGAGACCCAAAATTCAGCACTTGACCTTGGTTGGGGCTGGAAAATCTTAATTTGGCGTTCAAGGGGGCGGGGCAGACAGCAGAGGCTCTGGGGAAGATTAGCGGCCACCGCTGGACAGGCTTTTGTGTCTTCAGCCAAATGTTGACTTACCTTTAGAATCCATTAGATGTCCCATACCGTTCGAATCCACTCTACAACTTTGATCTGGGACGCTAAAGATCAGATTTATTTAGGTGAGGTGAGCGTGAGGCAGATGGGATTGTCTCCTATTCTCCGCGACTTCCTGGGAATGCTCTAGTCGCCCACAGAAATGGAGCTTTTGAAAGGTCACTTTCTCCTTGCTCATTGATTTGCTGTCCTGAAATGGCACTACCTCAGAAGACCACTTGGAACATATGGGAAGTTCAGGCCGGCTCTGGCAAGACTTTAAACATGTGAAGATATTCCCGTTTCTCTTTAGGAAGAAACTCCTTTTTTACAGAGAGACTCATCTGCAGATAGATGTCTTTGCAAGGGTATGGGGAGATAGCGAACTAAGTCTGGAATCCAGACACTAAGAAGAGAGAGACTGCTTTCTGCTGTGAAGGATGGCCAAACCCACTCTGAGAGGAAACGGCACTAACTCTGAATGCTTACGACAGCGCTTCAGGGGATTCCTTTACCAAGAGGTGGCCGGACCACGGGAGGCTTTCAGCCAACTATGGGAACTGTGCTGTGGATGGCTAAGGCCAGAGGCGCGCTCCAAGGCGCAGATTGTGGAATTGTTGGTGCTAGAGCAGTTCCTGACTGTGCTGCCTGGGGAGATCCAGAACTGGGTACAAAAGCAATGTCCAGAGAATGGAGAGGAGGCAGTGACACTGGTGGAAGACTTAGAAAGAGAGCCTGGCCGACCTGGACATTCGGTGAGAAGGAGGGAAATTCAGAGGCCTGTGGCCGGGGAGGGGCGGCTTAAGATCAGCCAGGCGTAAAGAGGTTTGGTGATTGTTGTGCTTTCCTGACTGGAAGGGACTTTTTCAGGAGGGTTTGTCTGGAGATGCCATTTGAGTGTGCCTCTGCCTACTCTATTATTTCAGTACATATCTCACTTCAACTTTCTTTCTTTTATTGTTTTTTTTTTTGGGGGGGGGGAACAGGGTTTCTCTGTGGAACAGCCCTGGCTGTCCTAGAACTCACTTTGTAGACCAGGCTGGCTTTGAACTCACACAGATCTGCCTGCCTCTGCCTCTCAAGTGCTGGGATTCAGTTTCTTATTAGAAAAGAAATGGTAAGTTGTTTCTCTCTCTCCCCGCCTCCCCCGCTGGTATTTGGGTTTCTATTTGATCTTCCTGTAGTTCCAGTCACTGTAAGGTAATGATAATGGAATAAACACTTGTTTGTCCTGTCTCCCCACCCCTACCACTTCGTCCTTGCCTCAAAAGGATGGTCTCTTTGGAGATACTAAATCTCCCCCTGGTTATGCCCCTTGTTATGACCTTGAAAATTAATGGGGGGTTATTTCTAGGTCACAGTCTCTGTGAAGGGGCAGGAAATGCACTCGGAGAAGATGACACCCCTGAAATCATCACAGCAGTTATTAAGTGTTCTTCAAGAGTCAGTGGAACCCCAGCCCAGGGGTGTATCCAAGAAAGAGGGGGCAAGAAGCCCAGCCCTGGGACTACAGGAGCAGATGAACCCAAAGGAGAATCTCAGACCTTTTCAAAGGAGCGGTGAGGAGCAGACTCATGTGGGGAGATAGAGCCATTCTAAGTTGGGAAGTAGGGTTGGGAGTAGTGAGTGGGAAAGGGATTTCAGAAATAGTGGAAACTGTTGAATATGTGGTTGTTGTGACCTTCTGAAGACAGGTAGTTCAACCCTTTAGTACAGTACGTATTCTTATAGTTCTTCTTTTGACAATTCTGCCAGAGAACAGCTGCTCAGTTCTTGTTATAATTAGAATACTCTTATTTCTTGGTGGCAGATGCTTATTTTCTAGATATAAATTCTTTTCTATACTCAAGATATCTTTTAGTTGTTTTTCTTTTCTATTATCTATTTTGGGGGGGTTCAAGATAGGGTTTCTCTGTGGCTTTGGAGGCTGTCCTGGAACTCACTCTTGTAGACTAGGCTGGTCTCGAACTCACAGAGATCCATCTGCCTCTGCCTTCCGAGTGCTGGCATTAAAGGCGCCCGACCTAAATTATTGTTATTCTCTCCATTGGAATTTGGAAGTTCTCTAAATATGTTATTTGTGGAGGATGAAATTATATCTGTATTGTTTCTGTGAGCTCTGTTATATAAAAAACAGTAAGAATTTTACTTTAGAATTTTGTAACATCTTGCAGAGTAAAGCCCAGCATATGATTATATAATGGTTCATGTGCTAACCCCTGGAGTCCAGTGCCTTTGGGCCCAGTCACTTCTACTTGATTTTTTAGAACTTGTTTTTCTTCTTTGGTTTGTATAGAACTACATTTTGTATTTATTGTTAAAACTTGTTGAGGTTGTTTTGAATTCTGATCTTATCATCCAAGATGACCAGTAATAACATTCTCAGTTAGTTTGGTAATTAGTCATCCATCAGAAATACCTCAACCTCAACCTACGAACCTGCAGATTAACCAGGTTTTAAACACCTATCACGTGCTGCAGGTATGTCCACTGCAGTGAGAAAAGGTACTGCTGGCCAGTGAGCTGGCTCAGCTGATAATTGTCCTTGCTGCACAAGCCTGGTGACCTGAGTAGACGAAAGCGCACGAAGTTGTCCTCAACCTCCAGTGACTATAGCTCAGGCACTCCCGTGTGTATCCTGCACACACGGTGAATTAATGAGTATTACTGAACTCAGCTGTCTGAAAACAGTGTTAAGGGCTTGTTCAGTTGTTCTATAAGGGTTTGGCAGTGTAGCCATGGGATGTGGCTGTAGGGAACACCTGATGGTGTTAGCTAGGGGCTTCCAAAAGGATGGGTGAGTGTGGACAGGAGGAAGGGAGGCACTGAGGTGAATAAAATGTACCGTGTTCTGAAGAGAGGAGGTGTGGATGGAACTTACTAGACACCACAGTTAAGGTTCAGCAGCATAGACGTGAGCTGAGAGCTAGGAAGACAGTGACTACTGTGGTACCAGCTATGGGAGGACTAAGGGTCTGCACTTGGATGGAAAGGAAGATGTGCTGAAGGAAACACTTAGAATTTGGTGACTGAGTGAAGCAGAGTCAAGCTGAAGACAGATCCCGGCCCCCCACCCCGACACACAATCTCTTGAAATCACTGAATTTAATTCTCAGGACTCAAGTGAAAAAAACAGAGACAGGAGTGACTAACGGAGAAGTGCTGCCACCTGCACACAAGCAGTGTGGACGCTAGGAGCCCCTGGAACTGAGATACTTGCTCTAAACATACAATGCAATATTTTCTTCCCGGGCTGGAGGGATAGCTCAGCCATTAAAGGCTGAACTCAGAATTGAAATCAGATTCTTTCTCATCCTTTGAGGTTTCTGAAAACATTTCCTTTATAATCTTTAGATAGAGGCTGTGAATGTAGCTCAGTTGGTAGAGTACAGTGTGCACAAGGCCTCATTTGATCCCAGCACTCCATAAAACTCAGCATGGTGTTGCACACTTGTAATCCCAGCATTAGGTAGTAGTAGGAAGATCAGAAGTTCAAGGTCATCCTCCACTACATAGTCTCATTCAGGCTAGCCTGGGCAATATGAGACCCCATTTCAAACAAAAGATAAAATCTTTTGGGTGAAAGAGGCAGGGCTGGGGGCTAGAGAAATAGTTCAGAGGTTAAGAGCACTGACTGCTCTCCCAGAGGACATGAGTTCAATTCCCAGGAACCACATGGTGACTTAACAAACATCTGTAATGAGATCTGGTGCCCTCTTCTGGCCTGCAGGGATACATCACTGTATACATAATAAATAAGTAAATATGTAATTGATAAATAAATAGGCAGGGCTGATTTAAAAGTTCTTTTTGTTGTTTTTATGATCATTCTAAACTGTGATACTTTGGTTTCTTCCCTACAAACAGGATTTCCATTTCCTAAATCTGATGTAGTCTCCAGGTTGGATCAAGGAGGGCCATGGATCCCAGATCTGCTCAGCTCCAAGGAAAAAGATGTCCCAAAAAGCAACAGCACAGGAGACAAACAAGTTTATCCTGATCCATTACTATCTAGGAGAGATAAAAGTAACTGGGTAGAACAGGATCACTGGGGCTTTGATGATGAGAAGGTGGTGGGAGTTCACTGGGGCTATGAAGAGACTAGAACACTCCTTGCAATTCTCAGTCAGACTGAATTTTATGAAGCTCTCCAAAACTGCCATAGGAACAGCCAAGTGTATGAGGCTGTAGCTGAGAAGCTGCGTGAGTATGGCTTCCTCAGGACCCTGGAACAGTGCCGGACCAAGTTCAAAGGCCTTCAGAAAAGCTACAGGAAAGTCAAGAGTGGTCATACACCTGAAACATGTCCCTTCTTTGAGGAGATGGAAGCCCTGATGAGTGCCCAGGTCATTGCATTGCCTATTAGTAGCATGGAAGAGGCCACTTTCCAATCTGGCCAGACAGACACTGAGACTGAGGAGCCAGGACAGAGGGTCTGGCAGCATGAGGATGGAGAAGAGACGGTGGCTGAAGGGTCTGACAGTAATGACCTGAAGGCAGTCCCCCAGGACACTGACAACCCACCTGCATCTGTCCTCTTCCGAAGCCCAAGTGGTAAGAAGCTTTTCTTGGGCTTTTGGGATTAGGTATGAGAAGCAGTGAAGCTGGGCGTGGAGTCAGCCAGTCGCTTGCTAGCTTGGCCACTTTATTAGGGAACAGAGGTGCTTCTTAACTCTGTATATTTTATTCCTTTCTGGGAGCAAATGGGATAATACTAAAGGATAGAGTTTTTTGTTTTTCTTTCTTTTTAATGCCTGGGGCCTTACACACATGCTAGGCAAACACTATACCATTAAGTTATGTCTCAAACTTCAGACTTAAGATTTTTCAAAGAAATACACTCAAATAATCCAAATATCTTCAAAGGGGATGATTATTTTAAAAATACTTTTCCTGTTTATAAAGCAGGTTCACTGAAAAAAACGACACTTTGTTGTTTTATTCCTTTTTAAACAATGAATTTTTAAAAATGTGGATAAATCATGGCTGAAGCAAAATGCTTTTCATTATCTTTGTTCTTCTCATCTTTTCCTGCCTCTCCACTTTTCCTCCCATCTTTTTGTTCTTTCCTGTTCTCCTTTACTCCCAGTACGTGGGAGAGGACCGTGTGAAACTTTCCTCTTTCCTTGGATACTTCAGACAGTAGCCTGGTCTACCGCCCTCTGGTCTTTCCTAGAAGCAGGGAAGTGAGACCTGCAGTGCAGCATGTCTTCTTTGCTCCTTTCCTGGTTCTGGCCTCCGCAGTCCTCCACCCAAAGATAAAGCACATGACTATAAGACCTGCAGGTCTTTGCTCTTGCTGGGGTTGCTTAATGGAGATAGTAACAGATGAAGATAGGCCCAGAGAGGAGTTTGCTAACAGTATGATTCTGAAAGAGGCAGCTCCTTGGAGTTTTAAGTCATTCTTTTTTTTTAATTATCTAAATTTTTACAAATGTTATGTAAAAAACTTGTAAATTCAAAACAAAACAAAAACCCACCAAAATTAACCAGATGAGTTTGAATATTGATTCTGAAGCCATGAAGCTTCACGTTGGATTTTACACTTTGACTATCAAATCTTAAATCATTCTAGAGGAAGGAAGAAAATAGGTATAGAGAAAATTTATCAGAGAAGTTAGGGATGGTGAATTGTGGCTGACAGCATTGTGGGTCTTTTTTTTCCTGACCAGTGATTTTTCTAGTTGAATCAGAATTCCAGAAAAATTAGTAGATGGAAGAGAAATGCACTCTATACACATACTTAGTCTGTCTATACTTAGTTGTTCTTGTTACTGTGACAAAATACCAGACAATGGCAACTTAAGGAAGGAAGGGATTGTTTTGACTCCCAGTTGGAGTATGTCCATCATTCTGGGGAAGATGTGGTGGTAAGAGCTGCTCTCAGTGTGCCAGTGGGAGCAGAAGTAGCTGGTTAGGCTGCGTCTGTAGTCAGGGAGCAGAAAGAGGGATGCATGCTGGTGTTGTTCGCTTTCTCCTTTCTATCTTTTCATTCAGTGTGGGACCCCAGCCCATGGGATGCTGTCACCCACATTCAGGGTAGGTCTTTCCTTAGCTAAACCTTTCTGGAAACACCCTCACGGACATGTCCAGTTGATAATGAAGATTAACCATCACAGTGCATAATGACTGTCCCAGTAGTCATGTGGAAAGGCTGAACCTTACTAATAAAGTTCTCTGTGAAATTGCTAAAGGATACAGAAACAAAACAACCTATAATGCATGTGAAAGTTTGGGAAACATGAACATTTTAAATCTAGGAACCTGAGCTTAGGTGGCCTCCCTCCCTCTCTCCCTTTTTTCTTTGCCTATAAACTGAACCCCAGGCCTCATGCATGCTTAAGGTATACTCTGAGCTAATGTCTCCAGTTTATGTGGGTTTCTTTGAAACATGCAGTAAGACTTAAGAGTTGAGACTCTAAAGCTCTGGGTTAAGTGATGCTGACATTTCTCTTCTGGTGCAGGTGTTCACTGGGGCTATGAAGAAACCAAGACTTACCTTGCAATCCTTAGTGAGACTCAGTTCTATGAAGCCCTTCAGAACTGTCACCGCAATAGCCAGTTATATGGAGCAGTTGCTGAGAGATTATGGGAATATGGCTTCCTTAGGACCCCAGAGCAATGTCGGACCAAATTTAAAAGCCTACAAACCAGCTATCGGAAAGTCAAGAATGGTCAATCACCAGAAACCTGCCCCTTCTTTGAAGAAATGGATGCTCTGGTCAGTGCCCGAGCTGCTGTCCCACCTAGTGATGACCAGGAAAAAGAAACAGCTTCTTGCTACCTCCAGGAAACCAGTGAAGCTGAAGCTGAGAAGCAAGCCGAGGACACAGAAGAAGATTCAGATGATGAAGATGATACTGAGATACCCCCTGGGGCTGTTGCAACCCGTGCCCCAGTCTTATTCCAGAGCCCCAGTGGTAAGGTTCTTTATTTTTACTTTTTGAGAGAGGGTCTATGTAGCTAAGATTGACCTTGAACTCACAGCATGGCCAAGGATGGCCTTAAACTCCTGGTCATCCTGAGTCTACTTCCTAAGTGGTTGTATTGCAGGTGTGTGCCTCCATGCCCAGCTAAGATTCTTTCAGTTCTTTGGTGTAAATAGCAAAAGGGAGGCTATACAATTTAGGAGAAAAACCATGCGATTAAGAGTTGACCTCTATACCTCTTTCCTGAGTTCTTATCTTTCTTCCCCGTGTTTCCTATCTATTAAAACAGCTCAGTTAAAAGCTGCAAATTATTTTTTTAATATTTTATTTATTTATTATACAGTCTTCTGCATGCCAGCAGAGGACACCAGATCTCATTCAAGGTGGTTGTGAGCCACATGTGGTTGCTGGGAATTGAACTCAGGTCCTTAACCGCTGAGCCATCTCTCCAGCTCCAAAAGCTGCAAATTATTAATGTGGCTTCCTTCAGCACACTGTAGCATCACTTGGTTGCAAACATTGTAGATTTGCTACCACTTTCATGTGCTGCTAGGTTTCTAGTCAGTTTTCACAGCAGCTAATCTAAATGGAAGCATTTTCCAAGTAGTATGTCACATATTCTATAGAAGGAAATTTATTTTTATAGTTCATGCTTACGTTTTTCTTCTAGTTTTAGCTTGTTTGTCAACTATAGGGCTATGTAGAAACTTGATAACACACACACACACGTATAAATTTATTTAACTTTATTTTATTTGCATTGGTATGAAGGTGTCAGATCCCCTGGAACCAGAATTATAGACAGTTGTAAGCTGCCATGTGGGTGCTGGGAATTAAACAGTGCTCTTAACCTCTGAGCCATCTTTCCAGCCCCAGATATATTTTTTATAAGATATTTTTATCTTATGTGTGTGTATGGACCCGAGTGGATGTATATGCAGCGTGTGTTTAGTGTCCTTCAGGGCCAGAGGAGTGTGTTGTATTTACTAGAACTGGAGATACAGGCAATTGTGATCCCAGTAATGTAGATGCTGGGAACCAAATCCAGGTTCTCTGTAAGAGCACCACTGAGATGTGTCTGTCTCCAGCCCCTTCAGATAAACTTTTATCTGCAGGTTTCTGTGGAACTGACTGAATCTCTGCTGCATAAGGAAAAAAATTCCAATATGGTTTCCCTCCTTGTAAGAAGAATTGTTACTTTGGAGTCATACATGTTTAGTTATGTGTATGCCAATCTTCAATATTAGTCAAGTGATTTAGTGCAAGTTATTTAACCCCTAAATTTGCATATGCATTAAGGCCTTAGGCTGGGGTTGTAGTTTAGTGGTAGAGTGCTTGCTGGAACATACTCCAGGCTCTGGGTTAATCATTTACATTGAAAATGAAAGGAAAACTACATTACATGGTTGATGTAATATGAAGCACTCAACACAGTGCAAGGCACATAGTAGGTATTCAATAAGTCAATTTAGCAAATCTCTTATGGACCACCTTACAAGTGTAAGTTTTAAGGGAATATATACTGACTCACTCAGTATTCCGGGGAATTCAGGATCCAGAGTTAACCTGAAACACTCAAATAAGTGCAATTTCTCATAGCCTAGGTTGAAAGGCTGGCATTTTGCTTTTTAGGATGTTAAAAAGTTGTCTCATTGGACTAAATTACAGTGTTTTTGCAACATTAAGGTTTTGGAGAGAGAATTTCAAGTGAAACTTTCCTTTTTTGAGGACCTTTGTTCTTTATATATTTTCTCTTCCTCTTCTTCCTGTCAAGTGCTAGGATTAAAAGTGTATACTATAATACCCAATTTAAAAATATTTTTAAATACTTTAAAAGAATTATGTCTGTGCATGTGTGGGCTATGCACATGTGAGTACAGTACCCAAGGAGGCCAGAGGAATCAGATTTCCTGGAGCTAGAGTTACAACAGGTGGTTGTGAGCCCACCTGATGTTGGTGCTGGGAACTGAACTCAGGTCCTCTGTATAAAGCAGTGTATGCCCTTGACTTCAGAACCATCTCTCTAGCTCTCCCATGTTTTCTACTTTTGTTTCTTTATTTAGGGTCACATATACCATGGCACACGTTTGGAGGTCAGAGGGACAACTCATGGAGTTGGTTCGCCCATTCCCTTGTGTGGGTTCCAGGAACTGAACTCAGGTCATCAGGCTGATCAGCTAGTACCTCTACCTGCTAAACCATTTTGCCCCCACCCCATACTTTTTTTTTAAATAGAATGAACTTACAAATTCAAAATGTGGAATTCACTAACGATTTATTTGTAATCATCTAATGTAATACTTGTTCCTCCCAGGTTTGCTTTGTTGTGGTCATATAATTAAGGAAATGAATGACTCTTCAAATTGTGTTCTTGTATTAGGTTTTGAGGCTGGATTTGGTAATGCAGAGAATCTAAAACGAGATATTTCTGAGGAAGTACAGCTGCATAGGACATTAATTGCAAGATCTGAAAGGAAAATTTCCCGTCATGTTAATCAAGGTAAAGCTAGTAAGAATGAATGTTTATCAGCAAACCAGTGGGAAAAGACTCAAAGAGAAAAAAAAAGAAAACTGGCACTCCCAGAGAAGAGTATAGGTACAGTCCTGACTTATCAGAGACCAGGCTTGGGAGACAGACCCTATAAATATCTCAGATATGGCAAAAGCTTTGGCCCAAACTCCCATCTCCTGTATCAAGTGTCTCATCAGGTAGAGAATCCATATAAATGTGCTGACTGTGGGAAAAGCTTCAGTCGGAGTGCACGCCTCATCAGACACCGAAGAATCCACACTGGAGAAAAACCTTATAAGTGTCTTGACTGTGGGAAAGGTTTCCGTGACAGTTCCAATTTCATTACCCATCGGAGAATCCACACAGGAGAAAAGCCTTATCAGTGTGGTGAATGTGGGAAACGCTTCAATCAGAGCTCAAGCCTTATAATTCACCAGAGAACCCACACAGGAGAAAAGCCTTACCAGTGTGAAGAGTGTGGGAAAAGTTTCAATAACAGTTCCCATTTCAATGCACATAGGAGGACACACACAGGAGAGAGACCCCATGTGTGTCCTGACTGTGGTAAGTGTTTTAGTAAGAGCTCTGACTTACGTGCACATCACAGAACCCACACAGGAGAGAAACCTTATGAGTGCCACGATTGTGGCAAGTGCTTCAGTAAGAGCTCTGCCCTTAATAAACACGGAGAGATCCATACACGGGAAAAGCTGCTGTCCCAGTAAGTGAGCTCCTGAGGCAAGGCCTCTCCTGTCTGTGCTCAACTGGCTCAGGAGGCACTTCTCAGGGTTTCTGCCATTGTCTGTTCCTACGCTTCCCAAATGTAGCCGAGTCAGATGTCAGGGTTTAAAGATGAACTGATGGTAATGACGTCTTCCCTCGAGGTGCCTGTGCTGTTCCCTTTGAGAGATATGATAGTATATCCTGTGTGTGTCTTCTATCACTCCTGTCATTCAGTGCACTTCAGCTGGAAAATGCATCTCAGCACTTTGTCAAAGTTGTGAGAATGCTCATTAATTGGGGCCATCCTGCTCACTTACACTTGTGAGAATACTCTTCATTTATCTTTAAGGAGAGTTTAAAGTCCTTCTTGGTTCTATCTTTTTCCAAGAATCTGGGGCTAGGGATGTAGTTTAGTGGTAGAGCACTTGCCTAGTATGCACAAGGTCCTGGGTTCAATCCTGAGTAACACACAGAGACAGAGAGACAGAGGTTGAATCAGGGAAACACTGTAAGCCTTTTATAAACACTGAATTTCTTAGTTTCTTCTAGATTCTACATGGGTTGTAATAGAATATACTGTATTTATAGCATCTTGTTTGATTTTCTCTTTTCCTCCTCTTCATCTAAATTTCATCTGTCCCTTATGGACTAAAAGCCAAAAGAGCACACTAGATGGATGTGGTGACAGAAAGAGCACTTAAAGCTACCAATTGTCTATTTTTCCTACACTCCACATACATATTCCACATCAGCCTATAGGTGCTCAATACTAATTGCAAGGAGCAGAACCACTGCCACATTCCCATATATAGGTCAAATATACTTTACCCTAAATGACAGGGAAGATGGTGGAGCTATCAATCTGCACACACACACACACACACACATACTCACTCAACTATACAAATAAAAGTATCTATTTAAATACAAAAGTAATTATGGCTTTCTTTTTTGCTTGTTTGTTTTGGTTTTTCAAGACAGGGTTTTTCTGTGAAACAGTTCTAGCTGTCCTGGAACTCACTCTATAGACCAGGCTAACCTTGAACTCAGAGATCCACCTGCCTTTGCCTCCGGAGTGATGGGATTAGAGGTTTGTGCCCCAACCCATGGCTGATGGATTTTCAAAATTAGGTGGTTTGAATTAATTTCCACATATTCATAGACTTATGATAAACCCTATATAAGCAGAACAGTCCCTACCCTTGTCCTTATACTGGAAAACAGATAGTACATGGACAGATAAGTACAAATATATAGTTTCATCATTTATTTTTTAAAGACGGGGTCTCACTGGCTGACCTGGAACTCACTATGGAGATTACACTAGCCCTGAACTCACAGAGATTTGGCTGCCTCAGTCTTCAAAGTGTTAGGTTTGTATTACTCACCATGATAGGTTTTAACATAGCTTGCTCTGAGAAAAACCTGGAAAGCACTTTTTCAGAAAACAGTAGCATTGAAATGAAGAAAAGCAGATAAATTATAGTGAGATAGACTTTGTAAAACGAGTTGTAAAATTGGTGCTAGGTGGGTAAGATGTGGGAAGACATCGAAGCAAAGGACTAAAGCTTGAAGCAGGAAAAACCTAATAAGTGTATGATACAGCTGTACAGTAGGCAGAGAATCAGCAGAGACAGGGAGTGCTAGAGTGAGACCCTGTACTGTGCTTACTGAAGACAGGACAGCAGCTTGGCTCAGAGGAAAATGAGTTTTAGACTAGCTCCTTTGAGAGACAAACATCAGAAATTAGCATCTATTGAAGATACTTTTGACGAGCAGGTCAGAGAAAAGATGGCCGAGATCTGGAATAACTAACTTTCATGTTTTACTTTTATTAGATACCCATAACTAGATTAACATCTGAGGTAGTAGTAAGGAGATAAGACTTAAAAGATGTATTAGGATGAATAATTAACTAAGGTCCTGGTATTAAGGAATCCTAAAAGAACTAAAAATTAAGGGAATATGGTATCTTAATTATGCTGCCTAAGCAAGCAGGAAGATATAAGAAACCCCTGTCTAAAGCAGGTCCTCAGGGTCTGAGATGGCTTTGGAAGTGAACTCAATGTCAAGGAAAATGGGGATTATTGTCTTTAGCATTAATCTGTGTATAGTACTGTGGGAAAGGCATAAGGGTATTAGTAAACATGGATCCAAATGTCTTGTGTGTATGTTAAACTGCTGTTTCTCTTCCTGTGAAACAGAGTAATGTTTACACCAAGTCTGCCTCTCAGGGATTATGCTAATAAAAGTTATGTCCACAATGCTCTCTGTGTTTCTTCAGGCATTTCAGTGTGAATTTTATATGACCAAATTATATAAATAAAGTATTAGCTTGGTCATAAATTGTTATGACCAAATCGTAGATGGTAAAAATAAATTCTCTGATTCCCCCCACCACCACCACCACCCTTCTTGTTATGTTACCTGCCTGAAATTTTACATTGTAGGCAAAGGAACAAATTACAATCACATCAAAATGACTGGGCAAGGAATATGAGTCAGGTTTTAAATTACACAGGACCCTTCAACTTCCAAATGAGGAGACATGATAAAAGGAACAGGGTGAACTCTCATTACTAGAGGAAGACCCAGTCCATTGCAAACTACTTCACAAATACTGCCCAGTCTGCCATTGCTGAGGGTAGACAGAAGCAAAAGTAAGCCTAAGAGAAAACACTAAGGAAAGCAAGAGGTGTAGGCCTCTAACCCTTTAATTAGACTACAGCCTTTAGTAGACATGACAGTGACTGACCTGCTTTCATGTTTTCTTAGCACTGTTAACTACTTTCCCATATTTTCTCATTTAATATATTATACACACTTAATTTTATGTTCATTTTTAGCCTATAACATTTTTAAAGGGTATAAAATACCTACTTTGAGGGTGAAGATGTAGCTTGGTGGGAAAGTGCTTGCCTAGCATGTGCAAGACTCTGTATTCAATTCCCCAGCAGTCTGTGCTGCCCAAGGCCATGTTGATATCCCAAGCCAATACTGCTGCTGAGGGCCATAATGGTGTCCATGGTGTATGTTACCAGAGGAGTCCTTGTAGATGTCCATGATCTGTGCTGCCACTGACAAGGTGAAAATTTTCTACACCCCAGTAAGCCTCTCCACTGACATAGCAATCCAAATCAAACTGAATTAGAAAAAGCCCACATTTAATATATATAATACTCCCAGATAGCCTTCTAATCCCCCAGAGAGGATTCGGGAAAAGAAGACTGGAAAAACCACAAGTCTATTTTCTGGGAGGCAGTTTACCCTGTGAGAGTGGTCTTGAACATTTCTTGAGGGTTCATCATTTGGCTGTCTTTCTGAGATGGCAGCAGGGTTTGGAGAGAGAAAACAGGGGGCTTGGGTGGAACTTCCACCATAACATCCCAGACACTTTGAGTATGGATGCTAGGCTGGGGTGAAGCTTCCATTGTAACACAACGAAGCTTCTTTTTGTAGTGGAATTGATGACGCAGACTCAGTTGAGAATGAGAGACAGGTTTCTGTGACCTTTCCCCCACCCCCACCCCAGTCTAGACAGGAAGCCACTGAAGAGAACTCTTAAAAAAACTGTGATAGGGATTCTGAGGTATGGTTTCCACAGTTGATGGCTTCTAGCAGAGGTGGGATAAGGAAGGACTTAGTTTTCTTTACGAGGCTGGCTACTGGAAGTTTGATCATGTTCCAGTGAGTAGTATATGGGCAACATAAATCAGACTTGGTATTTTTTTTTCCTTTTCTTTGGGGGAGGTCAAAAGGGAGCTGGACCTAGGAAGACAGGTGAATGTGATTAAAGTACGTTATGTGAAACTACCAAATAATCAATAAAAATATGTTGGGGGAAAAAGATTACATTTCATGGATTTAAAAAAAATCTGGGCTGGGTGTTGGTGGCGCATGCCTTTAATCCCAGCACTTGGGAGGCAGAGGCAGTCGATCTCTGAGTTTGATACCAGCCTGGTCTACCGAGCGAGTTCCAGACAGCCTCCAAAACAATACAGAGAAAACCCTGTCTCAAAAAACAAAACAAAACAAAAAAATCTGTGTAACTGGATATAGTTAGAAATGTGAGGTTATAAAACACATATCTAAGAACTTCAAAAGTTTAAGTACTTCCCTCTGCTGTGTACCCTAAAACACACACAGAAATCTCAACCTTAGTAATTAAGGGTATTATCAGGCTTCTCTGAGATCAGGAAAACTGTTCAAAGAAGGAGATCAATTCAAGCATACTTTACTGTTTTAGGAGTTTTAATGCTGTGATAAAACACCATAACCAAAAGCAATATGAGGAAGAAAGAATTTTATTGTCTCTTTTATTTTGTGGTCCATCATCCTAGAAAGTTGAGGCAGGAACTGGAGCTGAAGCAGTGGAGGAGAGCTTACTCCTTGTGGCTTGCTCAACTTCCTTTCTTATTCCACTCAGAACCACCTGCCTGAGGTGGCATCACCCTCTGGGGGATGTGCCAACCAACTGATTAGGCCAGTCTGGTGTGAGCATTTTCTCAGTTGAGGGTCTTTCTTCCCAAATGACTCTAGTTTGTGTCAAGTTGAAAAAAACTAACCAGGGCATTTGTTATCTGTTAAAGTCTTTTTCTTACCATGCAGAGTCAATCTTAGTTGTCCCTTGTCTTTGGTGAAAGTGGCCATGGTATCCATTTATGTAAGCCTGTGCCTGTGGGCTATCACGTGGGCATGAGCTTATAAGAGATCTAAGAATCCTAGAAGCCACAATGCTACCATTGCTAGAAAGACCTTTTAACTGAATCCTGGTACTGTGGAAGTTCTGGCAGCTTCCACAAAGAAAGCTAAACAGAAGCTAATTTTAAAATGGAAGCTCCAGCTTTGTCTTTTTTCAGTTCGAGGCAGCAACTCTTTCCTTTTTGTTAAACTGAAGTAATTACTTTAATTCCCTTTATATATTTCTAAAGATATTACAAGAAGGGCAAAGCCAGATTCTAGCTTTGTCATCCGAGTCAGCTGACAACTAGGCACCCACACAAATGGTTTTGGTGTGCAATGTGGCCTGGCATCAACAGTCTTGAGAAATAATACTTGAAAGAGTTAAAGGAAATGGAGTGATTCTGATTAAAGCTAACAAAACATAGAGGTCTTCCTGAAGACAAACAGCTTCAACTTCTCAGAAGTTTTATGACCACTAGGGAGGAAGGTGTGCTAATTTAAAAAGAAAGTCAATAGTAGGGTGAGGGATTTAGTTACTGACCCTCCAGCCTCCAGCAGACAGCATGTCGGTGAAGCATGCAAGGCCCCAGGGCTCTTAGTCTAGATACTACTGCACACTTACCATATGTAAGGTGCTGGTGTCAAGACCCCACAAGTACTTGGTACTGAGCCTCAAGGGAAGTAGTGGACACTTCACTGAGTGGGAAATAGCAGAAGATCTTGGCTACAACATACAATCCAAAGTAGTCCACCTCATCACAGCTTAAAAGTGTAACACTTTGGGCTTCAGGCGATCCCACCTCTTTCTCAGTTCAGATCTGGTACTGTCAGAAGCGAAGATGTAACTGATGGATTCATAGGACAGATCCCACACCTGAGATGGGGTCAAATTAAATGTTTCCGCTGCCAGCTGATATTCTTGAGAAAGGTGTGTCGCAAAAACACCCTTATCATCGGTCTGCCAATGTAAACAAGAACAGTTCAAATGAAACAAAGAAGTGCTTTGCAAAAATCAACTTTTTTGTTTTGTTTTTTAAGACAGCCTGGAACTCACTATGTAGACCAGGCTGGCCTTGAACTCACAGAGATCCACCTAGCTGTGCCTTGAGAGCACTGGGGTTAAGGGCATGCACCACCACCACCACCACCAACCACCACCACCACCACCACCACCACCACCACCACCACCAGGCTTTTTTGTTCAGAATCTATTTTCCCATGATTTTTTTAAATAATGAAAAGGAACATATAAATGCGCATCTATAACAAACTTGTTTATACTTAAAAACAAAAAGCCCAGAGTACTTAACCCCAGCCGCACATTACAAGCACATAAAGAGCTTTAAAGCACATCCATGCCCAGAACGCATCCCTGATCAAATAAAGCAGGGTCCTACTGGATGGGTACTGGGCACTAGCATTGTTTTTTTTTTTTAAAGCCTTCTCAGATACTGGCTTACTACTTCTCAAAACCAAAGCAGTTATCACCTGAGCCCTTTGTAGTTTCCCCATCCCCCTCGAGCTCTCCTACTGGAGCATTTCCTTCAGGAACTCAAGGCAGTAGGCAAGATAATAAGCATGATTTAATTCAATGTAGCATCTAAAAAAGGAATAGAATACTTCTTACACAGATCACAGAAGGATGAGCAATGCTGTACCAGAATCCAAAGTGATGCTGCTCATAAGAGGGAACTGTCTGGCTTTTGATGTTTGAAGTCAAACAAAGTTCTAGATGAAAGGGGAAAAATCCTTCTATTAAAAGCAAGCACCACGCAGACTAACTAGAAAACTTTCCAAACTCAGGAGATTTAAGCAGTTTCATTGCTCCACAAAATCTACTGCTCACTATCTGTAATGTGAAAGAGTTCCCATCTTGGGTGTAGCTTAGCAGAGAGCCTGTCCCACAGTGCAAGCCTCTGCACTCACTTCCACCACTACACACAAACACACAAGCTGCAGTTCAGATAATGTACTTGTACAAAGATACCTGTCATCGCTGTGATAGTAGCTGTGTCAGGCAAGGAGTTACTGCTTTCTTCACAATGATGGGCTTCCCTTGCTTTACCAAGATGAGAGAAAAGACTACAGGCCTAGAATACAATGAGCCTGTCACATTCCTTTATAGAGCTTCACACCCATTGATGTTGTTTTAAGACAAGGTCTCACTATGTAGCCCTGGCTGGCCTGGAACTTATTATGTATACTAGGCTAGCCTTGAACTCAGAGATCTACCTTCCTCTGCCTATGTACTGCTAAGATTAAAGGAATGCACTATCATGCCTGGCCTGATACTGATTTTTTGGGATACATTTGTTGTCTTCTGATGAGCTCCGTAAGGAGAAGAGTGCCTACTTGATTTACTGCTCCATTCTCTGCAAATGCTGTAATGACAACAACAAAGTAGTCACTTTATAAGCACATGCACAATCAAGTGTACAATGGTCAGTCAGGATATAAAAATAGGTTTACCATTTCCCTAATGGTTTTTGTTTGTTTGTTTGTTTGGATTTTCAAGACAGGATTTCTCTGTATTGCTTTGGAGCTTGTCCTGGAACTCGCTCTGTAGACCAGGCTGGCCTCAAACTCACAGAGATCCGCCTGCCTCTGCCTCCCCAGTGCTGGGATTAAAGGAATGAGCCACCAATGCCTGGAGATTTCCCTAATTTTTAAACATGTTTCTTAATTTTTATTTTATGCTTATGGATGTTTTGCCTGTGTATGTCTATGTGCTACTTGTACGCTGTTGTGGAATATTCATTTAAGATATGTTACATTTGTTTGTACTGTGGAATATTTGTTTAATGATGCAAAGGTATGTTACATTCTTTTATGTTGCATTTGCTTAATGACTGTGTTACTTTGCCTGCCTGAAACTCCTGATTGGTCTAATAAAGAGCTGAACGACCAATAGCTAGGCAGCAGAGAGAATAGGAGGTGAAGTCTAGAGAAGTCAGTGAGGAAGAGCGAGAAAAGGAGAAAGAGAGGAGGACACCAGGGGCTTTCCTGCAAGCCACAGAGTAAGGAGGAAAGAAAGATATATAGGATAAAGAAAGGTAAAAAGCCCAGAGGCAAAATATAATTAAGAGAAATGGGATTATTTAAGTTAGAAAAGCTGGCTAGAAATAAGCCAAGCTAAGGTCCTGCATTCATAAGTATGTCTGTTCATTTATTTGGGAGCTGGGTGGCAGGCCCCCAAAGAGTGAAACAACAACAACAAAAAAAAAACAACTACAGTCCACCTAGTGCCTGAGGAGGGAGTTCAGAAAACAGTGTCAAATCCACTGGAACTGAGGTTAGACACAGTTGTAAGCATCCTTGTGATGGTCTTCTAGAAGAACACCCATTGCTCTTAACTGTTCAACCATCTCTCTAGCCCCAATTTTCCTAATTTTTGAGACAGGTTTCCTTGAGTAATCTAAGCTAGTTTTAAACTAGTAACACTCCTGTCTCAGCCTCCCATATGGTAGGAATATAGGCCTGTGCCACCATGCCTGGCTGCAATTCTTAGTTTTTAAGTAAATGTTATACATTTACATAGAGGGAGGGAAGGAGGGGAAAGGAGAGGGACAGAGACAGAGACACAGAGAGACAGAGAGAGAATGAATCAGAGGACCCTGTGAGTCACTCAGATAGAACTCAGGTCAACATGGTTGGCAGTATACATCTCTACCTATGAACCACCTCATTGGACCCATGTGTTAATTTTATTATAGTCATCTTCAAAATTCTAAATGACCTTTATTTCTTAAGTAAACAACAACAACAGACTAAGTTCCCAGCATGAGGTACTGTAGCAGTCAGTAAAGGAAGATGGACACAGTCAGAATAAGAAACAGAAAGCCCTGCCACAGTGAAACAAACCTTCTAGTAGAAGCTAAAACTTTCAGCACGTAAATGAGACCCAGAAAGGGCACACACTGTGTCTTAATTTGTAAATATCTGAATTTTAGAACAGCACTTTTCCACATAAATTTTGCAATCTGGGTGCTGGAGGAAGGGCAAGAGGGCTGTCTGGGTGACATGAAATTCTAAGTCTTACCCAGAGGTATCTGGTGTTGCCTCACAAAATCCACCTGGCCCAGGGATCCTCCCTCAGGGGAGTTGAGGAATGTCCCGTGCCCGATCCTGTCAGGAAGCAGATCCAGCAGCATTTGTGTTTCTTTCTTCTTATCTGGAATCTTCAGAAAAGTGAGAAGAGGGGATCACTGGCCTCTGTCAGGAACTGAGGTATTATAATCTGCCCTCAGTAGTGAATGCCAACATTTATAGAAAATATAATTATTTAAACCTTCTCAAACCTCAGCCGGGCGTTGGTGACCAACCCTTTAATCCCAGCACTCCAGAGGCAGAGGCAGGTGGATCTCTGTGAGTTCGAGGCCAGCCTGGTCTACAGAGTGAGTGCCAGGACAGCTTCCAAAACAATACAGAGAAACCCTGTCTCAAAAAACAAACAAACAAAAAAACCTTCTCAAACCTCCTCAGATCTATCAACCCTTTACAGCCCAATAATAATCTCATGAATTATGAACATAAAGAAGTAAAAGCTAGCTGGCCAGTGGTGGCACACCCTTTAAATCACAGCACTCAGGAGGCAGAAGCAGGCAGACCTCTGTGAGTTCAAGTACCACCTGGTTTACAGAGTGAGTTCTAGGACAGCTGGATCTACACAGAAAAACCCTGTCTTGAAAAACAAGCAAACAAAAAGTAAGAAAAGTTTAATTCCACAGGCAAAACAAACCCATTAATTTTATATGTGTGTATGTACATGTGTTCACACATAATAGAAAAAAGTAGAGAAGCATATATTTTATTATTTAATATGGCCTCTTGGCAGGACTTTACATCCTTTTCTTTTTTCTTTTTGGTTTTACGAGACAAGGTTTCTCTGTATTGTTTTGGAGGCTGTCGGCCCAGCCTGGCCTCGAACTCACAGAGATCCGCCTGCCTCTGCCTCCCGAGTGCTGGGACTAAAGGCGTGCGCCACCACCGCCCGGCCACATCCTTTTCTTTCAGTGCTACAATCCCTTATACTTGAAATTTCTATTGGTATATAACATTTTTAGTTAAAAACATAAAATGTTTTTGAAAACACTGTTTACAATCTGAGATGGTGGGGGTAAGAGTGAAAATTTAACTTCACCAGACTCCAACCCCTAGTACTTGGGAAGTGGGGACAGAAGGATCAGAAGTTCATGGACATCCTTGGATACAAAGTGAATTCCAGGCCAGTCTGGGTTACATGAAACCCTGTCTCAAAAAAAAGATTTCCCCAAGGTAAGTCTATTTCTACTAGTTATTTACAAACAACTTTTAAAAATTATAATCTGCCCTCTCCACTCTATGACAGTATTATTTACCTCTGCAAGATGCAACGCCAACTTCAGGCCTGCTCTTTTAGCTTCTAAAAGAGGTTCCAAGAAGTCTTTTGCTTGTCCTATCTTGAAGGTAAAATGAGTATGCATGAGAATACTGAGCAAACTAAGGGATTTGGTGTTCTGCCCCAATCAGAGATAAAATGATGTCAGATTGGCTTCATTTAAACCTCTTGTTTATAGAGAGTCTTTAATGAGCTGAACACTTTAAGGAATCCACCATGGAAAAGCTATCCGTGACCTTGAATCTTAAGTCCAGTACCAGTGAGCTCAGGTCAATAAGCAAGTTGAGTATGATGGGGCAAAATTTTTATTTCACACAGATGTTTAGTATTACGGTGAACTCATTTAGGTTAGGAAGCACATAAGCACGCGCGCACACAAACACATACAAAACAAACCTCACAAAAACAGACAAAAATCAGAGAATAATCCACAGCAAAGAATTATTTGGCCAAATAACAAGTCAAGACTTGTTTGAATCTTTCACTCAGAAACTGATGCAATCTTTCTTTCTAGGGGTTTTTTAGGGTATAATTATAGTCTTAAACCCCTATCTATCCATCATACATAATGGAATTAACTTCTGGAACAGAGACTGTTACTAGTTGTATACTATATTTAGAAGAAGTGGAGAGAGTGGTTATTTCTAATAATATCTATAATTTTTTAACAGTATTTGTTCAAGAAACACTATGCTATGTATTCTGGTGATATAGGGCAGAATAGGGCTTCATTAGGTATCTGCGGGACCCTAATGCATAAGGCTCCAAACTAATCCTCACCCACTAACCGATTCTGCCACTAAGAGATAGAATACAGTAACTTACAGTAGGGTCTCCACTGAGGTCAAGGCCAAGAATGGTATCCTCAGTAGAAAGGAAGAACTCTTTAGCAAGTTCAACAGTCTCCTTGGCTACTGTCAGGCCACCTCTTCTGTCAATTGCCATCAAATACCTTTAATATAAAAAAAGAAAAACACAGTTAATACTAACCTGGCAGGAAGCTATGATGATCACAGTAGGATCCAGGAATGGGTACATATGTGCCTATAATCAGAGCATCTGGAAGGTGGAGGTAGGAAGACCATCCTGGGCTATAAAGTGAGTTTAAGGCCAGTCTGGGATGCATGAGACCTGTCTCAGAAGAACCAAAACAAAAAACCTCCACTAATTTAAAATCAACTAATCCCAGAAAGGGCTACCTATAATCACATGCCTTTTCCTCACGAACTTAGCTGGTTCATTGAGGCTACTAGGTACAAAGCCACCAGAGAATAAGAGCAATTTAGAACCACAAAAAGATCTGAGAATGGGTGGAGTTTGAGGTCAGCCTGAGCCACATTAGACCATGTCTAGACCCTGTCTCAAACAAAATGGAAAAACAAAAAACATCAACCAAACATTTGAAAAACTATGATGCACACAAAAAAAGGCAATTCTGAATGTTGCTGGGGAAAAGTGGCTGGCTACTTGGAATATAGCTTACTCTGAAAGGCACTGGGTCTAAACATGACACTGTACTTTGCTACATGAATGTCAAAGTAGCACGAGTATCTAGTCTGTTCAAATTTCCAATAATCTCACCTTTCTGTTTGTATCTTTGGGTGTTGTCTTTGTTTTTAGTTTGACTCAGGATCTAAATGAAGTGTGTAGTTTTCATTAGGCACTTTATCTCTAATCTCGCTTTTTTCTTACAGTGTATTTTGTGTGTGGGTGTGAGTGATTATTTGTAAGCGATGAAAGTACAGGTAGGGTGTTGAGAATGTGAAGGTCAGAGGACAACCAGGTGCGGGTCCTCAAGCACCCTCCATCTTTTGTCTGAGACAGTCTCCCATTGGCCTGAGCCTCCTCATGCAGGCCAAGCTAGGGATCTGCTTGTTGTCACCTCCTGTCTCACCATCGCTAGTATGATAGCACGAACACCTGACTTTTTACGGGGGCTCTGGGGATTTGAACTCATGTCCTCACACTTGCTAGGCTAGTGCTTTACCAACTGAGCTATCTCCCAAACCCCATAAGTCTCTTTTAATCTATTCCTATTCACTTCTCTCCCATTCTCATTTCTTTCCAACCTCTTTTCTTATAATTTATTTGTTGTTTGCCCTACAAAGCTTAGATTCTGTTTATTGCATCCCTATGTGAACATGTCCTATTGTATTTCTTTCTTTTCTCTTTTTTTTCTTCTTCTTCTTCTTTTTTTTTTTTTTTTTTTTTTTTTGAGACAGGGTTTCTCTGTGTAGCTTTGGAGGCTGTCCTGGAACTCACTCTATAGACCAGGCTAGCCTTGAACTCACAGAGATCCGCTTGCCTCTGCCTCCCCAGTACTGGGATTAAAGGAGTGCGCCACCACTGCCTGGCCTCCTCTTGTATTTTCAATACACTGATTAATTGGATCTAGTCTAGATTAATTTTTTGACAAGAATAAATAGGTGATGAAGCCAGGCATCATGGCACATGCCCATAATCCCAGCATCTGGGTGGTAAAGGCAGGAGGATCAGGAGTTCAAGGTCAACCTTGTGTATATAGCAAGTTCCTGGCCAGCCTGGGCTACTGGACTCTGTCTCAAAAAGCTGGCTTTGTTCAAAGTACTGAAGATGTATTGGTGAATCAACAAGGACTCTGGCCTCTCTAAACTTACACTCCAGTCAACAGTCGTGCATACTCCATGACAATACAAACTAATGCCATAGAGGAACATGGGTGAGGAGGGATTTGGGGGTCAGGAACATGTTGGACAGACTGGTCTCTTTGAGAAAATAACAGCCAAATTGAGACCCGAAAAATAAGAAGGTAGATGTGTAAGGGTATGGTGGAAGTCATAAGTACCAGTAAGTGCAAGGCACTGAGATGGATAGCCTTAGCCTATATGAGAGAGAGCAGCCACATCATGTGGGACTATGTGGGTAGCTATTAGAAGTCCTTCAGCTTAACAGCATTAAGAAGCCACACTCACCTAAGCAAAAATAAAAGAATTGTACTTGGAGGTGACTAAATTCAGAATTGTATTCTCACCTTAAACAACATGGGACTTGATTCTTATTTTTTCTATTGTAGGTAAAAATCAGATAATAGTTGATTTTTACAAAATCCATCACCTTTAGGAGACAGTAAAACATCACACTCTGCTTTTTGAAAGGATAACTATTACTAACGCACCATCTTCTTACCTAACATCAATATCTAAGTTTTCTTGTTTGCATTGTTTTATGCCTTCAAGTATGGATTCCACATAAGTCTTCTTCGTCATTCCTGGAAAGAATGAGGAGAAGCATACAGAAAAACATTATCATTTATTCCACCCTTCAAACAGCACCACTCTATGCTATGCTAGGGCCTGCTTAAAGGTGAATAAAGCCTGGCCTTTAGTGAAACTCTTTTTTTCAATATTTTATCTTGTGTGTGTGCACGCATATGCACACATGTGTATGAGTACCCAGAGTCCTCTGGAACTGGAATTACAGGTTGTGGTGAGCCACTTGATAAGGATGCTGAGTACCAAATTGGTCCTCTGGGTGAGCCATCTCTCTGGCCCCAAGGCGGAACGTTTAAGTATAGGATTTTTCATCTGTGATGGACCTGGAGACTGAATTTAAGCCATCATGTATGCTAGGCAAATGCTCTACCACTGAGTCACATTCTTATTCCTAAACAATGTGGCTCAGGCTGGCCTCAAATTCATGATCCTTCAGCTTCTACATGACCTCTTCAGAATATCCTACCATTATGTGCTATCACAACAGGCCAAGTCAGTTAACGAATGGACTTCAGGAAAACTAAAAGACAGTTTAAAACATGAAAAAAAGCAAAAGCAACTTTAGGAATAATAAGTACTTTATAAAAAATGTTCAGAACAAACATAAAAGTAATAAAAGATAGAAAATAAAGACCAAAATGATGAGCAATACAAGCCCAAATGAAAATTAGTCTTTGTCCTGACTCCCACATGTGTGCTATGGCATACTCCTCATACAAATGAGCAAGAGCCAGTCACGGTAGTGCTACCTTAAGCTTGGCATGGGGGGGAGGGCTGAGGCAGGAAGATCTGAAGTTCTAGGCCAGCACAGCCTACAAAGTCCCTGTTTCAAAATAACCAAATAAGTAAGTAAAAAGATTTTTTTTACCTTAGCAGGATATTTTTCTTCTATTGTAGGAAAAAAACCAAAAACCAAGAAACCAAATCCAAGTTCCTTTCCCTCAACCCTGCTTAGGATGTGCCTCTCATCCATGGTCTCAAAGAAGTCATTCAAAGTTTAGAGCGCTCAATTCTTGTCATGCTTTTTTTTTAATGGAAAACTTTTAGTATAATAGAAAATTATAAATAAAAAGTAACCACAACCCCCTACCAATACATCTTATTTACTACTGTGTACACATGCATATGTTTAGCAGATGAACTGCCACTAGTTTTATTTTATTTAATTTTGGTTTTTTGAGACAGAGTTTCTCTGTATTGCTTTGGAGGCTGTCCTGGAACTCACTCTGTAGACCAGGCTGCCCTTGAACTCAAGAGATCCACCTACCTCTGTCTACTGAGTGCTGAGATTAAAGGCAGAGTCACCAACACCCAGCTGAAATGCCACTAGCTTTATATGTTCAGTAATTTAACACTGCATTAGGAAATTCCACCTGGAAGTGTCTTTGCAAACACATTTTTTTTTGAGATAGGGTTTCATTAAGGGATGTGTCACGACATCTGGCTGCAAATATGTTTTCTTAGTTTATTTATTTGTGTTTCGTGTGTGTGTTCCCACACATGGGCATGGACATGCCACATTGTATAACTTGGAACTGATTCTAGTTTAAAACTGTGAGATAAGAATCTCCTTTTCCCATTTTTACATTTAGGAGTTTCAAATAGTTCTTAACTAGCTATACAGGTTTTGGTATAATATAACCTAGGTCTCTACGGGTCAAGAAGGACTCAATGATAACATATGACATCTCCTGATTACAAAACAAAACAAATCCCCCTGCCCCTGAGATCCTGGCCATATGTAGCCAAGGGCAGGCAGAAACATACTATTCTCTCATTTCTGTCTTTAGAGTGTTACAGGTGTGAGGCACTATGCCTGGCCTGATACAGCTCTTAGGAAGGTTCTATGAAATCTGCAAACCATATCCAGCTCAACTCTATCCCCAAAGGGCTTAACATTTTACAACTTGTTCCCAACCTAATACTATCAGTCTCTAAGGAGTCACTGAATATTTGACATTTCAATGACAGCGATGAAATTGTATTCCATAACCACTTAGTGACATAATTTCACAAATTCAGGAACAAGAACAGCCTTTACTGATGACAGTACAAAGGTGATATGTGCAAATCTGTGATGAGGCTGGAGGCCGCCCCTCGCTATTCCTCCTCAGGGGTTTCACCTTGCGTTTTGAGACGGATTCTCACTAGCAAAGGGCTTACCTGCTGACTGGCTGCACATCAAATCTCAGGAATTTGCCTGTCTCCACCTCTCCAGTACTGAGACTGTAAGAGCACTGTACCCAGCCTTTTTATATCGCTTTTTGGTCTTGAACTCTGACCCTTATGCTTACAAGACAAGTACTTTACTCATGTTGTCCTTTTCTTGAAGGAGACAAAAACAAAACCCTAAACCAGGAGGATTAGAAGATAAAAGAAATGCTACTTCCCCTTCTTTATCAGAGTACGCAAGTGGGCTTTCTACGTTTAAGAATAACTTCTAAACAATGAGCATCACTATGGCTCAGGAGTACATCACTTGCTTACAATATGTGAGATCCTGGACTTGAAACTCAACACCATCACATATATTTTTTAAAAGCCATTTTCAGCATCACTAATGTACATCTTTTTTTTTTTTTTTTTGCTGAGTAATGGAAGCAAACATGAAACTTGGGTGATCAGAACACACTGCAACAGGACAATACATTCACTGAGAAGTAATTAAATTCTACCAGTAGCATTTTCTTCTCTGGGTGTGCTCCTCAGCTCCAGGTACTTGACACCATCATCTGCAAATTCTTTAATGACATCTTTTGTGACCTGATAATAAAGGCAATGCACACAATGTTGACAATGCTAGAAAAAGGTACCTAGTGAAAGGGACAAGTGCTACAGTTTGATTTCACTTATTAAACTTGACTGGCAAATACTGTAGGAAATCTCCCAGGTAGTAGGGATTGCCTGCTTTGTCATCCCTAATGCAGACCATATCAGTTCAGCAACAGTTCCCATGATCTCATTCCCATGTGAAAACTAAGTCTGCATATTAGCCATACTTTTTGTTTTGTTTTTTGATTTTTTTTTTTTTTTTTTTTTTTTTGGTTTTTCTAGACAGGGTTTCTCTGTGGCTTTGGAGGCTGTCCTGGAACTCATTCTTCTAGACCATGCTGGTCTCGAACTCAGAGATCCACCTGCCTCTGGCTCCTGAGTGCTGGCATTAAGGCATGAGCCACCACTGCCTGGCATTTTTTTTTTTTAATTTTCAAGACAGGTAGTCTAGGTGAGCCTTGTGGTACACCTGGCTTCCTCTCCCTTCTTTAAAGCATTCCTTGACTTCCTAATGTTTATAATATAGTAGATAAAACAGAGAAATGAGTCAAAGCCATTGGAGTCACGCAACATTTGCATGGTGTTGGGAAATATCCAGAAAGAAGTACACAGCTCTCCTGATGTAATGATTAGACATTACCTGTATGTTAGCTAAGGTCGAAGCTTATAGTTCTTATACAAGTTATGTAGGACTGCCTTGTATTTTCCACCAAATTCTAGCAGGGCCATCTCTTTCTCTGAGCTATTTGGGAAAATTCCCCTTAGGCAAAGAAAGTGTGTGATAAATAAAACTATCTAATACAGTACAAATCTAAAAATCCCAAAGTTGCTACAAGCAGATTTTTCTTTTCTGCCACCAGTCCTAAGAAACACCAAATTTAGATGAGTGCTGGAATTAAAGGCTCATGCCACCACTGCCCAGCTCCGGAAAAGAAATTTTTAATAATACAATGGATAGTTCAGATTCACAACACAGGCTGGAATATCAGACAGAGACTACACTGCTCAAGAAAACACTAAAGTATTCAAAATCATGTTATTCATAGATAACACAAGATGCCACTGCTGCCTCACCAGAGTATGAACTGGAACTTCTAGCACTATTGACACTGGACCCTCTGGGGACTACTCCCAAGAACACCAACTTGCTGCCTCTTCCATAATGAAGTGCGACCTCATCTTTGCAGGCTGAGAAAACTGGATCTCATCATTTCCCAGAACTACAACCAGGAAGGGCCAACTTACCCTATTCCCCTGAGACCGACAGGAAAACCAGATGCTAAGAGCAGCTGTGTTAGGGGCTGGCTCTCTCATCTGCCCCGATTCTTGCTCTGGACAGAACACAGTCCAATCAGTTAAATTCCCGCAGAGAAAAGTATGCAGGCTCTGGAAGAGACACTATTCTGTCACTGTGTGTGGCTTCTGGTAAGCTACATCTCATTTCTCTCTTCTTGCTTTTTCTGGTGAAGAGTGCTGGGAAGTAAATACAGGGCACCATGCAAGCTGGGTACCAGTGGGCTGCAATCCCAGGTTACTTTTAATCTCTTTTATGTTTTGCGTTTTTGAGACAAAGTCTCTGTACAAAGTCCTAGTTGTTTTGGAACTCACTGTATAGACCAGGCTGGCTTCAAATTCACAAACACCCACCTGCCTCTGCCACTCAAATGCTAAGACTAAAGGTGTAGGCCATCATATGTGGCCCTTGTGGTGCCTGATTATCATATTATATATAGTTCATCTTGACTAGAGTTTAAGTGAGCCCCATGTTAGGGTTTCTACTGCTGTGACAAAACATCATGACTAAAAGCAACTTGGGGAGCTTTTCTTTATAATTTTTTTTAAAGAATTGAGACTTTTTTTTTTGAAGATTTCTTTATTATGTATACAGTGTTCTGTCTGCATGTATGCCTGCAGGCCAGAAGAGGGCACCAGATCTTATTACAGATGGTTGAGAGTCACAATGTGGTTGCTGGGAATTGAACTCGGGACCCCTGGAAATGCAATCAGTGCTCTTAACCTCTGAGCCATCTCTCCAGCCCCACAATTTTTTAAAATTTAGAAACAATCTTATTTTACATATCAATCCCTCCTTCCCTCTCCCTCCCATCCTCCCCACTGACTCCCCCAACCCACCCTCCACCCACTCTCCAAGGATAGTGAGGCCTTCCATGGGGGATCATCAAAGTCTGTCACATCATTTGGGGGAGGGCCTAGGCCTTCCTCCATGTATCTGGGCTGAAATATATCCCTCCATAGGGAATGGGCTCCCAAAGTTGATTTGTGCACTAGGGAAAAATACTGCTTCCACTATTAGAGGTCCCATAGACTGTCCAGGCCTCCTAACTGGCACCCACATTCAGAGGGCTTGTTTAGTTCAATGTTGGTTCTCCAGCTTTATGACTGGGGTCCATGTGAGGAGCTTACAACTCTTAAGTCACACTCCAACACTGACAGAAGTCAGGGCAGGAACCTGAAGTAGAAGCAATGGAGGAATGCTGCCTACTGGCTTGCTTAGCAGGAATACACTGCCCAGAGTGCTGAGTCCTGCTATATGAATCATTAATCAAAAAATGCCTAACAGACTTACCTACAGACCAATCTTATGGAGGCATTTTATCAATCAAGATTCTCTCTTTTAGCCAGGCATGTTGGGGCACACCTTTAATCCCAAAACTGGTGAGGCAGAAGCAGGTGAATCTGAGTTTGAGGCAAGCTTGGTCTACAAAGCAAGTTATGGGACTGCCAGAACTGTTACACATTAAAAACCTGTCTCAGTGGGAAAAAAAGATTCCCTCTTTCCAGATATGTCTATATGGCTACTTCAATGTCATCACTTGTAGATGCTCACACCAGTAGCACTAAACATAATGCATAGAATCATTATATTGGCATTTAAGAGCTTTTCACCAACTTTCATTCTGAAACAAAATGAAGTCGGCGAACATAGCACTACTCTAACAATGATGTATTAAGCTCATTATTTGCTCTGCAATATCCACTAATAAAATAAGATCTGAGCCTTAGTGGTAGACACTGTAGCAGTGTTCTCTGCTATCTGCTGAACAGCTAATAATATCACATCCTTTTAGATAACTATAAATGCCTGTGCATGTCCCCAACAGAGAGCTTACCATATTATATAAATCTATCTACTGGCAGGACTATTTCTCCAACATCCTATAAACCCCCCAAAAGCAGGGATTGTATCTGTACCTCTTTATAGCCCCCAAGTATTTGGTATAGTGCCTAGAACATTGGGGGCACACAGTAAACTTTTGGTGAACCAAATTATTAAAGTTAATTCTTCTTTAAAAGGGAATCAATACAATTAGCATGCTTATTCCAAAAAGGAAGAAATACACTAGTTCAAAGGTTAATTCTCCAGAACCTACATTGTATTTTTTGCCTTTTTCTTTTCTGCCCCCACATGCAGGTATGGTGATTTCAAACCCAGGGTCTCTTTCATACTTGGCAAGCCCTCTACCACTGAACTACTCACCTACCCATTTTTTCCTTTTATTTTTTGTATCTGTCTTTTTCCTTCCCTCCTTTCCTGTGCATGCCTCTCTCTCCCTCTCTCCTTCTCTCTCCCTCCCTCTCTCTCTCTCTCTCTCTCTCTCTCTCTCCCTCTCTCCCTCTCTCTCCCTCCCTCTCTCTCTCCCTCTCTCTCTCTCTCTCCCTCCCTCTCTCTCTCCCTCTGTGTGTGTGTGTGTGTGTGTGTGTGTGTGTGTGTGTGTGTGTGTGTGTGCACGTGTGGGGGTGGGGGTGGGGAGGGTGGGGATGAGGTGTCAGTCTTACTATGCAGTACAGGCTGACCTTGAATTTGCGATCCTCTTGAGAGTTGAATTACAAGCACGTGTCACATTTTTCCTTAATGACCTGGTAAACACCTGTAATCCCAGTACTTGAAAGGTGGAGGCAGAAAAACTAGAAGTATAAGGCCAGCCTCAACTACAGAGAATGCATGAGACCAGTCTGAGCTATATGAAAAGAGAGAGAGAGAGAGAGAGAGAGAGAGAGAGAGAGAGAGAGAGAGAGAGAGAGAGAGAGAGAGAAATGAGAATAACCTAATACCCATTTGAGGTCAAATATTTTTGTGTGCATTGGGGTTCAAGACAGGGTTTCTCTGTGGCTTTGGATGCTGTCTTAGAACTAGCTCTTGCAGACTAGGCTGGTCTCTAACTCACGGAGATCCGCCTGTCTCTGCCACCAGAATGCTGGTGTTAAAGGCGTGCACCACCACAGCCCAGGTAAATATTTCTCTTTTTGAAGGTTTATTTTTATTTTATGTGTACAAATGTTTTTCCTGCACCATGTGGCCTGAGGATGTCAGATCCCCTGGAACTGAAGTGAGAGGGTTGTGAGCTACAACATAGGTTCTGGGAATCAAATCTGTGTCCTCTTTGGCTCTCAAATATTTCTTATGATTTGTCATATATGGAAAACAGGACCAGGCTTTCCTGTCTATATTATTCTGTATCCAACAGAACAAGCTGACCTTGGCTCTTTACTCACTACTTCCTTTTTCCCTTTCATTCCCTTCCTCATTTCTTTAACAATAACAGACTTTACACTAGCTCTTAGGCCAATGTCTTACATTGATTTTTAAAACAATCATCATTACAAAAAATCTAAAAATTAATGGAAAGAAACTGGGAGGGAAAAAAGAAAACATTTTCATCAGAGCCCTAATGGAAGCAAAAAATTATATGCAATGAGAGATGTTCATTACTTCAAAATTCACCATCCTAAAACCCCTCCCATGTCTCACCATTAGAATATCTTCAGGACTGGTAGTAAGCTGGTGAATAACTCGGAACATCTGGAAACATCTACAAATGAACAAAACGTTTAAATACACTTTAGTCAACAAAAACTTGGTACTTAAGAACAACTCCCTGCGTGGAACTAATTACTAAGTTTTAGGTTAATTTAGAGTACATAATTAGATTTACAAAGAACTATAGGATAGATTCTTTTTAAAAATTCCAATGATCTAGAAAGTCAATTTAATAGCTAAAAATAAGATATTATTTATTCATATTTCAAAGTATGAAATTATAATTCCCATTCTCTAATCCTCCAGCAACAGCAAATAGGGAAAAATCCATATGCCTTTATTGTCAAATCTAAGAAGCAACTCAATATAGTATAACTTAACAAACAACATGAATCATTACAAGTACTCTCAGTAGTCTGACAGCTGGAAAAATGCTGTATGTTAGGCTGTACTTCCCATGCCAGATGTCTACTTTATTTAAGTATTAAAATCTGATCCTTATATATTACAATCTCAAAATATTGACAGACAAAAATTCTCAGGACCTCCCCAAACTCACTCTTCTAAAGTCCTTTTCTTTCCCTTGTCAATCATGGTCATGTGATCATGAACTTGGAGATGTGGCTTCTTGGCTATTAATTTCTTCATGGTATTGGAACTAATGGAGCCATTCAAGTGGGCATGAAGCTCCTGAAACAAGAGAATATATAATCAGTAAAAACTTACCAAGTATCCATTAGATTCACAGTCCCATACCAGGGGTTGGTTGGTTGTAGTTTGTTCTAGGCAAGCTATCTGATTTAGCTATGCCCTTTCTACAGTATCTACCCATAAAATTTACTTTTCTTTTGTGGAAAACAATACGAAAGTCATCATGTAACAAGAATTCTGAAGTCAATTCTTACCACTTTTGGCAATTCCACGTAAAAGTCTGTCTTCCACGGCCACTTCTGTCCTTCTGCCTCCATCCTTTTAGTAGGAGGCAAAGATTTCTCTTCACTCTCTTGGCTTGGACAATACACTTAAGTCAGAATTTCTGAGGTCCTGGACTTCCTTCAGATTACTTTACAATTTCACCTATATTAATGGATGTAAATATTTTCAGATGCTAACATATAAACAAAGAAACACCACTGCTATTTTATTTTTCCACCCTCTTCCCAGCTAATCTTAGGTGTTTCTGAAGTGGGGAAATGACTAGTAAAGAATATGCACAAAAAATAAAAAGTATTCAAGCTAGTAAGGGGTGTGTTAATGTTCAAAGTTAATCAAAGGTCAGGATCTCACTTTTTTTTTTTTTTTTTTTTTTTGAGACATGGTTTCTCTGTGGCTTTGGAGGCTGTCCTGGAACTCACTTTGTAGACCAGGCTGGCCTCGAACTCACAGAGATCCACCTGCCTCTGAGGATCTCACTTCTTACCTGTTTGTTCCTTTCACTTCTTATCAACTGGATAATGTCAGGTTAACGTGCACATGTAGCATGCATTTGCTTTCACAAGAAAATACTCTTTATTTCACATTCATGCTGCAACAACACCTTCCTTAAATGGGCTAGGACTGTCCAGAATCTGATTTGGGCCCAGATCCTCTGGATGGAGGCTTGAACTTCTCCTCTAGGTACTAATGCCTCCATTAATATACCTTGCACTCACCGAGTTATTCTGCCATAGAAACTGCTCCCCTAAGATCACTAATGAACTCCTGAACACCAAAATTTAACATTTTCAAAACTCATACTTAGTTGTTGCATACCACTGCTCTGGGTTAAGCATTCTTAAAATCATTCTGCTTTCCTTCCCTAATTCAGCCAGACACAACATTAGTAAGTGATAACGTTTCTACATACCTCTGGGATGCTTTTTTTTACTGATAACTCCTAGGCACCCAATGTAGAAACTTCATTTTAAACTCCAACCTGCGTTGCTCTCTTTAGAAAGGGGGATGGGAGGGCGCAACATGTCACAGGGAATAATTGCATCTCTTTCATAGCTATTTTCAGCAGACATACTCAACACCACGTAAGAATCACAGAATGTGTCCTTTTATAGCTAAAGGGAGAGTGTGACTACTTTACTCACCGTAGACCTAGCACAGAACTGTGAATACGTGACAATCAATAGCATGTATGACTGCAGGGGACTAAATTACCAGTAATTATCTGTAAAGGTCTAATTTAAGATGTGAACGAGTTCTCCTTCGCAATGAGAACATTCAATAAAGGAGTATTCTGTGTAGTCCTCCTGGCTGTCCGGGAATTCCCTCTGTAGACCAGGCTGACCTTGAACTCACAAAGATCCGCCTCTCTCTGCCTCCCGAGTGTGGGATTGAAGGGTGCACCACCACCGCCGGAAAGAAACTATTACTTTCGTGCAAGGAACAATCTGTTCTTGCCTGCTAAAGATCCGCGGTGCTGGTCCTTTGCAGGGAGTCAGGTTGTCAGGCCGGGACCCGCCTTAAAATGTTCTCAAATACAAAACCCTACAGGACTTTTTCCCTCACGCCGAAATGTCTATAGAAAAGTAGTAACGAGGTCCCCACACTCTAAGCAGAGCGCGTGTTCGCGAGAAAAAGTGATTTGGGGGAAAAAAAAAAATCAAAAGGCCTCTCGCGGGTTTTCGCAAAGCGCGCTCTGCTCGGAAGTGACGCACACTAGCACCCGGAAGCGGATGAGCATCAGCCTGGTGAGTGTTTCTTGTGTAGTATTGCGGAGCCTCTTCTGGTCATGGGCCCGCGAAGCCGCGAGCGCCGGGCGGGAACGGTCCAGAGCACCAACGACAGCAGCGCCCTCAGCAAGCGATCGCTGGCCGCACACGGATACGTGAGCGACGCCTTCGCGGCGTTGCTGGCTCCCGGACCTGTGCGGCGCACGCCGCTCATCCACCGCGGCTACTACGTGCGCGCGCGCGCCGTGCGTCACTGCGTGCGCGCCTTCCTCCAGCGCACGGGCGCGCTCCCGGCCCCGACCCGGGCACAGATCCTATCTTTGGGTGCAGGCTCGGACTCGCTGTACTTTCGACTGAAAGCTGCCGGCCTCCTAGCCCGGACTGCCGTCTGGGAGGTGGACTTCCCGGACGTGTCTCGGCGCAAGGCGGAGAGGATCAGGGACGTCCCGGAGCTGTGCTCGCTGACCGGCCCTTTCCAGATCGGGGACTCAGCGTCCGCTCTGTGCTTTGAGAGCTCGGACTACCGCATCCTGGGCGCGGACCTGCGCGAGCTCCCACGATTAGGCGAGGTCCTGGACTGCGCCGGCCTGGATGCCGCCTCACCCACGCTGCTCCTGGCCGAAGCCGTGCTGACCTACCTGGAGCCCGCCGGTGCCGCAGCCCTCATCGCCTGGGCCGCTCAGCGTTTTCCCGACGCCCTTTTCGTAATCTATGAACAGATGAAGCCGCGAGACGCCTTTGGGCAAATCATGCTGCAGCACTTTCGGCGGCTGCACTCTCCCCTGCACGGCCTGGAACTCTTTCCCGACGTGGAGGCCCAGGTACAGCGCTTCCTTCAAGCTGGCTGGACTGCCTGCAGCGCCCTGGACCTGAACGAGTTCTATCGCCGCTTTCTTCCCGCAGAGGAGCGTCAGCGGGTCGAGACCCTCGAGCCCTTTGATGAGTTTGAGGAGTGGCATCTGAAGTGTGCCCACTATTTCATCCTGGCTGCATCTAGGGGAGACACTCTGTCGGATACTCCCGTGTTTCCACCCTCAGAGGCATCTTTTCGGATAGATCCTGCTTCGACTTCAGGGTTTTTTCCTGCCAGAGTAGTCACTAGTGACCACCAGCACTCAAGCCTGAAGAGATATGGCCACACCTCCATCCTCTTGAGCCCTGGCATTATTTTCAGTGCAGGAGGCTTTGGAGAACAAGAGGGACGACACTGCCGAGTGAGCACGTTCCACTTGCTCTCAAGATGCTGTGACTCTGAATGGAAAGGCAGCCAAATAAGTACTTTGGGGACCGGAGGCCAGTGGGATGGACGCCTTTATTGCACTATGACAAGGCTTTCAGATACTCAGGTTCTGGTTCTCGGAGGGAGACTGTCGCCAGTAAGTCCAGCTTCCGGGGCTCTCCAACTTGATTTATACACAAGTGAGGATAACTGCCCTGAGAGTCAGAATGTGACAGTTACAAAAGCTGCCTTGGAAGACGGTCCCATGTCACGTTGGCGGCATTCAACAACAGAAGTATACTATCAGAATCAAAGATACTTATTTGTGTATGGTGGCCGAAGTGTAGTAGAACCTGTACTAAGTGACTGCCGTTTCCTTCATGTAGAGACAATGGCCTGGGTCAGAATCCCAGTAGAAGGGGCAGCCCCGGAGGGTCGGCATTCCCATGGTGCCTGCAGTTGGCAAGGAGGCGCACTTATCGCTGGAGGTCTTGGGGCTTCTGAGGAACCGTTGAGCTCTGTACTCTTTCTCAGACCAAAGCCCTCTGGATTCCTCTGGGAATCAGTAGATATCCAGCCCCCCATTACCCCAAGGTACTCTCACACCGCTCATGTGTTTAATGGAAAGCTGCTTCTGGTTGGAGGGGTCTGGATTCATTCCCCCTCAGTTCCTGGAGTGACTGTTATCAATTTGGCGACAGGGTCGAGCTCCGAGTATCAGCTTGACTCAACTTCAGTGCCGTGGCCGCTACTGTTGCACAGCCACAGCAGTGTCCTCCTTCCTGAAGAGCAGCAGGTCCTGCTCACTGGAGGTGGAGGGAACTGCTTTTCCTTTGGTACTTACTTCAACCCCCACACAGTGGCATTAGATCTTTCTTCCTTAAGTACAGGGCAGTAAAGACTGGACTCTTGATATATTCAGGGCCTAAGAAGGAATTTGGTTGTAGCTACTGCCACACCCCTGCCCCAATACACACCTTTCTTACCACACTATTGAGTGTAGAACATGAAAAAGGTCACTAAAATAAATACCAACAATGAAATAGTACAAAAATAAAGGAGTATCTATACTTCCTAGGGGCCTCAGTGTCATGTGTCCAGTTTATTGAGTTTCTGCCAATTTTCAAATCTTAGCCATTTATTGAATCACAACAACCTCTAGCCTAAGTAAAACACTTCCCAAACCTGGGTCTGTGACCTAGATTATATTTTGGGAAAAGTTTCCCACAGATCCTTGGTAAGAATACAAGATTGAATACAGATCAGGAATACAGCATTGACCTGTTGCTGTGTGTATAAATCTGAAATGAACCCTGCAGTTTAAAGACTTAAGCTTTCAGTTTGAACACAGGGCCAGCTTTAACAACGAGAAAAAGTACAACTTGAAAATTGTGCTTTTGATCGCTTTTCTGTTAATGTTTTATGTTAATAAACCAGACATTTAATGCCTTAATTAATTTTGTCCCTGCCAGATCTCTCTCGGCCAGCCATCACTGTTCTGAGCCCCAAGAAGCTTAGATTTATAGGCAGCATTGTCAGCTCTCTTCTTGTTTCTGGTTGAGTTCCACAGGTCAGGAGAACTATAAGAAAGGAGGGGGAGCAGGAAGTGAACCACAGCAGTGTGACTCTTCCTCTGCCAGTCTGCAGGTTGACATGGTGCATTCTGTCAAGGCCATAGCTGCTGTCATGTTACCTATGCGGTAACTAATTAAGCAGAGCACTAATACTGCATTGCTTCAGGTTTTAGGAATCGTTCCTTTCCCCAACTTGTTCAGACCTAGGAGACGTCCTTGCTCCTTGTTGGAACTGAGCTGCAATCCCCAATGTAGTATATTAGTTACTTATATTTCTTTTGCTATGAAGAAACACTATAACCAAGGCAACTTACAGAAGGCAGGGTTTATTTGGGTTTTTGGTCCTAGAGACAAGAGTCCATCATGGTGAAGTGGCTGAAAGCAAGAATGCTGATAACTCATATCCTTTACCATAAGCACAAAGCGGAGAGCAGCTTGCAAATAGGCAGAGACCTTGAGATCTCAAAGCACAGTGCCGCACCCCCCCACTGCACCCATTCCCAGCCTATGATGCATTTCCTTTAGCAAGGACACCCCTCTTAAACTTCCCCAAACAGCACCACCATCTGGGGACTAAGTCTTCAAATTCATGAGCCTATTCTCATTCAAAGGATCACAAGTAGCAATTAGCAATTTGTGACGATTTAAAAACATTAAATATTGGGATTGTAGTGTATTTTATAATATACAGTTATTAAACTTGCCTCAGTTATCCCTAAAAAGATGGGACAATCTGTTTCTATTGAGTTTTGAATAGATTAATGGCCTTTCTTAAATTTTGAGACAATCTGTCATGTATGTTATAACATGATCTTCATAACTAGGAGGTGGTTGGTGTCTTCATAGAACTGTTAGACCAGTGTGATCCTGGATGTGGTAGTGTCTTGAGATTCTGTAAGTGTCCAACTGATTATTATTAACCATTAATATTAACTTCTCAATGAACTTCATGACTTGGAGTCCCTTTTCGTTAAAGGTTTTTTTGCTGACTGCACATAAAATGGATGTGAAGGGTACTTGGTATTAAAACTGAGTAGGTTTGTAACTTAACATAAACTTTATGTTAAATTAACATGAGACTTTATAATGGAACTTTCTGGAAAGGTTATTGTTTGTGGCCAGGCATGAGTCTTGGAATACAGGGCCGCCCACATCTGGCAAAGTGGCTCTCAGTGTGCCAAGTGCTAGATGATTGACAGCAGCATGATTGGAATGTTTCTTGTTTGTAAGTTTACTGCAGCCTACCTCCAGCTTTCAGGAACAAGCCAAAGGAGAATACTATCAAATTAGTGTTCTCAGTGTGAAGCAGATAGAACCAGAGCCCTGACTACAGACCCATTCCATTCTGCTAGTATGTCATCAGTCATTATAATTTCATTACTGTGCATATAAGACGGTGCAGGAAGGTCATCAAGAGAATGCTGGTGTGTGCCAGAACCAAAGCTGAACACTGCCGGGCAGCTCTTTATGAGTAATTAGGTTTGGGCTTGTTCCTTCAACAGAACTAACCTGTGTTTTCTGGAAGTAATTACAAGATTTAGCATGCTTTCCAACTTCAACCGTATTTTTGCAACATGCTTAGCTAAACTCTTCTTAATTAGAACACCTAGTAGTTTTACCAGAGCATTTGCTCCATGGCTTTGGAGCAGGACTCTGTATGTACTGGTTAAACATAGGTGCTGGGCTAGTTTCATGAATGGCATCCCGCAGCAATTGGTGAGATGGATCACATGAGAACTAGAATTGGATGATAACTTCTGCTTCTGTCTTTGATTTTTGGGGTTTTTTTTTTTTTGTAATTTTAAAATTCTGCCACCAGGCTTTCTGGTAGTTTTGAGAATTAATTTTAGTGATTCTTTCCTCTTTTCATGATTTTCCTTTTCTCCTTTCCTTCCAAACCAGAAAAGCTATTAAGGAAAGAAAAGAATCTTTACTCTGGGTCTCATAAACAGTATACCATATTAGAATAAGAAAACAAGGTTTGAGGCTGGAGAGATGGCTCAGCAGTTAAGAGGACTGAAGATCCAGGTTTGGTTCAAAGCACCCATATGGGAGCTCACAACCACCTGTAACTGCAGTTGCAGAGAACCCGATGCCCTCTTCTGACCTCCAAAGGCATCAGGAGCACATGTGCACAGACACACAAGCGGGCAAAACACCCATTTACATTTTTCTTTCCAAAGAAGAAAAGACTAAGAACAACCGCTCTACTGCTGACTTTGGTAGCTCATGCATTAAAATTGGAATGATCCAGAGAAGATAAGCATGGGTCCTGTGCAAGGATGACAAGAAAATTTGTGAAGTTTTAGAAAAACAAACACTAAAACTCACAACTGTTCTTAGATACGTTCTTCAGAGGTTAAGCTAACACTTCTTTGTCTGCCTTCTGAGGTTTTCAACTAATGTCCATTATTGAGAGCCAGGCCCACAGAGGCCCTAATGAAATGACAAAAGGAATTTAGTTCTGTGTCTTTGTCGAAGAGCAGACTCAGCAAGGTCAGTTTGGGGCTGGTGGCCAGGGCCTCGAAGGAGTTAAGGTTTCAGTTCCCTGGGAACTTGGTTTTTCCCCCTGAAGAGACTAGAGTTATCTGTCAGTCAGTCTCAAGGCTGCTGTTTGCTAGGTCTGTAATGCTCTTGAAATACCCTGTGTTCCCTTTGTGCAACATTGCTTGATTAACTTCCTGCTGACTTTGTCCCACTATATGATATTTTCTGCCACTCTGTCCCATTTCTCCCCCTGGAAATAGCATATAAGATGCCATACTTCTGACTAAGGTTTGCAAGTCATCAGCTTGTCCAAGCCTGCCTGCTGTCAAACTTTTCTATCTTCTTTAACTTCTCACCTCCTGGCCATCATTCAGGACCCTGTCACTGAGGAATGACCTACTGGTCCAGGCCAGCCCACCTTTCATCTTTCTACAGCTTTAATCCTTCTGAGTGGTTAGGAAGATGGCTCAGATATGTTCCCAGGCATCTGTTCCACAGGTATCTCTTTGATGATCTTTTTCAGACCTCAAAGTCCTCATTTATTATCCATGCATTTTGTGGCCACAAACTCAACCTTCATTGCCCCATGCTTACTCTCTAGCTCATTCCATGAGGTGCCCCCCAAATGTAACCAATCTCTCTCCATATTTAAGAGAAGTATATTTTCTGTGGAGATTTGATGACTCTGAGAATTAGTTACTGGTTGGATTCCTAACCATAGGCACTATCCAGCAATGTCTAGTTTGATATCAAGGCTACAGTAAGCTTGTTGGGTGTGATGGTAATCCAAGCAGTTGGGAGATTGAGACAGGTGGATTGTGACAAATTCTAGACAAGGCAGTTACACATTGAAACCCCAGTCTCAAAAGAAACAACAAATATAAACCTTACTATTATGAAAACTGCTTTCCTGGGGGAGATGTGAATGATGTTTTCACCTTGCTCCTAAGGTCCTAATGATAAATCAAAGTACAAGCCCAAAGATTTCACCTTGGGAACCAATGAGTTTATGGGGCTTACTTACAGAGCACTGGCGACCCCCAAAGCACCTACACAGGAAAATCATCGCCGCACTTTCCAGTTTAAGACAATCTCTTTGTTCTTTGATGCTGTGTATGTCAGGCTAGCTGGCCTTACAGAGCACTGGCGACCCCAAAGTGCCCACACAGGAAAAGCATCGCCTCACTTTCCAGTTTAAGACAATCTCTTTGTTCTTTGATGCTGTGTATGTCAGGCTAGCTGGCCTGTGAGCCTCTTGGGAGTCTTCTGCCTTCACCTCCAACCTTACTGTAAGAGCACTGGGGCTAGAGATGTGCACTGCAGGGCCAGGCTTTCTGTAGGTTTTCATACACTTTACCTACTGCACCATCTCCCCAAGCCCCAATTCTTCAAAGTCAACTTCCTTAGCCTGGTGTCACTCCTAGCTTTATTAATTTGTGTGTGGGGTGGTGTGGGTGTGGGTGTGTTTGGGTGTGTGTGTACCCACACATAGGAATGCCATGGTGTGGAGGTCAGAGGACAACTTGAAACAATTGTTTCTCCTTCTGCGATATGGATTCCAAGGGCTGAATATGTTATCAGGCTTGGCAACAAATGCCTTTACTCTCTGATCCATCTCACCAGCCACTCCTAGCTTTATAGAGTGGATCCAGTCCTCCTGGGTTGCAGTCTCTGGCTGATCTCAGCCTCCTTTGCTTAACAATTGGTCCATGGTTACCCCATATCCTTTAGAGATGAAATGAGTTAACTTGGCCACAAAACTAATCTGAAAGACCAGGAACATGCAATTAGAGATGCCTGTGAGCACATGCAGGAGCTCCCCAGATTGCTGTGGTGCTTCACTGGGCATGACCTGGTATGTAATTCTCAATGTAAGTTTAATAGAGGAAAGACTTGTCCTCATTTCTCTGTGCAGTCATTTGCTACCTAACAAGAAGATCAAAGCTACTAAATTGTAATAAGAATGATTTTGAGATATTTCACAACCCTCTGTATCTCTTGTTTCTTAGTTTATTCACATTTTTAGGTTTCCATCAGAGTTCCAATCTTAGATTTATATCTACTACCTGACAGAAAGCTAGCCAAGATGATCATTCTTGTTTATGAATAAATTAGAGACTTGGCATATATATATATGTGTGTGTGTGTGTGTGTATTTTGGTTTTTACGAGACAGGGTTTCTCTGTATTGTTTCGGAGGCTATCGGTCCAGCCTGGCCTCGAATGCACAGAGATCCGCCTGCCTCTGCCTCCCGAGTGCTGGGATTAAAGGCGTGCGCCACCACCGCCCGGCGAGACTTGGCTTATATTTAAGGAAAAAATGAGCCAACTTCTTGATTCCTCCCCCAAATACTTAATTAAAAAAGTAGAATCTAGCTAAGCACTGGTGACACACACATTTAATCCCAGCACTCAGGAGGCAGAGGCAGGGAGATCCCTGTGAGTTCAAGGCCAGCCTGGTCTACAGAGAGAGTTCCATGACAGCCAAGGCTACACAAAGAAACTCTGTCTTGAAAATCAAACAAAAAAGTAGAATCCACACCTCAATTTATCAAATTTACATTTACAAGTACAAAATTTTTATTACTAGAGCATAGCATAATAAGTGTGCTAAAATTTTAATCCCAAAAATGGTTATGTGGTTTAGTTAAGCTAAAATCAGTAATGAATTAACAGTAAATTATAATTTTTAAAGCAGATATTATATCTGGGCATGATTGTACATGCTACAACCCTAGGCTAAGGCATAAGGATTATAAATTTGAGATTAGTCTGGGAAACTTTGCAAGACTCTTTCAAAACAAAACAAAAGACCCTTGGGCTGGGCATGCAGATCAGTTGGTAGATTGCTTGCTTAGCATATACAAAGCCTGGATTCTATTTTCAACACCACATAAGACTCAGAAGTGGTAGCACACATCATCATCCCAGCATGTAGGCAGTGAAGATAGAGGCAGAAAGATCAGAAGTTAAAAATTAACCAACCTCTGCTACACAGTAAATTTGAGACTAACATGCTCACTATTTTTATTTTCAGGTGGTAATCTCTCATTTCCCCACTTCTCATTTTAAGATAGTGTGTGTAAGTGGAGTTTTCCTCTCCTGCAGCCTCTCTCAAATAATCATTCAGAGGCTTATATTAATTGCAAATGCTCAGCCAATAGCTCAGGCTTATTACTAACTAGCTCTTACATTTCAAGTTAGCCTCTTCCCTTTTTTACACTCTGCCATATGGCAGTACCTTTATTAGCATGGAATATTCATCTCCTGTTCCCTCTGTGTCTGGCTGGGGACTCCTGACTCTACCGCCCTCTCCTCAGGCTTGGTGGCAAGCACTTTTATTCAGAGTCGTCTTGAAGGCCCTGATCATTTAGATTGTGATTTGCCTCTTTCTTGGAGATATGGTTTTTTCTTTTGTTGTTGTTGTTGGGTTTTGATGTTTGTTTGTTGAGACAGGGTTTTCTGGTGTAGTCCTGGTAGTCCTGAATCTCAATATGTAGACTAGGTGAACCTCAGATGCAGAAATCTGCCTGCCTCTGACTTCTGAGTGCTGGGATTAAAGATGTGTGCCACCATGCCCTGCTCCTTTTTCATGTAATCCCTGAAATTAAGCATGGATCTAGGCATACCAGCATCTATCTGTAATCCTAGTACTTAGAAGCCTAAAGGAGGAGGATAGAGAGTTCAAAGCCAGCTTGGACTATGCTGTGTGATCCCCAGTTTTCACATGGTAGAGGGAGAGAACTAACTCCCACAGATTGTCCTCTGAGCTATGTGTTTGTGTATATTCATGTGTGATGAATGGAAGGAAGCACAGCTACTTTGGGTAGAAAAGAAGTGAATATATAAACTTGAGACGAATGGGTGAGGTATAGTCACCTACAGCCTCAACCAATGTTTGTGCGTCTTGAAGATCTAACTAGAAAGAACTGAGAAACTCACACGGAACAGCTGAGACAATAGTAACTGTGAAAGGAGTATTTTAGAATCATGTGACCTAGGTTGGATTCCTAGTTGATTCTTGAGGAAATTACTTATCTCTCTAATTCAGTTCCTAAATCTGCCAAAGGGACACAATGATAATAATAATTATAAAATGACGAGGAAATTGTTTAAGATAATGTGAATATACTATTTAACACAATGTGAGGGATAGTCTCCAACCTCTCTCAAATGCTTTGTCCCAAAGTTTAGCCAGTCCATACAGTATTCAATGACTATTTAAAATTTTGTTGGGTCAGTAGGAGGAAGTATGGTCTCTACACACAAGAACACATGAAGCTTACAATCTAACAATGCCCTGACTTAACAAGAACAGCTGGTATGGACATATGGTCCTAGAGTTAGAAGAAATCAGAGGTTTAAAAAATTAAATCCAGGCATTGGTGGCACATGCCTTTAATCCCAGTGCTCGGGAGGCAGAGGCAGATGGTTCTCTGTGAGTTTGAGGCCAGCGTGGTCTACAGAGCAAGTTCCAGGACATCCTCCAAAGCAGTACAGAGAAACCCTGTCTCGAAAAACAAAAATCATTATTGTGTCTACGTATGTGTTTGATGTATATGTGTGAATGTATGTGTTTGGTGTGTGTGAGTGTGTGAGTGTGTGTGTGTGTGTGTGTGTGTGTGTGTGTGTGCCACAAGTATGTAGAAGTCAGAAAACAACTTTGGTTCTCGACTTCCAGAATTAATTGTAGGGATTGAATTTAGGTCATCAGGCTTACACAGCAAGCCCTTTTACGCACTGAATCATTTTGCTTGCCCAAGATATAGTCTAGTACAAGTTGCTAAGGACATAAAGATATGAACTAGCACCATAGTTCTGCACAGCACCA